AAACTGCAGCACATGTGCAATCGAGTTCGCACTCTAGAGAGAGTGTTGATTTGCAAACTTTGTGTTGCGAATTGCTGTGTGTGGGTGAGTGTGTGGGCGTGGGTGAGTGTGTGGGCGTGGGTGAGTGTGTGGGCGTGGGTGAGTGCGCCCATTGAAACGGAACATGCCGTGGACCCGAACAGCAGTGCATTTCACCACCAACCCAAGGACAAGGGCTGTCCACTAGTTGGTAATTGCTGAGGGATATGTTTTGTTGACTCACACATCCAGAGTTTTCCCAACACTGCATTGGACACTAGCCAGTACCATTTGGAACCATCTAGTTGTTCTGTGATTATCGACTATTGACTGCGGTTCAATGTACAGAGTTGATAGGTATTGCAAGCGCTCAGCTAGACCACAGGAAACCATTTGCTTTGTTGTCTTCTCTGTTTGAAGCTTCAGTTTTCCCGATCCAATTCGGGTTTGCAAATTCGGGTTTTGTTGAGGTCCCCCTGAACTCTGCTAGTATTGCAGGGTGTCAACAAGGTCTATGACATACATACATACAGTTACATACGCATGGTTTCAGGGCAGTTTCCCTTACTATGTCTCTGTGAAAGAAGTGAAAGCAACCAATGTGTTCAATGGAAACAACAGGCGTAACATGCACAACTGATTTGTAGGAAACATGAGGGGATCCATGTTCTGGTCGAGAAATACTATATAATTTCCATGAAACTTGTCCAAACCACAGAATAGTGTTCACTAACTTTTTGGAACACATGAAGTAGTTCCAGCTAATTTTTTTGAACATGTGAAGTAGTTCCAGCTATTTTTTTTGAAAACATGAATTAGTTCCAGCTAATTTTTTTGAAAACATGAAGTAGTTCCAGCTAATTTTTTTGAACACATCAAGTAGTTCCAGCTATTTTTTTTGAAAACATGAAGTAGTTCCAGCTAATTTTTTTGAACACATGAAGTAGTTCCAGCTAATTTTCATATAGTTTCATGTAGTTGAAATAGTTTCTGGAGATTTAGAAATAGTTTCTACCTGTTCTGTCAAGCTCACCATTAAAGAAGCCCAGAAAGCTCCCAAGCTATATATATATATATATTTAACTATCTGTATACAGATGTAGCGGATGTAGTAAGTATACCTACCACGAGAATGAAGGGGGTGCTGTTTGGACCCTAAGGGGTGGAAAAGAAAGACACCCCTTACCACAAGTTGGCACCCCTTAGGGTATCTTGGTATAAGTAGCAAACAAGCGCCTTCAATGGAGGTCCATTGTAGTATATATAGTTTTCTTGTAAAGTAGTAGGCTGGGGCCCGTGCCAGGTGATTCCGAACAGAAGCAGCTGGTCACGGTGGCAATTCAAAAAAAAACGCGCGTATGATGTTTTACATTTTACATTGTTTTACTCCAGCTATGGGTAGGTGTGGGGTCGTGGGATACATTTATTGATTTAGTATAAACCTTCACCTGCACATTTCTCTGCGGGAAGTGTAAGAAGTTCTTCAGACCAGATGCGGGTGGCCTCTCTACTTCTCTTGTGTTGATGTTTTTTGAATTGTTGAAGTCAAGTTCGAGCTTGGTCTCCTGGCTTGCCTCTGTCTTTAAGGTGTTTGGGAATGAGGGTCGTCGAGGGTCCGTTATTAGCGACTGGAGCTGTCGGAGCAATGGATCCTCAGGGTTTTCTTGGAATTCCTCGACGTCCCTGGCCAATCAAATTGGACATGAAATTGGCACCCACGACCTTTGACCTTCCACTTGAGATGAAGACCGTCTGAGTGAGTATAGCTCAATAGGGGATAAAAGTTCAACATACCACACAAGTCCAGAGTTCCAAAACCAAGCCAAAAAAAACCTGGAGAAAAAAAACATGAAACACCTCCCAGGCGCCTCAAGGGTGCTCCCACTCTCCACCACCTCCCAAGAAGATGCTCTCCCCCTCTCCACCGCTCCATCAAGCCGACGCACCGCCCGCCCCCCTTAGGCCTTCCCCTGCGACGCGGCGCGGAGCGCCTATGACCCCGAGCGATCCACCACGGCGGAGCGCCGTCGTCACCGGGGGGGAAGACCCAGGGAGCGGAGCGGCTGGGTCCACGGATGGAAGGTTTTTCAAGGTAAGGGTGGGTCAATCATGGTCGTTGTTTCATGTTGTTAGTTTTTTCTTTTCGGTTGATGGGGGGGGTGCTTTTTGATATGGCATGCAGACAATTCCTCATAGAAACCGGAGTGTGGAAGCGATTTCAGACTGGGGCATGGAAGGTCATGATGTCAAGTCCAATGAGGAACATGAATGGTGTGTCCATGCTAGTCGCAAGCTGTAAACCAAAGGGTCAGTTGGACTCGACCATGGTCCTCCATCACTACGAGCCGAGCTCCGGTCCGCACCGAACGGCGCCGAAAGAAAGAGCCACGGCGACGGTCTGCGCCTTGCCGTGGAGAAGCGACAAGCTGTCGAATAGAACAGTCCACACCATTGGTGGAAGGGTTTTACAAAGGTTTTACAAGTCATTTTACTAACCATCCTCATCCACTGGTAATGAAATATACCCAAACCACATATTCTACATATGGAGCCACTGGGACAGTACCCATTTTGTTCTTTGTGAGTCCAAGTAAACCGACACTGGCGGGGTTCGCGACTGCACTCTGGCGGGTATGTCTCTCTTGTTAGGCAGCCAGAGTTTTGTGATTACAAAATATGCCTAACAAGAATTATGATCTAGGTTTTGTGGTTACAAGATCCTAAAGCATGTTTCTCAGCAGACCCATACCTAGATCTTCCTGGTCTATACAATTGATGTTCATCACTGTGGACAATTATTGGAAGAAATGACTCCTGGATCGGAGCGACGAACGTTCCCCACGCTGGAAGTCCATGAATGTTCCGGCCAGAGCAGGAGGAGTATTTGGAGAGCCCGGCGCGCGAGCTTGATATCATGTGCAGGGCCCAGGGCACCTGTGAGATTGGGGAGCTAAAGGAACGGTGCTTCACAGTGCTTGACATTATACCCCTTCTGATTTAAATATATTTTATCACTTAGAGGGATGGGAGTGACCGGTTGGAGGGATGGGAGTGACCTCTCATTATTTTGTTTTGCAAGATTGGGCATCTTTTGCCCGGCTGGTATCATTCCAAAGCTTGGGTATCTGCAGGGTCTCAAAAGCTGTTTGGAAGAGTCCTGGCTTCAAGAAGGTCCACTCTGTAGCTGGTTTTGGTCCGAACAAGATGGGAGACTTCTCCAAAGCCCTGCAGGGAACAAGTTCGTAGAACTATGTCTTTTGATGTATTTTGTGTATACGCCATTGTAAAGTTTAAAAACGGTGCTGCAGTCTACAGCACTAGTCACTAGTACAGGTAGTATCACGTACTACTGTTGGATGAGTGCCACGTACCCCTGAGAATCTGGATTCTTAAAATGGAAAGGGTTTGGTTTGGGTCTAGACTTTTGCGAAGATGTATTTGGTCCGGACTTCTGCTACGAGTCGAGGTCAGGCTTTCAGATCACTCCAAACAGCATCAAGCAGCCCGACCGGTCCCTCAAAAACTAGGGATTTGAGACGGCAGACCCCTCCATATGAGGGTTTGATCCCTCCATATGAATTGCGAGGTTTTTACTCAACATCACAATGCTGAACACTCCGAGTCAAGGATGGAAAAGGTACCTACATGGCTGGTTTGGGGTGGTTTGGCAGGGTGAATGTATAGGCTATCATATATACCTTCCAGAGTACCTTCTCAGAAGGTGAGGAACGAGACACTCTTATGTAGGTGCCAGAAGGGTCCAGTCATACCTTCTGAGGTTCGGTACGACTGGATCCCTAGGGCTTAATTTAGGATTTGCATAGCTTTAAGTGGTATACCTTGTGTCTAGGATTACCTATGCCACTACAAGGCTAGTACCTGGAGTGTCTAGGAGTAGCATTGGTGCACCGTCGAGGTTTGGCACCGGCGAGATTCGAGGCCACCGGTCCGGGAGGAAGGACGGGGGGTCCTTCGGGGGTTCAGTTGAAGACAGTATGTGTGTGTTTGTGTGTGTGTGTGTTTTTGAGTATGTGTTCCGTGTGAACAGTTCGGTCCATGTGGGAAGTTCTACATCCTCAAAATGGTTGGGAGTCCTAAACCCTTCTCTTGGTCATTGAGTGAGTCATTGGAACTTCTATGTCGTGCCTGTGATCCCAGTGCATTCTATATGCAGAGTGTTCCAAAGTGACTCTCCCACCTATGCCACCTATGCAGAGTATATATATATATATTGGAGAGTGGCCCTTCCAACCAACTTCAAACAGGCGCGGAAATATTTGTGATGATCCCTAAATAGAGAGTTGATTGATGAGACTTCATAAAACCAAGCTTCTCAAAAATACACTCCAGATCAACCACTCGATCTTCGGGTGCTGAGCTTCCTTGTTTTGGGGCACGCCCACCTGGGGGCTCCACGGACCTAACTTCGGGCTCCGGGCGGCTTCGTACCCAACTGATTCATCAGTCGATGCAACACGGAAACAGGTCGAGACAGGTGGAGTTCGTGGGGTCCGCCGTGGGGACCGCGGACGAGTAGCAGTGGGGCACTGCCGGGTCTGCCGGGTCTGCAGCAGCAAAAAGGGAACAGAGGATCAGTGACTATCCAGACGAAGATCATATGATAGTGTGTTTTCAACAACAAAGACTCAACGGACCGGTAGATGCAGCAGATGCAGCAGAAACGCGAGAACAATCCGCGAAACCGGACCGCGTGGTGTCAACCCCAGGTTTGTGGAAATACTCTGATGGTGGTTCCACCCTGGGGCATAGAGAAATGAAGAACACATCCATCCGACAGGGCTGATAGAGGCCCATGAGAATGATGACTCTGACTCTGGCGATGTTCACTGCGTATTTTGGGGCACATTGTGGACTTGGAGAATTGCTCACAAAGAACTTTGTAACAGCTAAAACAGATAGCAACAATTTTCTGGACAGGATTCAGAAAGAGAATCAAATCGATTCTTCAACCTTTTTGAGGACTTCCCCCTCTCCCACCACGTCCCACCTGTGTTCCCTAGCCATGGCAGCGACCTCATCCGGTGCGCTGCGCGCGCTCAGCAGGGAGGAACGGTATGCTGGTGGAGTATCAGATCTCATGAACTGTGCCTTGGCTTGTCAGATGGATGAACCACTCAGAGCTGTGCGTGACATTTAACCGTGCCTTCGTTGATGAAAAGAAACGCTTGACAACCAGCAGAGGTTGAAGAACCCTAGTTCGACTATCCTAGTTCGGTACCCCTGGTGACGGGTCCTATTTACGGTCACTGGATACCTTTGTTGGAAGTTCAGACCCTGAGGTGGTTAGGAGGCATCACATGGTGCCTGATTCACTCAGCGATTTTCATGTGGCACACCTCTTGGGACACAGCCACCCTGGCTGAAGGTCTCATAGGGTAGCACAGACATGTCTTCCATGTCCAGACCCATCTGGCGTCGCCTTTGAACATGTCCATGCCCACTTCGCCATGGTTATCCTTAATCTACCAAGACCAATATGGTATATTATATCAGATCTAATTATGGTATAGTTACTGTATGTTATTTATACTATATAATATGTTTGGACATTATTCTAACCCGTACTGTGCTCTCCATTCTCTTCTTCCTTTGCTACCACGATGCCGATGTGTTCTTGGTCTTTGTAGCTGGGACGATGCCCGCCAATGTTCTCAGGCTTAGATGAGCAGCTGCGTCCCGAGCCTCGCCTCTGCTGGGACTTCGAGACCTTGCAAGCTCACCTGCAGCAGCAGCGCCGGCGCCAGGTGCTCCGCCTCGCCAGGGTTTGGGGTCTCAAGGATATTAAGCCCTGGAAAATTTACAGTGGAACCTGACGGCATGAACTTTTGGAAGACTATCTTCACAAGCACCAGTGGTTTTCCGGTTCGGTCTCTTCCAGGACGGTAGCAGGTAGAAATCCACTTTCACCTTGTTAAAGGCTTCACCGCCGCCCCCGGTGGAACCGCACGGTGAACCGCCGCGGTTGAGCCGGGGGATCGATCGATCGGTGACACGTTGGACACTCCGAAGCTGTTGGATTGACCTGCAACAGGTGGACTGTGGACAACCATCTTCAGTTGAAACAGCACAAGCATTTTCTGCCAGCACTTGAGATTCCATCTTTGCTTTGGACATTTCTGGTTGGCAATACTGGGACTTGGGCCCAATAGCTGGGCTTCTTTCACAGCTACCAAGAAGTCAATCTGCAGAACCCCCATGGCACTTCACCACCTACTGGGCCTCACGCTCCCTCTCCGCTTTGATCCTTTTTCATCGCACGCTCTCAGGCGGAGCGTGTCCTGGCCCGGCGCTTGGAGTCCTTACGGGCCGTTTCCCAGGTGCAAACGACATTGATCGAAGACTAAAAAGCCAGCACCACTGAAACACGGAAGCACGTGAAAAACGCCTTATAATAAACATCTCTAAACGGAACCCAACCCCCTGGAATCTCCTTCTCCTATCGCCCCACGACCTCACCTAGAATGCCTGGAAAACCTGGAAAACCTGTCACCCACCCGCGCCGGATCCGCGTCAACACGGTCAGGCCCAAGCATCTTTGGGGCGCTTTTTGGACCGACGCACCAGCAGCGTCCAGGAGGCCTCCTGTGCTGCCTCCGATGCGCAAGGCCGGCTGAACCGCTTGCAGGAGCAGAGCCAAACCGACGCCCGTCTTAGACCGAGTCGAAGACGTGGTTCCATCCGTTTGCGTCGGTTTGGGGGTCCAGACATGTTTTTTGGATGGTGGCAGGCTTCAGAGAGTGTCAGAGTAGCAGGTTTGGAGCGAAGATTCTTTGGGCTTCAATCATTTGGGATCCCCAAAAAGCTGTTCGTTTTTTCACAGCTGATTTCATCAACAAGCAAGACTTGACGTCGTATTTCATCGTTGCCCATCTCGATCCTTTGTACGTCATCATCTCGCCCACCGGTGGCGAAACCTTCACCAACCTCCACCGTTGTCTCGCGAACGTCGCGAACCGAGGTCCGGGTCTCAGCGCTGAAACGAGCGCAAGCCTCCCTGGCCGATGCTGAGCAGCGCGCCTTGCAGGTGCCGATCGATGTTCAGTGGGAGGAGGAGGCTATCGATGTTCAAGGTGTGGGCGGTGGTCATCACTGCTTCTGGGTGGGATGATTCTTTCATTTGATAACCGCTTTGGCCTTTCCTTCATCTCGTCTCAATAATGTTTTGATAGTGCTTCAGCTCTTGCTAGAAGCTCCGGTATACGTATATTTACATACAATATTATGACAATATATGATATATATATATATATCCCTGGATAGATGGCCATATAATGTTTTACAGTCATTCTATAGAATGTAATACAAGGGTTTGGCCCTTAAAAGCCCCGCTTCGGCCGTGGTCTTCTTCCGCCTTTTCGTGGTCTTCCCGTCCTGTCCCGCAGGAGGCACGCGCACGGCATCTACTGCTGGACCAGCGAGAGCAGGAGCTGGCGACGCTTCTGAAGCTCAGTGGGTCTCTGAGGTCCAAGTCCAAGGCCAGGGACCCGACCGGTAAACCGCACAGAATGAACCTCACGGATGAGAGCGCCGGTGTTGAGGGGATGAGAGTGTGAGCTTCCAAGGGCGGTTTGGTCAAGATCCACTCTCAAGACATTCTGGTAAATGGGAACAAAGCTGGAGGCGCTTTAAATGATTGTCTTCCTTATGTTTGTTTACTCCAAAATCAGTCAGAAGTGGTTTAAAAAGGTCCAGGAACAACTCTGTTGCCATGGCCACACAACTGAAAAATCAGGCGACGGCTGAGAACCTCACAAGGATGCGCGAGACGCTGGAGGCGGAGATGTTTGCAGAGGGGTTGAAGGTGGAAGTTGGACATTAAAACACATTTACAATATAAATTATATATATACATATTATCCTGGTTCTTCAAATTGCACTTTTCACATCCTGGCTTGAGTTCTGTCACATCCTGGGCCTGTTTTACAGGTCACACCATCAGGGGCTTTTCAAAAGGTCATGTTGAAGAGGCTTCATGTTTTATGTACGTAGTATATAACAATATGAGATAGTATCAACATGTTATACTATATGGAAAAGAAATATATGTATATATTACTATATACTTATATATATACATATTTTTACTATCCCTCCACCATTTTTGCATGCTGCGTGCACGTCTAACTCAGTGTATCTACGACTCCAGAATGAAGAACCCCCTTGATTTGGTATTCAGCTTGCCTTTGATTCACACTACCTTTATCCGTGTTAATTGCAAAATCGCCAATTAATATTCTAGTTGACATGGGTAAACAAAGGAGAAATGCGTAAAGCAAATTCAAGAGAGGATAGATAGTTAACGGGATTATGATGCAGAATAGAAGAAACCTAATTAATCAGCTGGAGATTACCAACGCGTGTTTGTGAGTGGGTTCATCTAGGTTGAAGGGAAACAGAGAAAAAAGACTAGACATAGAAAAGATCAGCTAATTAATCAGCTTGAGATTCGCTCTCAGGAGAGGAGAATTAGCCAAGGGAAAACAGAACGTGTAATGGTGTAGAAGGAGTAAACATGGACAACCTAATGTACCAAGCTTAAGAAAGATGTAGCCACTTGTGGCATCATTCAAACAACTATACTAGCAGCATTTGGACGCACCGAGGGCTCTTCAAAGAAGCTTCTCGCTTCCTAGATGTTTGACGAAGACACTCACAAGTTTCGCAGATGTCACTAGTAGTAAAGGGTTCTATTTGTCAAGTTTGTTGAACATGCACATACTGTTTGGTATGGAAACCAATTTTATGAATATAAAACAACAAATACACAATAATACACATGTCACATAAACTACCCTTCACAAAAAGTATTGGGAACACAAACAGTGAAAACATATTAAAACATGACTAAACTATTGTTTTGTGATGTGTTGGAACAGAGGAAAATAATGAGGTGCTTTTTCCAAGAGTTTGGGGAAGCCAAGCACACATACAAGTTGAACAAACTTCTGCCCCAACGTCGGTACCAAAACGTCCATGCTTTTTAGGAGCCCTTGGGTCTTTTGTCCCACAACTTTTCCTCGAATCTTGTTCTTCTCTCTTAAACCCTTCATCTCAGACACCTCAACTACCTGAGAAACTGGGAATGCATCTGATATACCCTTCAACTGTATGTTTTTTTTTGTTGTTTTCTTGTTTGTGGATGGTTTGTTTGTAATTTCAATAGATTTGCTTTAGAAGTGTCTTTGCCGGGGCATCAATCAAACTTCCCACGTATTCCCAAGGAAGATGCTTGTGTCGAGCGTTTCGCTACAGTGAAAGGCTCATTTGTAGTTACAGTAAGAGTCTGGGAAACATGTTAGGAAAAGTGCCTTCAGTAATCCAAAAGTTCAGTCATGATAATTCTTCTTAATTCGCAACACTTTGCAACTCCACACGCAAGTTTCTTTAACCCAAAAAACAGCAGAAAAGTGTTCTTCCTTCGACTTGAAGGCCATTATTGCCTGAATTGTTGATGTGTATTTACAGTAGATTTGGATGTTGCATAGAAGCACATCAAATGTAATTCAAACAGGTACGTTGCGACGTTGTTATACACAAAGGAAAACAGAGTGAGGTGCGCATAACTGCATCCTTGCATCACTACAAGGACGTCATTACCCCTACACTTCCCCACCCCCTCAAAAACGGAACTATAATTCAAAAACACCTTGGACATAGTGCCCGAGACTGGCGCCCGTCTCGTGTGAGGCAGCGCAAAGACAAGCCTCCGATGTCTTGGAAGAGAAGAGCCCCTCGTACGGCAACCGCTCCGACCGAGACCGAGAGACTGAGAGAGGGTCCCTGCCGGTGTTTGGCCGAGACCTGTGTAGCATAGCATGCCGGAGGGAAGAACACCTGTTGGATGGTTCCCTCAAGGAGCTCTTGGTCCAAAGCGGTGCGCCGCCGTGCTGAGCCATGAACAGCCATGGACAGCCTTTCTAGTATGTTCCACCTCCGCAAACGTCGTTTTCCAGTTCCTCCGCGCAGGTTATATGGAGGAGCGACGTGTGCAGATCGAAGCACGCGAGGCCTCCTTGCCTGTCATGGAACGAGCTTGGAAGGCGAAGCGAACGCGGTGACCCGCGCGTGCCGGCAGAGGGCCACAGGGCAGAGGGCGTTTGCCGGTGAAACTGGGGTTTGGATCCGGTGAACTGGCAGAGGCCGTCCTCTATCAAACATGTCTTTGAAGAGGACCACTATTGAAATATCAGTCCCACATGGGTGTCATGCTGGAATATGCTAGACTTGGTGTCCGGAGCAAAGATGTTCTTGAGGTCGGCTGCTTGATTGGGGGTTGGGGCATGCTTTTTATTTATTTATGATCTTCTTTTTTCACTGAAAACCATTTGCCGCAAGCTACACCCCGTTGCAGGAGGTGGTGGCCCAAGTTGGCCGGGATCCTAAGAAACGCCCTGCTTTGCTGGCAATGGCCATCGAACACATCAGCAATGAGCTCCTCAAGGATTGATGTTCTCTTTCGGGACGTCAGTGGGTCAAGGCAGGAGACGGATCGGGCACTACCTACCTGGAGACGGATCGGGTCCTGGTGGACCATGGTGGACGGGCTCCAGGTTTTCACCCATCCTTGTTCAAGGCAAGCCCCCAAGACCTGTCAATAGGGTCTAGTGGTGACAGAGCTGAGAACGGGTCCTCAGACATGAGAAGAGGGACGCACTAAGGTTGTCTTCACCTTGACCTGCAGATAGTGATTCAGATAGTGTTTTCACATGTTTTCACTAAACTGTCAGCAGATGACATTGGGTACTTTCCAGAATCACTACTCACAGATGATGGGTCTGGAATATATTAATATATATATATATGCAGTATAATAGTGATATAAATATAATATATAATATGTTATCACAACATGTTATTATTGCATCCCAGACACTCCATGTATATCATGTATACTGTATACATAGTAGAGGTGGTTTCAGGGGTCAATGTATGCAAATAGATAGAGTGTGTGCGTAATCAAGTTTATCCCACTGACTTCTACCATGAACACACGAAGGAGGTGCTCCGGCGGTCCTTAACATGTTCACTCTTGTAGTGATCACGATGTCCGGCAAATGTAATGACCTCACAACTTGGAGGCGTTCCACCGAGCTTGTTCCAAGGAGAGGTGTCATGTGTGACTTATAGCCGAGAGATCGTATGCACAACATTAATTGTATATATATATATATCTATAACTATAAGCTAGAAACTATGTAAAATATATATATATATATATACATGTATGATGTAGCTTGCAGAGCAAATCTTCCTGCTCGCATTCTGAGCCAACATTTGCTCCAAGCCTTCCTTTGCATACCTTTGCATGCCCCCCGAACTCGTCACGTTTCTTGGCCGTTGCAAGGACCAGCGCTACATCAGCTGCTTTACTGCCTTGGAGCAAAAAGTCTCCTCCGACGATCGCCGGGGCGAAAACCCACCGCTTCGGCGCGTGGTGCGAGAAGCGGCCAGCGAGCGCCGTCGCACGCCGCGCAGAAGCACGCCGTGCCAGGAGGTGGCAGGGATGGGGTCGAAAAAAGGCCGAGCGGTAGAAGGACCTCGTGTTTCTTTTTCTTAAAGCCTCTTTTCAGTGGTCTGAAGAAAAAGACTTATCATTGCCAGCTTCCAGTGGGAAGTGTTGGTGTACTTGAACGTGACGGTCGTAACCGGTGCCCGTGACATTTCACCGAGTTACACCGTGGCCGTGGGAGCGGCCGGTTGGGAAGCGCATGTACCCAACAGAGGTGGGTCAACGAGCCCTACTGTTCGACTATCCCTATGCATAAGTAACCTGCTCAGGGTCCGACATTTCATGAAAGTCCTCTCTGGTCCAATCTGGATTTGCCAAGGCGGACAAGCATGAGACTTCCAGACAACCCGAGGTTCTGCACCCGCTCCGGTGCATCTGACTGCAGGTCCCAGCACCAGTCTCGGCTGCATCAGAAACGTTGGAGGATGATTTGGAGGTTGAGTTGGAGGTTGAGGTAGATTCTCCGGCGGATGAGCCTTGGCCGAGACAGTTGGACGAGCCAACCATTCCTGAAAGTGGTGTTAAAAGAGCCCTGACTAATCAATGGCTGTTGTTTTTGGATCAAGTTGTAGCAGTTTTACCCTTCTTCTACCTTCTTCTTGAGATTGGTGGTCCGTTGTTCCATGTTGTTCCCGTGGAACTGATTCCGTTCCGTTCCCCTCCAGCAACTTCAGGTAAGTACAAAGAGGAGACAAACAACACGTGTGGGTCAAGGGAGATGAATCATTTTGACAATTTTGACATGTCGACATCCATTCAACGTCTTCAAAAACACACAAACTGATGTGAAGCAGACATTTCTGTCATAATCCAATACCTTCACACCACTTTCCCATGGAAAAAGCCACGTGAATTTTGGAACCTTTCTTTTCTTTCGGCCTCACCGATGGTGCTGCCCCGCCCAGGTGGACGGCGACGGAGAGGTCATTTGGACTCCACGTGAGTCGGTCACCGCGGTGCCCGGTTCGGTGGTCGGTTCCGCGGCTCTGGAGCGGTTCCTCGGCAGGCCGAAAGGTGAGTGAAACTCTGACGGTTTTTGTTTTTTTTTGGGGTTCGATGTTTCGTGGATAGCATTCAGTGGGGAGTTTTTGTTGTTTTTCTCCATTCCTTCTGACCCTGCTCATGAGCGAGTCTCCGAAACTGGGGAAGAGTCTTCTTTTTGCGAGGTAGGCGAGGTGCTTTGTTTTTTCTGGTTGTCTGGACAGCAAAACCCCAGAAAACGTCGGTGGGAGGAGCTTCTCGGAGCTCGGTCAGAAGAACCCAATGAGACTGTCCATGGTGGAGGAAGCAGGGAGAAGGTCTTTCTGCGGAGTTAACGCGCGAAACTCCTGCAGGAGATGTGCTTTTTGTGATGAGTTGGTGAACCCCTGTCAGCTCGCCTCGTTTTCTCCACAGCTTGAGTTGGGGTCGGGGAAGGACTCCATTCGAAGCCCTTGGCACACACTTCATAGGACTGAAATATTTACATGCAGTGACCCCAGGTCAACCATCCCAATGTATGTATATGACATACATGGAGTGTCTGCGTCTTGGCACATCCATTCACGAATTGTGTTGTGTTCCTCACGTCTCTGGGACTTTGTTTTACTGCAATGTATGGCTTGAAATGGGATGAAATGGGCTTGAAAAAGATCTTTATATAAAACCGTGGAAACTTGGAGCACAGATAAATAGATTATTACAGCCTAGACTTGATTTTGACTTTTCCCAGTCGTGGACGATTCGCCCCATCATGTCCAAGCCAAGAATCCGTCTCCGAGTGAGGATCACTCTGCTTGGCTTTTCTTAGTTAGTAGGGGCATCGTTAGGGTAACAAAAATAGTTGTAACTTGTTTTTTTGATGTTTTTTGAACATGGAAGAGAAACCATCTTTGAATATCATTGGACGGAAACAGCGGCACACACACACATACAACACAGACCACTCCCGGACCCTGCTTGGTGGGCATATTAGAGATGGGATGGCAGAGTTTGGGGTATTACTCCTACCAACTCCTCCACATTGCCCTTACCCAGGCCCTAGAGGTGCCTCAAAAAGACAAGGTCACCGCTGATGAATGGTGTGCCATGTGAAAGCTATTTATACTTCATGGAGTTAGTGCGCCATGAACATAGCATCAACTTGCACATGGCCATGGGGTTGATATATGCTTTTGGTGCCAAGTGCATAACATGAAACAACCAACATAGCAGCGGAACACCCAAAGGGTGGACGCCCAAAGAACCCCAATCCATGTCTGATGCAATTCGAAGCGCATCCCGTTGCATCCTGAGGATGGGAGCTTCGAAGACTCAAGAGGAAGATCAGGCGACGCCAGAGCAGATCTCCAGATATATATCATGCGTTTGTGACAGTAGGTATCAGATGGCTCCAACACACCTTGGCTACCCAACAAAGTACTGCCAATACTTCCAATTTCAGAACGACCTGCTGGTGCAATCGCCACGATTTAAAATCGATGGAATAGACACCGTGTTCAGAAATTTTGTTGGAACTCATCTTTGCCATTGCTCTTTCAAGTTGAAGAATGCGCTGTGCGCATGTTTTGTTTTGTTTTGAGGTATGCTTTGACCAGGGCACAAGTGCTGTTGCAATTGACGAGAAAAAAGGCAAGATCCGTAATTTGCGTTCCTTTCTACCACGGTGTCCAGGCCACTTCGACTGAGCCTGAGATGAAGAAAGTGGTCACCAGGACTGGCTGGTTTGGCGTGAGCACTAGGCGATGATGTTGTGTTCAATAGGGACTCGCAGAATGAAAGCTGAAGAGTGGTTGACGGGAAAGCTGCTTTTGCTGGGTGACTGGAGGGGCATTCCCTACCTTCCGACTGGTTGACATCGGAGGTTGATTGAACACGTGCTTCCACTGCCTTCCACCATGATTTGAGAGACTATGTTAAGTACTTAGCACAATAATTGATAGTTATTGACAGACATTTTCACCATCATTTGATCAAAGTCTAGAGTCCAGAGGCAGAGCCGATTCTTCACCAAACGTTGGACCCACAGCGTTTTATGTCTCCTACCAGTCAGTGGATAACCTTCATATAACCGTTTTTAACCTTTTTGGACGGATTGCTTTCCCTACGTCATACACAAAAATCAAGTGGGCGAAGGTCAATCTGTATTTTCCAGTAAAACTGAGGGGATTGCTATGGTCTTTCTTGCTTTGCGCACCAGCAGGTCAATCACGGCACCGCCACGGAGGCTGCACCGCTGGCCGCCATCAAGCGCAAGTGGGCGAGTGTTGGTGCAGACGACACGTGTCGGATTGGTGATCGATCTGTCCGTGGCATGCGGCTGTGGGTCATGGGAGCGGGGTACCTTTGGTTGACCACAGAAAATGAACAGATAACAGAATTGACTATTAAGGAGGTGTTGGGCTTCCCCTATTGTTCAGAGAAGCCCAGGGTATGGATCAGACCTGCCCGAATCATTGTTGGTGAACGTCGGGTCAGCACCTCAAATTCCCATCGCAGACATGTCTTGCCATATTGCTTTCTTTTTAGTGCTCATTAGTACTCGAGAGCATATTGAAGTGGTTGGTCAAGCGCAAAGTTCTGCATTGCAGCCAATCTCTGGGGGGCACGGGATGAGTGGCCCATATTTCACAGGAAGTACTGCGCCACTCTCGACGACATGAACAGGGCTATATGAACCACATCTTTAAACAAAAGGACTCGTAACATACGACGCTTTGGAGTCGAGCGTGTTGTTTCATTTGTCCCTATTTGGATCTATTTGGGCTATGTTGGGATACTACTGTTTGGTTGCTTTCCAGTAGGTGTGTCAGGGTTTGGACCCCCCGCAGCCTATGTGAGGACTCCCTTTGCAAGGGCAGGTGCAACATGGGATGATTTCGGAATGTAAGCCTCTCAAGGATACACGGAGAAGAAACACACACAGCCTCGTTTGGATTCCTGTTGAATGATCATTCGTTTACACCAAGGTGAGTTCCAAACAACTCATGTTTCATCTTGATGGGGTTTGTGGAGCAGATTTGATGTAGGGAGGCCGCGGGGTGTCCTGCTCAAGACAAAAGAAAGGAATGCTTAGGGCCATTGGTCTGATTGGGGCATGGTTGGCGGCATTTGTTAGAGAAGATCCTAGTCCCAGGGAGTGTTTTTGCAACTGCACTTGTAGCATTGAGCATCGTTTGAGCAGTGCAGCCACCAGTTGGCAGTGGGAACTGACTAAAGGACTGATATTTGTTTTCATTGGTGCGTTGATCACGGTTGGCTGGAAAGTGGTTGTCCTGTTGATTCAAAAGCCGGTTGCAGTGTGCAAGTCTGGGCAATTCGACAACAAGACAAATTACCGTCAACAGAGCCTGAATTGGACAGTGGGTTGACTGCAGAAGGGCAAGTGGCAGTAGAGGCGCGTGCTCGAGAGCAACTCGCGACTCTGAGGCATATGTATGACGTTGGTGGACCTGATCTTTTCCATGAAAGATATGTGTTAGCAAGCTGTCAGTGTGGTCGGGGTTGGCACATCGTTTTGACTCCGGATGATGATGTCTACCCTGAGCAGATTAGTCTAGAGAATGAAGATTTGTCTTCATACAGGTTGGGCATAGGACCAAATCTTCCTCACGGCTTGACGGCAGCAAACACCTATCGGATCAGGAATCGCCCAGATCCCCAGAGGCTACAGCAGATGTTGGTGGATGCACGACATGCTGCATCTGCCTTAGCATTCCCCCCAGGAGCCGGTCCTGGCTTGGGCGCCCCGCCAGTTGCAGCACCGGCGGTCGGGGCGATCCAAGCTGAGGCTGGCGATCAGGTGTGGGTGCGCATTGAGACAGATGGAGACAAACACCGAGGCGAAGTAGTCACCCTGACTGGAGGTGAAATCATCCACGGAAATGTTGGTTTGAAGATGGAAGGAACCACACATTTTGCAATTCGCCGAATGTTGCGGGCTGACGTTGAGGCATTCAAAGGGAAGGAAGCTTCTGCCGACGCGAGACTCCTTGGAATCAGCTTTCAAGGCATTGTGATACACGAGCGAACTTGGAGGGATGTCTCAAAGGAACTTTCAGAGGAGGAGTTCAGAGATTGGGGCGTTCCTGGTCCGAGAACATCTGCTTGGTGCACCAGGTTTTTGAATCGTCGCAATGGTGGCCCCAATTACCATCACAGGTGGTGGGTGAACAACCACAATTTGAAGCATGATTCCTGGGGAGTGAGCGAGCATGAACATCTCATGAAAGTGCTGGACAAACTTGGCCGTTTTGATGGGCTGGACCTCTCGAACCTTGCTGGCGCTGAACTTGCTTTCCGAAGGCTTCAGTTGATCGAGTACTATTACAGCGATCGTGGGCCAGGAAGTGGAAACAAGGGTGCTGGGGAAGGGGACAAGAAAAAGGAAGATGACCTTGTTTACAAAATGGAGTCTGCAATTTTTTCGGGTTCCCACAAGGAGTTTGGAGATGTTATGGTTTGTCCAACACTGATGGACTATGTATCCAAGGAGATTGAAACAGAGGCATCCATTATGAAGCAGGTGAGGAAGGCGCGTGAGGAGCGCGCCGCAGCCAGCAAGTAGCTGATCTGCTTCTGCCGCAAGGAGCAATGGACTCCTTGCACTATGAGAAGGTGCAAAACAACAGCGTTGGGGTGAGGCAGCGTGGAATTTCCCATTACCCGTTCCACGGATTCCCACAGTGCCAAATTCTTCTGCGGTCAGTAGAACTGTGCGTAGGAGACTTTTTGAGGCTGGGCATGTTGACTCTTGGGTTCGTGACATCGTCATTGCTTTGAACGGCATGTACGCCGGCCGAACAGATGAGGGCAGTTTTGAGGCATGTGGGTCCATCACCTTGGCGCAGCTTGATGACCATATGTGGGGGGGATGCACCAGACCTGGCGAGAGCCTAAGGCTACAAGCCAATCAGGTAGTGAAACCATCTCGGATGTGCAAGAACTATATCCTAATCATCAATCAACTCAGGTCAAGAGGAGGCGTCAGAATGACTTCAAAGGTAGGAGAAATGGACGAGGCGGTCGAGATCGATCAGCCTTACCTTCAATGGCTTGGTCCCGCTCTGAACCGGCTGAAAAGCACATGCAGTCCGCAGTCCTCAAGGGTTTTCAGTTTCACCAGGGAGGAAGGAGTTGCTCACTTCGAACGGGTGGTTCACCAGCTGAATTACCACAAGGTGGGGATTCAATGCGTTTATGAGCTTCGACATGGGTCAGCCAGCGCAGACGCTCTGGAGAAGTTCCGCACCCTCGACCAGATTCAAAAACGGGGCAGGTGGCAATGGGGCAAGAGCGTCAGAAGGTATGCCAATGGAGGCAGAGTCTCCCAGGTCTTCCAAGAGCTCAGCCAGGAAGAGCAAAGACAAGCCAGCGTGGCAGAACCCGAGATTGTCAAGATTATCGGACCTGCTTTGGGCAGAACAGCTTGCAAGAGATAGGTTTGGAGATTTTTTCGGTTTGCGGGCGACTCTCAAGGGCCATGCGAAAAAGGTTGAAAGCAGTGCAATGCATTGAGATCGACAATATTCATGGCCCTCAGTTTGATTTGACAAGTCGGAAAGTGCAACGTGATATTTTCAAACTCTTGCGGTCTGGACAAATTGTTTATGTCTGGTTGAGAACTCCTTGCAATTCATGGTCACGTTCCAGGAGGGGTCCCGGTTCCCTTCGAGATGATCATAACAACATTTATGGTTTTCCCTGACTTAAGAAGGCTGACATGCAGCAAATACACGTGGGCAATTCTCTGATGCGTTTTTCGGCGAGTTTTTCGATATTGCTTGGCTCATGGTATTCCTGTTACGTTGGAGAATCCTCACACTTCACGGTTGTGGCTGGCTCCTCCTATTCGATATCTGGTCTCCCATAAGAACACTGAGTATGTCACTACAAACTTTTGTCAAGATAATATGCCTTGGAGACAGCGGACTGGCTTCCTCTCTGCCAATATCTCGCTCAGGTCCAAGTGCCGACGATGCACAGGACCTCGGGGGGGTTTGCTCCAGGACCCGGGTGTCCCACGAGCGGCCAGCGGACGCGAGGGGGGGGAAAGCTTAGAACCTTGCTTGCTCACCCTTGGCTGTTATGTAGTCGTCTCGCCTCTGCCTTTGCTTACACCATTCACCACACCAAAAGCCAAGCACTGTGGAAATATTTTGTGTAGGCGGGACGTCCAGATACGCTTTTGGGGTTCCAGAAAGATTTTGGACAATCGGCTGAATGGCCATACATCCTTTTCGAGCGGCCTGAGCCTTTTGTAAAGACAGTACCTGGCCCTGGAAGCAAAAGGCGCGGAACACTCATATGAAGACATTCGAATTGGCAATGTGTTTTTGGTGACCCTCCCTCCAAAAAATGCAGACAGCAGTAAGTACAATAGATCTATCTTGACCTCGGTCAGCCGGGGCGCCCGGTCATCGTCGACCCGAGGATCCCATCTGCGCGCCTCGAAGCGAGCCCTGTGCGCCAGGTGAAAAGGGGCGGTGTGTTGACGTGGGGAGCGGTGGAGCGGTGGAGTGGGGTGCGGTGTGTTGACCGAACAAGCAGAGATGGACGATTCTGGGGGGCTGATTCGGATATGTGGGGGTAATGCCGCATGCCGAAAAAAGAGTCTATTGCCTATTGCGGATGAGATTTGGCAGGGTGATTCTGCAGGTTGAAGGGGAAACATAATTATGTGAGTTTTCCAGAACGAGAGGCGGTTTCAGAGTTTTTCACTCATATAATATAAACGTTGGGGTATTTGAATTTACGCTCACAGAGGTGCCAAGTGACCCAAACGCCTCAAAGCTGTTGGAGATCATTGGAGAGATTTCACATCTGGATTTCTGCAGTTCCATCGGGGTGTCACCAAAGGTATCAATTTGATTTCGCACCGGGAACCTTTCGATTTTGGTTCATATAACTATTCAGTTTCTTGCTGCCCGCTGTATACTTCAAATGCCAATGCATGAGACTATGATGAAATACAAGACCTATCCGCAAGGCCTGATAATATCAACGTGTGTAATAAGAATCGCTCAGACCAGCCTTGATGGGTGCTGGAGACCCCTCACAATAGATCGGATGTTCAGACAAAGAAACGGAAATCCAGATCTCTCTCCCACCTATGGTCACCAATGCGTTGAGATAGCTGGCATTGAGGAATTGGAAAGCAACAAAAACATGGCAGGACTGCAAGATGATCAAAAGAATACGGACATAGCAAAATGCATGATACTGGTTGGATCATCCCTGTGTTCCTTTGGGAAGTGCTCAATCTGCCTATTAAGGTCTTGACAGGGTATAGACGATGCCTGATATCGGTGCATTCTAGTCTCTAGACGCTGGGGCTGGACCCGTCTCTAATGGTCTCTATTTGTTGTGCGCCCATGTCAATTCATACACAAATAAAGACCAATAAAGACCATATATAGCCATTTATATAAACCCACTACAAAAAAACACATTAATTCAATTCATACCCACATGTAAATCCACAAAGCCAACACATCTTATAGCTACCAACCCTCCTCCTCCGAGGGAGGGGACTTGTCAAGCCGGGCGTTCCGCGGTGTGTGCCGAGCGGTACCTCGCTGTGGAGGCCGTGCGGCAATGCTCTCAACCCTCGACCTTGCTGGGCAGCAACACCTCCCAACCCTCGGAGGCCCTGAGGTGCCCATAAAGTCATGTCGTCGTCGTCGTTTGGACCCTTTGGGGTTTCAAAAGGAGGAACATTTGCAAACCAAGGAGGATCATTTGGGTGGGAACCCAGTGAAGCCTTGAGTGTTGGTAATTCAACCCTATGAGGTCTCAACAAGCGTTTGGCTTGTACAGAGTCTTCGCAGTGACTAGATTGATACTGGGGAGGAGGGCTGGGGCACCACACACTCTTGCATTGTTTCACCACCCATCACCAGGGTTCTCACCGTTCTTGGTGAGCACGCTGGGCAATTCGTGTGAATTACTATAGATTCCACCTCCAAAAAAAAAACAAATATATATATATATAATATATATATATTATATATATTATATACACATATTATATTTGTATATCCCAGATTATAGTGTCAGATGGCGACTTCCTCCATCACCAGATCTTATCTTCTCGGCATCCTTCGGTCCTTGGCACTGCGCGCCACGAGGTTCGTCTCGGCCGCCTCTCCGCCCGCGGCGCCGCGCTCGCTGGAGCCGCCCTCCACGCCACAGATGCCTCCAAGACCTCACTGGCTCGAGATCAGAGCTGGGGAGCTTCTGGGTGAACCCAGCTGGGACTGCAAGCACCACTTAGAAACTCGTGCGGAGGATCATGGTGAGGGAGTTGATTCACAAATGTTTTATGTTGGGATATCTTGTAGGCCACACAAAAACGCTGGGAGTGCCAAAGAGTGCAGTGGTGCGAGTTCATGTTTGTTTGCAAGAGTGTCAAAGGCCTTTCGTTACCTGACTGACCCCGGTTCAGCAGCCCCGGTTCGACTGGTATTTGAAATTTGAAACCTTATAAACTCAGGCGTGTTTGACGTCCTGAAGTTTGTTGAGACATCGCTGGAGACAAACAAAAATCCATGCCTTTGTAACTGCTGGTGGTTAATATTCTTTGGGGATGGTGATGGTTCGCAAATCTTCACCTGCGAAATCGGGTGGTCAAGATTTCTCGGCAGCCTACCAAGTTGGCCCCACCAACGTCAGAAATCGATTCTCATCCGGCTTGCCATGGCTTGCCCTAAGAATCGATCGATGGTCAGTGGCAGCCGGTGGACTGATGTGCTTGGTACATTTGGTGAGAACTGCTGTGAACTTATTTTGGAAAACATGGATTCCCTGAGGTTCATTTCCCATCATTTCCCTGAGGAATTTCCCTGACAAATCCATCTAATTCATTTCCCTGAGTCGCCAGCTGAAACCAAGGTTTCCCTATTCGCCACAAGCACTGCAGCCTGTCATGATGCCTGCCGCTGGACACGCCGGACACGCCGGACACACCGGACACGCTGTGCAGCTGCCGTCGCCCGCAGTGGCGCCCGCAGCGCCCGCGTCCTACAGCGTCCCACGGTTTCCAGCGCCAACGGTGATGAGCCCCGCACAGAGGACGGTGGTGTGGACGGTACAGCGGTGAAAAAAGAAGTGCGAAGGAACGGCTCGGCTTGGAATCTGGGTGTTTTGGTGGAAGTGGGTGGAACTCTGGTTTCGGTGGGGAAAGCCACTACTGTTCTTCTAGTCAGGTTTGAGAAGGGAAGGATGTTTTGTCAGAATTTCCCTGAGGATTGAGAATTCTTGCATTTATTATTCGTTTTATACCAGGCAGAATGAGACTGGTGGATTTTTTGTTAGTTTAGAAGACTCGGTAGTGGTAGAACCTGTGGACTGGAACCTTGCTTGGATTTGATTCGATTTATCTCCATTTATCTCCTAGACTCCGCCTGAGCTTTGCAGCTAGTCAGCTGATGTTAGCTGTTCTGGACAGCCAATCTACCAACGTCGCTGGTGGAGTCGCTCAGGTGTCATCCGATTTGGGCTCAGGTCTGTCTCAAAGACGAGGTCTCTTGGTGTCACGAACTTCAACCAGTCAAGGTTTTCTAGTCTGCGACATGAAGAAACCATCAATACCATGGTATACCATGGGACAGATGAATCTCTACATCTGTAGAGAGATATCTCTTCTATAGATGAATTATATAGATCACCGGAGCCGGCCCAGCCTGCCGAGCCCGCAATCACCCATTTGTTTCAGATGTGAATCCCCATCTATAAGTTCAATATGATCAATGAATATCAATGATGTATAAATTCATTGAATCAGGTCTCAAGAGAACTGTCAAACGGAAGGCCAGAGTCCTCTCCACCTCCTTCCACCTGCCAGGCCCCCTCCACGTGGACACCTATCACGTGGGACCGATGCAGGTGAGGCTGACACCCAGCGGCTGCACTGTTGAATTGAAGATTGATCGATTTGTTCATCCCACCGTCCATGAAGAGATATATTATGAAGAAGTGTTTTCAAATGGGAGGCTATAGACTCTGATTAGTCTCAAGAGTCCCAATTTAGGCCGTTTTGATTCGCCCGACACAAGGGCACCAACATGGGTGTCTCCATCTTCGACTTCCATTGGACTCCAAAATGCCTGAGTGTGGAAGAGCTTTGGAAGGTCAGAAGTACCTTCTGAGACTTCCACATTTTCTATAGACCTTCCAACCCTTGGGTCTATTATAGACCTATAGACCAGAACGATCCATGTCTTCGGATACAAGACCTTTCAACCTCCAACCACCTCGGCTTCCTCGGCCAACCAGGTGGATCACCAACCCTTCGGGATGATCCGAGCACCTGAGCAGCACGGTACTGCCCGGAGCATCAGCGTGGCACTGGATACCTAGACACGACCTGTTTGACACTGTCATATATCTATATATCGATCAGTTGAGGTGGTTGCCGTGTTGATCTGGGGTTAATATGCAAATATTCCATACAATGGAGTGTGTCGGGTATGGTATATATTTATTCATATATTTTCTAGAACTATATAATTCATGTAACGCAAGGTCTAGTCCGAACGTGGGTGGTTTGGAGCCGGGCTGGCTCAAAAGACCCCCGAGAACACCGTACAGCTCATGTGCTGCAAGCACAGAGCTATCGAAGCCACCATGCAGTCGGTGGAGTGGACGAAGCGATGACTGGGTTCTGAGGAGATGTCCGGGGAGGTGTTTGCCTCCTTTCCCTTCGAAGGTGCGCATTTTTGCGGTGACGAATGGATGCACTGCAGGGATATATAGGGCTCAGGCAGGGCGTCGAGTTCCTAAAGCCTGAAAATTGGATGAGCTTCTGCCCAGACACTGCATGGGACTGCTTCGGCTCCAACCTTCAGGGGCTTGATGTAGGCCTTCCAATATGGAATGTTTGGGAAGAAGACAAAGATCAGCCACTTGGGCTGTGCCAGTGCTGACGTGTAGTCTCGTGAGCTAGTAGTTTCTCTTTCGTGTCGTCGGTTCAGCGTGCTGTGCTGACGACATGTCGATTCGGATCCTTTCGGACTCAGTTTTTCATTCGCACCAGTTCTGGGAGAGGAGGAGAAGGTCTATATTGTTTTGGTTCTCAAAACACACCAAAGCGTACCAGAGCCTTCTCAGGCGAAGTAGTGCAAACTGCTACCATGAGAGTGGAAATGAAAGGTCATGGTTGCACAGTGTTTTTCGCTGCACAAGACGACGCCTGTAATGTTCCCTGATGCCTTAGGATCCACAGGTTGGTCCAACCATCTGGTGGCCTTCTGGATCATGAGTATATCTTGTGATTAGTAGAACCCAATTTAATTGGAAAACCTCGCCAGTAATGTCAATGATAATGTAGAGACTTGATAAATATGCTATCTCTTGATTAATAACCGTCCAATTTGGATGCATGCACTTGCGGGTCCAAGACAACGCTTCCACACGGTCCCTTGCTGGTTGGTACAGCGGGTACCGGCTCCAGTAAGGAGTGAGAAGGTAACATGGCACAACAGTACCTACCATGATCTTTGTACAAAACCAAACTTCTTCATATATCGGGGTCTTGCATGTGAATCACGAGTCTACATTAGGAGTCTCGCTTTAATACTTGCATGCTCTTTGTTCTTTAGTTGCGAAGTGCCTAGTACAAGGTTCCCTCCCTTAAGCCCTAAAATGTCAAATCCCACCCCCCGCAAAAAATAGTAGTAGATTCCTTTTACATGTGTTGCGTTCAAAGTTTGGAGTTGCGTGTTACTGTCAGTAAGTTACTGTTGTTTTCTCATCTCCATATCCTTCCACATTCCAAGATATGTTGTTCGACTAGCTCCTCTTCACGCCAGGGATCCTGGGCTTAGCCTTCCCCTCCCTCTCCTTCGCTCACATCGAGCCCTTCTTCGCGCCTTGGAGATCACAATCGTGGCAGGTTGGGGTGAAACCCGTGGAGGCTCCACACTGTTGCGGGTCACCGTTTCGTTGCCTACATAAACCGATGAGCTGGTTGACCGAGCGGGGTGTTTGGGTTGTCCCAAGTCTTTGGGTCAGTCGGATCTTGTTTGCATGTGACAGGTGATTTGGATCAGATGTTGGTTACAAGATGTTACAAGTGATTCGACCGTTCCAAGTTCTGGGCAGATGTCAGGTCAGATGTCAGAAATATAACCCTGTCCTCACTCAGTGGTCGAAAGGGTCCAGAAAGGCAATCACTGAGTGAGAGGTTGGGTCCAATGACTGGTAACAGTTGATAATAGACGATGATAATTGATGTTCACTACTTTTGAGAAAGGCCTGCAATCTAACCATTATGCTGATTCACCAGGTGGTTTCGCGAACGAGCGCGGATAGGTTTGTTTGTTTGGATGTCTAGGACTGGGTGGGTGGGTGGACAAGCTCGCTCCAACAAAGCCCTACCAAGGAAAAGTGGACAACATGCAAAACCTTTCTTGGGGGTTGGCTTGATCACTCAACAACAAGTGCAGCCACTGATGAAGCCGACTTTGTGGACTTTGTAGGACACCTTTGGGACACTCGACCTCTTCATTGGCAAGCTGCTCGTACTTCAGTCTCTCCCAAATGATCTTTTCCTCAAAACCAGATCCAGCCCGTCTCCAGTCTGAACCACGAAATTGAACCATCCATTTCTGTCGCTGAGAGGAACGTGTCATCAAGAACAAGCGCTGCTTGCGAAGCTTGCTGCAGACTAATCTTGGTTGGACTTAGCAGTTGCTTGGTCTCCCACGACAATATGCCAAAGGTGGCACCATGTGAGCGGCTGAGCCAGTAGGACAAGTAGATACAAGTAGTAGAGGAGAGTTGTGATACGTTGTGCTTGTATATTGCTGTGATGTACAACATGTATACATGTATATATGTATATATATATACATAATATAATTGAATTTAGATGTTGATACAGAATCTTGAATCTTCTGCAATTGAATGTCACCAAACAGGATACCGTATGAAACGTACATGCGGTCCTATTATATACGTACAGCACCTGGACTCCTCATGGCGAGACTCCCTGGCAACCGCCAGGCTGTTGCGACAAAATGAGTTCGCGTTCTACCTCAATGTCGACAGCCACGGACCTGGCACAGTTGGTTGGTACAGGGTTGCGTGGGGAACAGCGTTTCGGACAAGGTCCTGGTCTTTGCTTCGGGTGACTCTTGATGTTCCTTAGGAATGAATCCCTTTTGGAGAATAGTTTCTACTTTTTTCTCGGTTCCTTAAGCAAATCCAAGTTCAAGGGCAAGAAAGAGGCTTTGTCGCCGACTGTTTCGGTCTCTAAACTCTCTCATGATGTTGTTTATTTGCAAAGGGCTCATTGTTAGGGGTTGGACAGGTCAATGTCTTCGTTTTTTGTGTGTGTCTTTGTGTTTGTGTGTTTTCACAACAAAGAACTTGGGGCCAAACAGTCTTAGATTGTTGTTGTTTTGTTCATGGATTTGCACTGCACGATGCATCATAACGCTTTTCCCCCGAAAAAAAAGCGCCGCTTTCGGACCGCGTCCGTCCTGATGCCGAGGATGATCTTAGGGAGTGCAAAAAACACTTGTATGGTGACAGGGACGGTGGAGGGACGCCTTGGTAACATGCGTCATGCTTTTTCTGTTTTATCCAATTGCCATCTAGAGTTTGTAATGCTTGGCGATGCTTTGGTTCCGAAGATTTGGATTCAAAAGCATTTGGCGAGCTAATTGCATTGATGTTCAAGCTCAAACAGTCTAGAACCCTTTCCACCGAAGCTGATGCAACGCCCAGGCAATCGCCCTAGTGCCTTGCTGTGGGGAGGCGTGGATAAGGCACAGGATGTTGTTGGGGCCATGTAACTGTGTGGATATGCGCAGTGGCGTTGGCCTATGTTTTGAACATTGAACATGGTGGAGATGCATTCATTGATTCATCAAGGTATGAGAGCTCAAATTACCACACTTGACTTGTCGAGGGTTTGTTTCAAGACAAAGTAACAATCTAGCTGATCGAGCTATCTCCAAGATGCAGCTGTGGGCAGGCAGAGATGCTTGATGCTGTCGTTCAGCCAAAGCCAGCAATAAAAGGAAACCCTCAAGTCTCCATCATCCGCTTCCAAGGGGTCGAACATGGACAACCCTGCATTACTTGTAGGTCTCCATTTGACACCAGCGCTAGCTAACGATGCTGGTGTTCAGTGCTTTTCCCGGGACAATGCTTCTTGCTTCCTTTGCCTTCCACTCGGCAGCCAGGATCTCTATGAGGGAGACATCGTCATGTTCCCCGTGGCCACTTGTCAACCAGAGAAGGAGCAAACAAGGAAGATTGCATAGGTGGCCTTTTACGCCCTTTGTTGGTTGGTTCATTAGAGTGGATACCCGGTCATGTACGACCAATAGGTACCAAACTGACCCCTCTATTATTCCCAAAGGACATGCTTGGGAAGACCTGCTCGTTTCCTGTCGAAAGAAACAATGCAACCAAGCACTAGCGAATAGGAGTGTTGATGAGTGTTGAGACTGCCAATCAGTGAGGGTTGACCCACCAAGGGATGTTCTTTCCAACCTTTGCCAGCTTGAAACCACATGAAAAGATCAACTACGTAGGCAGCTCATGTCGTCTTCACCCGGCGGAAACCGTTCGTTCACATCGTTGGGCACACTTCGGTGGATCGGGAGTTGTTTGCTCACTCCTCCAGAGGTGTTTTCTGTTGTTTTGTCTTATAATGAGCCTTTGTTAGTTGCATGTGTTTCACACTAGATACACATAATTACACATAATTACTAAATGTTTGATATTTTAATGCTGCATATTATGTTTGTTTATTGTTTTACATTGTCACAGTTATGGATTCCAATCCAAGCTGATTTGTTTTTATGTCCTTCTTTCGGGCTCAGTCTACACCAGGCAAGTCAACATAGGACCTCTCGTCTTCGTTTGGAAAACACTGGTCACTCGACTCACGTCACTTCGGTTGCTTCGTCGGTTCGTCGGGCGGCTGAGGTGAAGCCACACTATTGGGCCCTGGAGCTCGTGGACTTCAGGAGACGGCGAGACGGGCCCGGGCGGAGCTCGTGGAGGCGGAGCAGGCCTGGGTGGAACGAGCTACTAAGTAGCACAGGTATCACTCATGATCATCACCACTGCACAGTAACTGCTGGGAGAAGTAGCACAGTAAGTCATGGTGCCGAACCGGGCCCAACCTTTTTCTTTTCAACAGGAGTTGTTGAGGAGAGTTCCTGTAGCAGAGACCGATGGGGTCTTTTCTTCTTTTGCCTTGGACATAGATCAACAGATACCTCGTGTGGATGGCCAGTTGCCACACCTGAAAAGAAAAACCACATTTACTTAAACATTATAAAATGATACAGATGATACAGATACAGTCAATTAAACATGCTAGAATGACAACAAATGAGGTTGGACACCTTTTGCTTGTTCGTTGTATTTTGCCTGTTGGATCTGGGATGAAAGGCGGTTGATAGTCTATGCTAGCTCATGCAAAGGCAATCTAGTTGTAGTGGCTGGATTGATTTGGGCATAGAAACTGCCTCAGGGGCTGTCGAATTTGAGACCTGGATGAGTTTGGAATGCCTCCTGTGTCCAATTTTGGGCTCCGGAAGTGGTTTTTCCTTCATCGCTTGCACTGGTTGAATCACCTCCTTGTTGCGCTTGTTGTTTCCAAAAAACATCCTTGGCTCACAACAGTCTTTAGAAACAGGGCAGGTCGGCTTTTGAAGACATGTCGAGGTCGGCTCTTGAAAATATGTCCATGTGAAATGACTTTTCCTTGAACACCACACTCCTTCGACATACCCGCAACCACCCGCATCCAGGATCGGCAACCGCTCACTCCTCGGCAAAAAGCCCACTTATTTGATTGTGGACACCGGCCGCGTCCTCAATGGAATCCTAGGGAGTGAATGGGCCGTCCACATACGCCTCCATGGGACTAGTCCCATGGGTCCACCTCGTTTTGGGGTTCCATGTGGTCCGAATAGCAGGGGACGAGCCGGTCCAGAGTCCTTGCAGGTAAAGGTGAAGGACGCAAAATTCACCAAGCCAGCTGATGAGCTGCCAGGTGGTGTGCGCCCCAAACAGGTGACAGTGTGGCCTGCTGCCCAAATTCAGCAGCGACACAACACTCCTAAGGGTGGTGGTGCATCAGTGCAGAAAAAATGGGCAACGGTGAAAGAAGTGCTGCGGCAGCTGGAAGAAAGTGGTTAAGATGATTCTGCCAACCCCAGCCCTCCATAGCCCTCCTATCCTTGAGTGGTCCCAGTTCCTGAACCGTTAGAGTGGTCTTGGTCCTGCAGGGTGGTTCTTGCATGTTCTGGCCTTGTGTCGGTGGTACCCTGCCGTCGAGGCACCGGGAAAGCTCACACTTTCAACTTGATGATTCGTTCATGTTTCCACCAAAGGGGGACGATCCATGCAGATCCCAAAATATCAACTGGTCACGTTTGAAAACACGAACGAAGCACTGGTAGTGATGTTTACCCCTGCAGTGTTGACCGAACGCCACCGTTTCGTGCGGTACGACCGGAGAGTTCCCGGTTGAAACGTCCACCGACCGGTAAGAGTTCACTTCGTGAAACCGTCACGAAGTGGGAGCCCAGGAACCACCTACTTCACCGCACCAGAGTCTATCTATGGGGCAATCATGGACTCCTTCCCAGAGGCAGGGCCATGGATTGCTTCGTTTGATAGCATCGCATGGTTTCAGTGACGCTGCAACCAACTGAAGGACCAAGTTCATGATCAAGACTGGAGTAGTAGGATTGATGTTTTTCACTGCATTTGACCATGGATCCGATATGATCCGATCCACTCCGACGGATTTTCTCTGACAACCTTAAGACCACACATGAACATGTGTGGTGACCAGACATTTGTTAGTTTCAACGAGAAGGTTTTATCAGTTCTCACGTGGTGCTTCTTGGTGATGGTTTCCTTTTTCTTGCGTGTACCCCCTCTCAAAAAAATAATGCAAGCTGAGCAGGACGCCTTTTGTGGAGGCAGATTGTTTTCCAGGGATCAAAGGTCCACTTCTATGATTCATTGCTTTGTTTCAAGGTCGTGAACAATCCAAAAACCTTCCAAGGTCGGGAGAAGCCGCCTGGGAAGTCTCGAGGGACACGGTGGGATCTCAGGCAACATGTGTTTTTTTTTTCCCAGTTTCTTTGCTAGTGTTTCTTAACGATGTCAAGAACCCTACCTGCCACACTGGAACAACCCTGCCTTTGGGTGGACGGAGGATGGTATTGGCAGCTTTTGCATGTTGCGAGGGGAACACGGTCATCCCTTGGTCTTGGGTGTGGGATTGCTCTCAACCGGAACAGTCTTTGTTGATGGTGCAGTTTGGACGCCTTTGAATTGCATTAAGAACTATTATTTACATAATTGTTTTTTCTAAGGAAAGCCATGAGAAGGGAGCTCGATAGTGGCGTTGGACACACATGAAAGGTTCATGAAGTTGGATAGCCCAATGGGGCCTGAAGACAAATATAACGGAGCCTGAGCGAGCCAGATTTCTCACCGTCACCCCCAGGCTCCGTGTTCTCATGTTGAGAAGACCTATCTGCCATTGACCTATGTCCTTCGAAGCCGGGAAGCTAAGCGAAACGTAGAAGCCCAGCGAAGGGACCTGCGGACCTGCTCGTCACTGAACTCGGTGTGTTCTGGTCGCACGACTGAGACACTTCTCGGGGTTTCTACTAGCAGCTCCTGGCATTACTACTACTAGTAGCCAATAGCTACTAGTGCCAGCTGCCAGCGCAGTTTCGATCAAAAACAGATAGCGTTGAGAAGACATCATATTTTGTGGGCTTTTTTGCCATCTACCCCGTCGCGTGTCCTTTTGGTTCCTTCCTCCTGTCCCCTTTTGCCTCCCCTTCTCTATCCCTGTTCTTGTCCCTCTACCTCATGGGGCTGGGACATGACAAGAATAGATGTCACGTCACCACGTGAGACATAAACAACAAAGACACCCATCTTGACTTTTGATGGCGCATCCCTGTCAACGGTGATGGTCTCTAAGCCATCTTCCTTGTTCAGCTCTATTTGGAAGACAGGAGCATTGGTGACAACAAATCGTGGTTTCTTGTGCGCCATTTTTGATTATCCAATAGTGCACAACACCTGTAGGTCTGTATATAGGTCCGTTGTTGCCACCATGCCTTTCAAACGAACGACGTCCACCCAAACGAACAACTACCGTCCCTCCATCCTGGACATGCCCCAAATTTCACGGAAGTTTTTAGGGTTTTACTCAGATGAGCTGTGGGTGAAAGCTGGGTAGAAGCGGTGCTAACCCATAAAACCACAGCTCATCGAAGACTTCGATGAGCTGTGGGGTGAAAGCTCGCAGGCGCCCACGCGCCCCAGGTGGCCCGAGCAGCACCTGGGATCTTAAGGTCTCCCAAGAGACGTGCGCGGAAAACGCCCTCCTCGTTGAGGTAACTGATCGTGTCAAGGACCAAATCACCAAAAGACTCTTCTTATATGTTCTTATTTCTTATGGTTTATGGTTTCTTCTTATGATTTCTGGTTTCTTATTGTTTCTGGATTCTTCTGACGATTTCTTTAAAACAACATCGAGAACAATACTTTTCTGATCTCTTCTTCATCCCCCTCCTTTGACCACACAAGGCAGTGGTTTGCGTCGCATGCTGCATCGACAATGCCACAGGCAAATCCTCGAATTGACATGTGGTTTATATATAATATAAGTAGGAAGTGAGAGGCCAGTAACCACCGCCAACTATCAATCATGGAACAAAAGGAATTGTCTAGTCTAGTGAACTGTGTGAGCAGTTTTGGCGGAGCGGCGAGGTACATGGTGGGCGACGACGCAGACAACTGCATGCCTGCTTTCATGAGGCTTGACATCAAGAAAGAGCTGCTTGGCAGACGAAGACAACGGCGCTGCCAAGACTTCGGGGACCCAATCGCGGACAGGGAACAAATCTTAGCATGTGGACATTCAGATCATTCAGTAAATCCAAGCGAGAAAGTACAGAAACCCAATGCTGAGGAGTTTCGTCCTCGCATGAATTGAATTCACTGTTCTCCAGAACATGCTCCGTTTACTAAGAATAAGGACTTGTTCGGACGAATACCAGGTGCACCTGTGGAAAATTTGTTCAATGTCCAAAGCAGGCCATATCAATAGTCAGACAACAACATCTATATGAGATTGGGGCCCGGGTGGTTTGTTTGCTTGGGTTTGTGCAGAAGAAACAAGATGGTGTACACCATTGTACACCAAATCAATGGAATGTTGCAACATGTTGCAACAAGGTAGCACCATATTAGGCTCATCTAAAACACTGCAAAGTTAAACAACAAAAACCTCAGAAGTGGTACAGCATAAAGTATTAGTCCTTTTTTTTTACAGCCTCAAGTTGTTTCAATATACCTGAACATGTTCTGCGGAGGAGAACAAATGTTGAGACACCTGCAGCAGGTCATGTCTTGCCTATCCGCAACTGAGCGAGGATAGGAGTTGCCTGGGTTCCAACATCGATTCAATGTCAGACAACCATAGTCTTCCCAGGGACTTGTCTGAAGACTGGGACATGGATGAACATGGTTCAGCCACCTGGGTGCTTTAGCAAGCCACCTGGGTGCAAAAGGCGACAAAATGCGCTTCACAGATCTCAAGCACATTTTTTGAGGTTCGGCCCTGCCATGATCCTAGGGGAGGCGGATGCGGATCGCGTTAACTTCAGCTTTCATGAGACCTGGAGCTTGCAGCTTTGCCCTCGCAAATGGGACACGGTACAGTACTCCAACACAATTTCATGCTTTGTGCTTGGCTTGGGCAAGGTCAAGAGGAATGTTTTTGCATTACATGGAGTGGATAGAGTTGGGCTAGATTTCATGAGTATGATCCAACTTGTTTAGTCTTGCTTCTCTATTCGACTCAATGTCCATCTCCGGGCCAGGTCTTTATGCGCCATTTCTTCACTGTCTTTAGTCGTGGCAGTGGGGATTTGAATGAGGCATGGGGAGAAGTTGACTTGTGAGGCAATATTTGCAAGTGTGATGGTCTTTCCAAGCGATCCTCATTTCGGGGAGGCCCCTGGCAAGGGTTTGAAGATCTGAAGTTCAACGGGGTCAAACGTGTTCTCAAATTGAAGACATCCAATTCGGGATTCAGTGATGTTTTTGAGACGCTCAGGGGTGTCCATGAGGGAACTGTGTATGCGCATTACTTTGCTTGGGCGATTAATCTTGGTTTCACGGCCTAGCTTGACCAGCCCCTAATTTGATCCAATTTGTAAACACTTCTTAGGTTTCCAAGTCAAATGCTCAGCGCCCAGATGTTTGATGAACCCTCTAAACACGCGGTGCTGTGTGTGTTCTCAGAAACTTCCTGGAATCACTCCGAGACCTTCGTACCATCCATCCCTGAAGAATGTGACTCCAGATTTCTCGAGACTCCAGCTGGGTCACCAAGCCTTTCGCTCTTGAACGGAGAAAGACCCACGTCCCGTTGTCGGTCCATCAGTGGAAGGGAGCTTCGTCAACTCGGCTTCCTGCGGGTCCTGTGTGCGGGGAGATGGACCAAGAAGGTGACTTCATCCAATTCTGCACTCATGTTCTGCACCGTCTAGATGGGGCGGGTGTAGTCCAAGCCTGGCACCAAATTGAGTGTTTTCGGCGCTGCACATATCTATTGCGGTTCTCAGTCAGGTTCGGCTTCCAGTCAGTCCAGGGCTGGAACACTACACGGGACCCTACCAGGAGCAGATTTCAAGGGTCCAGACTCCAGACTCAAACGAAACTGGAAGCGGCCTCGACTCCAGATCAAGGGTCCTTCGAGAGATGAGCCCACCCAAATTGCACCCACGGAACCTTCTGCACTAAGCAACCCCAGCAAGCTGTTTGCAAAGGATCATCTGATTGGGTTGGAACCTCCCTGTCTCGAGTTGGAGCGGAATCACACCCTTTGCTGAGGCAGGCACCTGAATCCAAGAAACAGCTTCTTGTTGGAACTGGAATTTGGTTCAGATGATCTGAGGGTCGTGGGATTTAGAAGCTGTTTTTGCTGGTTGGTTGAGGGGAAGAGGCCGGGCCCGACGCTCTCCAGGGCATCGCTGCCCCACATCGCCGGGTCCTGCGCCAGGCCAAAGTGGGCTTTGCGCCAGCAAAGCTGGGTCAGACGCCCAAGGCAGGACCTCTTTGTGGTAAAGCCTCAAACCCTTCCAGAGACCACAGGCCCGGAACACTAGAGGACCAGCCTCAGATCAAGAGGGCTTTAAAAAAATGTTTCATCAAGCTTCAAGTTCAAGCCCGTTTTTCCCACCTAGCAAATTTCATCAAATATTAGAACACTGATGAGCTGCCATGACGTGCATGGCTGCGGCTGAGGGGAACCTTTTGTTTGGAGATTTTGACGTTTCTAGTGGTACAAAGCTGTTTCCAAAATGATGGACCAATATATGGACCATGATTTTGCCAAGCAATCTTTGCCAAATGATGATTCGATCTTGGCAAGTGCATTGGATAATTTGAAATTTGGATGGCTCGTGGCAGTGCTTTTGGCCGTTGTGGCCGCTGAGGTGTGGCAGCATGTCAAGCTAATTACATAATGACTGGTGATAGATGTCCTTCTTTGAGGTACATGAATTCCTGCAACCACCAGTGACACCTTCTGGGAGTGAAGAAGGGCTTACTTGTGCTTATTTGCCTATGTAGCAGCTCTGAAGATGGCTGAAAATGGGCCGTCATTACCCATTTGTAGCACTTTTAGATCTGTATTTGTAGCACAGAATATGATCATGAAACCGTCTAGTGTAGGGTGATTCCTTGGTGAGCTTGCTCATGCTTTTCTTCCGCACATAGCAGAACAACACACACATATATATATATATATACAATGTAATATTCTCCTGGAGAACAGCCTCCTTCAGATACCAAACACCGTGCTCTGTCGGGCAATAGTCGTCCGATCTGGATGGTTGGATCGACTGGGTCCGACCGGGTCATCCGACCGTTGCTGTCGGGTTCTTCTTCGTTGCCTCGTTACAGGTCACTTCGAATTCTTCCTTTCAGACCGCGACCAGTCCGGAGGAGCGTCCGGGCGCGAACACAAGCCAAGCGCCGGGACGGGGCGGCCGGTGATGAGGATCTATAGCAACTGTGAGACTTCGAAGGATACCGATATACTACAGTAGACTTTTGTATGGTCTGAGGTTACCCTTTGAGCTATTCTTCAATCGAATACTTTTCCACAGTCGTCCAGACCATGGCAGTGGCGTTTTGTTCCTCTGCGATTCTCTGCGACTTGGAAGTTCGCTCGGCCGTGTTGCGACCTGTAGATCCTGTAGTGATATGTTCATTGTTTTGATATGTTTTCATTGTGTGGAACTCCAATGACCCCTCTAAGAGAGTGATGTAATATAAATTTGATGTGTTGCTTCCGCCAAAAAGAGACTGAATATTGTAACTGATTTGGCCCCACCCAACAGCTGCACGAGCGATGCGCATTGTGCAAGGAAGCAGAGCCGAAGGTGTTCAATCCAGACATGAAGAAACTTCAGCTGTTGAGTAAATTCGAAACAACTTGTACTTGAAAGAGCCATGAAGCAGCGAATCTCGGGTGAAGCAGCGAAATTTTGATCGTTTCTGGGTTTGCCCGAATCGCAGGTCCTCCAACAAGAGGGTGATATGATGCACTGGGGGCCATAACTCATAATCCTACTTCCCCCCCCAGCCTGAAGAAACAGTTCCAAGAGCAGCTTCCAAGACCAGCCCACTTTCATGCTTGTCCGTGAGCAGTATGGTACTCGTAAGCCTTCACCAGGAAACTGGACACTGACAGACACTGACACACACACACACACATACAATCCTTGTACAAAAAACAAAACAACACAGCTGCCACCCCAAGAAGCATTCACATTAGGTGGCCTTCCCCTGAAAATCGTCCTAAAGCATCGCCCGATGCTTTGTCCCACTGTCCAACAACTACTCCTTGTTGAACCCTCGACGGATCCTCCGGCGCAGGCCTCTTTGATCCGTCGTGAGCGGTAGCAGTGCCGGTATCATCTGAACTTGGCCACCTGTCAAATCAGGATTGGGGTGCGCAAGGGGGACGACGCAAGGTGTTTCAACTATGTACGATCTGCCCTGCGGGGTTAGGGTGCTTGCAATAGTTTGCCATAAACTGCTAGCTGCTAGAGGAGTGGGTTTGCATCGACTCAAGCAACATGAAGCAACTATCGGCGATTGTTCTAACACTATCTAACAATTACATGCACGATTGCAACGTTCTTCCAGTGAAGTGGACCAGGAGGAACAACAATCAGATTACAGGCAACCAATGATCTACCCTGCGTGTGATGGACACTTCATGGAACCACACTTTCCTGCATACTCATACCAGTTCAGGATATTATGTGAACCGCTGCAAAGGGTCCAACGAACAAAACAAACAAACAAACAACACAACACAATCAAAACAAAAAAAACAAAACAAACAATCAATCAAACAGACAAACAACCAAACAAGCAGCCAACCAACAAACAACCAAACAACCAAACAAACAGCCAACCAACATCAACCAACCAACCAAACCAAAAAAACAATCAACCAACCAACCAAACAAACAAACAAGCAGACAGACAGACAGACAAACAAACACTAAAGCAAACCAATAAGCAATACATTAACAACCAAGCAAACAACCAAACTGTACAATCAATCAAAAAAAACAAAAACAATCAACCAAACAACCAACCAACCAAACAGACAATCAACTCGGGACTAAATCATGACTAAAGGCAGGACCCCCAGGTCTTCTTTTGCTCAGACCTTGACTCTCCAGGACTGCAGTATATGGCAGCTGGGTTTGTTTGATGCCATCAACTTTACGCGAAAAAATAAATGGAGAACCCGCTTGTAATTTTGTGACAAAGACCACATGTTCAGTGGTCGGTACTCAAAAGAGGGATTTGATCCAGGTGCTAGGTATTTGTTTTGTTTCATATAACTTGTATTACTTGTATATTTCATTATTCTACATGAAGTGTTCTTCCCTTCTCGGGTACATCGCTGTGCTGCTCCAGCAGATCTCGCTGGTCGAAATGATGCCAAGGTCTTGCGCAGCTGATCTGAACGGGGCGGACCCATTTTCCGGAAACCTTGGAGGCGCAGAAAGCCTCAGAAGAGCAGTTGATATCTCACCAAACTAAGCAAGGCTACCAAGATGGGCAAGGTTAAAAAGAGGGCTTCCTCTGAATCGAAGCAGCGGAGCTGCAAAAGTGGGTGACCCCAGAACGGCTAAAACCCGAAAAGTTCTTGCGTGACCCGACCCCTAAAGTGCCTTAATGTTTAAGTGCGTCTTCAGATTAAAGCAGCTCACCCTGAAGTCAGAACTCTAGGCATCCTGCCGACAGAGCCACACAGAAATGTTTGGCCTGGCCCAATTGTTGGATGAACAACTAGCAGTAGGTCAAAGTCTCACTCCCAAAGCCTACCGGTCAAGGTGTCTCAAACCCATACAACCTTAGTCCAAACATGATGATCATGATGTTGCATACTGTTGAACCAGTTGAGCCACCAAACTCCGAAACTGCCTGGTGGATTGTTCACATTTCTGCTCATCGCCCGGAACTGCTGCTGTCCCTCTCAAAGGGCCCGGGCCGCCCGAGATTCCTCGCGATGGCGGGCGATGCCACGGTGGATGAGACCGCCGCGGAGGTCAAGGCGGGACGACCACAGGACTGGGGCGAGAACGGCAGGAACCGCGGGTTTCAGTTTTTATTCCTTTTGTTTGTTTGCCCCTTCCTGGATTTCGTGGCAACCAACTGGTTCTTACCCTAAGAATCATTGGACCCTCCTATGGAGGGTTTGGACCCTGCAGAACGCAGGGGTTTGGACCCGAACCAAACCTTCACCGAACTGAGGGTCCTTGATTCTTAGGGTATACAGAAAACATTTTTTTCAACCTGTTAGTATGTGATGTGGGAGAGTCTGTGTGGCATTCCGGTTGGCCTGTTAGTGGCATGAGGTGACCATCCAATTGGCCTAATTCGAGTTGGGTGGTTGACACAGGCGGATGAACCCAGAGTTCCAGCCAGGGCGGGCAGAAATTGGAAACCTTACCATGTCAACAGTTTCTGGGCCCCAGATGGGTGCGACGCAAAAAGTGAGGCCAAGCAACCCGCAAGTTCTACTAATTTTATGTTCATTGTCCAGAGGGGTTTGAGGGGCACTCGATCCCTGAACAGATGTGCAGCATCACTTGGGGTTTGGCCCAAATAAGGGATAAACATTCATAGTTACATTAGTTGTTGGGAACCAGGGGTTCCACAGACCCCATTTCTTTGTTCCTTACACTGCAGTTTCTCCTATGCTATCCAGCATATTCCAGGGAAAGTAGGGTGCCAGGCAAAAAGGAACAAGAACATCCACGAAACGGTTTCGGGTACAAAAAACCCAATTGGAACTGATCAAAACATATTATACTTTGCCTATACAGACAAGCACTTTCATGTCGGGTTTTGGTTTTTGGGTGTCCCATCCAGCCAGTAGATGTTCTGAGGGGCACCCTGTCCCCCCTGTCCAAGTTTGACACCCCTTGGTAGATGGGCAGGCCATCCTTGGGATCTACACTCGGAATCATCACGGAAGTGGAGTTCACCACGAGGTTTGATGGTCGGAAAATGGTCATCCGAGTCATCGCGCTCCCCACCCATACGATCTACCAGCTCCTTCGACCGACCCTTCGATCCAGGTAAAGACCGAGAAACCCGCCGACAGCGATGAGGCGGTGGAACATGGATGAAGCTTGGGGGCGGAAGCTGGTTCGACGGGTGGACGTGCCTATCGGAATGGAAGGTCAAGACATGCCGGAAGGGATTATATACCCTTCCAAGATCTTCCAGGTGTTTCCTCCAAATTCACTCACTTCCATTGCTTCCGGGCCCCAAATTTTCCGACTTAAACCCACCGGTATTGGAACGGTGGAACGGTTTCGTGTTTTGGGATTCCATGGAGGCAGATCCCGGCGTCAACACCGATGGCCCGCTTTTGCACGGGCCTATCACGGGGCGTTGTTCATTTCGCGACTTGGCCAGGTCGTAGCAGATCCTGCGGGCTTTTTGACGGGCACCGTGAAGATTGAGGAGCGAGTTCTGCGCGGAACCGGCGGAGGTTGAGGTTTAGAGTTTAGAGGACACGTTTTTCTTGTTGGAGGGTCTTGTTTTTACTTTGGGGTCAAGGAAACCAACCATCGTTTGGAGGTAGAAGACTGTTGTTTGCCGCTGGGGATGGATTCTGAATGATTTTGAGATCAAGGTAGAGAATAAGTCACCAGCAGCATGGACCGAGGGATACTGAAATCCAATAATGTGCTATAGTATGCTATAGTGTAGAGTCTATAGAGTATTGAATTGGAGAGACTTTCCAACCAATGGATTTGAGTTGATTGTGTGGCCTCCCAAGGACCTCTTTGCGACCTGGTGTAGACAACCCCATCACCTCATCACCGATCAGACCCTCCCATGACCCCATGGCCTGTGGAAGACCAGTTCCAAGTTCCGAGTTCTGAGCAAACAGGAAGCTTTCTCTATGTTGGGTGTATCTTAGACACCCTGGGCCCAGTGGATGATGGAGGTTCTTGTTTATACCGACTGTTTCAGGTTTACTGGGACACCCTTATGAGCTCTATGACTTGGGTGTGTGTCCTATTACCTGTAACAGTCAGTAAACAAGAACATCACTATTTTTTGAACAAGGCCTGCAACCTAACCATCATCCACTGGGCCCAGGTGTGTACCTCGGATAGACCCTATCTACGACTCTATGAGAAGCAGTGTTTGTTGATCATGAGAAGCATGTTTTTGACTGGTCATTGCATGGGCCCGCGGAGTCTCCCGACCGAGGACTGGTCCTTTTTTTGATCTTTTTTGGGAATGGAAGGTTCAGGGAGACCAGGTTCCGACCAGGAGTCGAGTTTTTTCTTCACCGTACCGGTGGTCTTTCGCATCCCCAAGAGGGAGGTACCTGAACCTTTACTACAGGAATTCTTTTGGAACGCGACGTATATATATATATATATATATGATGATATATGATGTCTGTCGACGGATACTGTGTTGAGGTAAGATAAGATATCAGATCAGATAAGATCAGGTAGACACCTGGGACAGGGCTCTGCACTTTGCACCTTCTTCGTTCAATGATTTGTTGGTGAACTTCCCTGTCTACCGTCGCCAGGTTGATTCCACCAACTCGTTAATCCATGTGGTACCAATCTAATCCATCAGAGCTCCAGGATGGCACCACAATCAAGAAGGAGGACTTAGATGCGAAGGCCGAGATGTTGCGAATCTCCAATGTGAGTTGAAAGAGTATCAGAATCAGATGGGTTCCATTGAAGAATTTGCAGGCCCAAGCATCTATATGACATAACTAACCTAAATATGTCCAGTATGTCAAATAGCTTGGATGAGCTCCAGAACTGAGAATTGTGTAAGCATTTGATCCAGCGAAACGTCTCACAAGCCTTGCTGGGCGGGCTCAGACGGAAGTCTGGGTCCGGTTGGCTGAGTCAAACAGCAGGTGAAGCAAGAGAAAAAGGAAGAGGAGAAGGAGAATGGCCAAGTCATGGAGTCAAGTTGTTTTCTTTTTCCAGCCGGATCAACAGCCTAGGACATCCTAGGACAACTTTATTTGCAATTGAAGATGGTTGACATCAAACTGACAAGTTCAGCTCTTGCAGGATGTCACTTGTGCGACTCATAGAGCTGGACAAAAACACCGGACACTGGGGGAAGCCAGCCATGACGGAAGCATCACTGGGAGGGAAGCCCCATAGAATCCAATAGAATCCAGGAAACTCATGCAAAACCGGAAAGCCATCGTCGATTCTCATGGGCCACATCTCACCTCGATTCTCCAGCTCTCCATCGATCTCCAGCTCTCCAGCTGCTCGTTTTGCGTTCCGTCACGGTTCCGTCACGGGTGTCAGGACATCAAGGTGGATGCCGTGAAGGGCGAAGGAGTAAAGGGAGAAGGAGTGAAGCAAGAAGGCACAGTTCTGGGAGAAGTGGAGCCCGGTTGGATAACTAACCCCGGTCTGTTGAAGGCACTCGAACCTCGTGTTCTGCCTGGTCAGCGCAGGTCAGGTGACTGGTGGATGAGTCACCCCCGTTTTCCCTCAATCCATGGGTGGTGAATGGTGGATGTGAGTGTCCATCCCTTGTGGTTGAGGTGGTTCAATCCTATATTTGTAAGCTAATTGTAAATATAGTTTTAATCCCTAAACGTCCAGGACCATCCGAATCGGACGTCCTTTAGGTCCCAAAGACCATTCTCAGGATGTACTTTCACCTCCAAGACTATCCTCAGGAGGTACTTGGACCCTATGGGAATGGGACAGACTGAAGGAAACATTTGGACGTCATCCTTCCCAGACCGGACACGAAACGCCCCTTCAGTTGCTGTAAGTCTTTGGGCCGAGCTCCGAGTGTCAAATCCTGGAAGTCTGGAAATCCAGACTTGGTGAGGGGAAGCCTCCAGAGTTCAGGTTGATGGCCTGTGACCCTGTGAGCTGGGTGATTCACGGGTTTATCCTGTGATCTTGCTTCCGAGATGGGAATCCGGATCATGGGGGATCCGCGACTGGATCTCAAACGCGGGCGAACTACCTCCCTGGAGAGGGGCATGAGATGAACGACCCCGAGCGTTTCTACGATGTGTTTAGTATCCTGTTTGAGTTCATGATGTTTTTGTTATACTGTAATAAACTTGTTTCGCCCTCGCGCCAAGCCAGGAAATGTCAAGCAGGAGAAGATGAGAAGTGAAGAAGATGTGCCGCAGCAGAGATGAAAGTGGAGTTAGAAAGGATCAGACGTCCAGTATCCCAACAATCCATGCAATGTATGAAGTTTAATAGTGTTTACCTATCTATCCGCCCTAAAAACCAGGTAGGCTTCCATACATGGATTGTTTGGGGCTGTTCTTTTCCCAGCTGCTCAGGTTTCCTCAGAAACCTGTCTTATGCGTCCAAGTCCCTCGTCCCCAAGGACTAGCATCCGAGCCGTTCGCGGTGTCGATGCCGTTCGCTGTCCGGTCGACGAAACAGGACGCTTCGAGCGTCAGGTCGAGCCGCAGTTGCCTGAGGTGAAGAATGAGATGAAGATGGAAGGGACGAAAAGAGAAGACTTCTACGCCCTTGCGACCAAGGGAGAGGTGGACATGGGTGACCGCCACGTAACCGTCATCGCTGGCGATCGACCGGCGACCGGTGGCTCCACCGGGCGACCGGAGGAAATGGAGATGAAATGGATGACGTTCTCATCAGGGTCGGTGGGGGAGTTTTCCTTTACAAGACCCAGACACACAGGTTTACAGTCACCATTTTCCTCCAACAAAGCAGCTTCGGAGTAGAGGAAGATCACAAGAGATCACAAGTCTTGATTTGCAAAAGGATGAAGGACCAATTGTTCAGGAGGGGAGCAAGGGCTCATTCTTCACGGGATGTTCCGGCAAGGTTCCGCTGATCATGATGTGTCAGCTGGTGTCTTTTGGCAAACCATGGTGGCTATGAGGATGGCATCCATTAACCATCATTAACACATCATTTAAGGATATTGAATGCTGTGAGGAAGCTACTGAGAGTGCAAGTCAACTGTAGAGCAGCACTAAAATTGGACCAGGGGAGCATATTGGACAGTCAGATTTTATGTGTATTCGCAAACTTGCCAGCGGGTCTGGCCAACTTGCCGTTTCATGATTTACCCTTTCTTATTATGTCTTCGGTCAACAAGGCTACAGCGTAGTTAGCGGCATTTAGCGACCCGAAGTTTTTTTGCGATTTTGCCAAGGATGGACTACCTGTAACAGTCGATAAACAATTTATCTAAAATGATATTTATTTTTATTCACTCACTATTTTTGAGAAAGGCCTGCCACCTATCCATTATCCTTTGTTTGTTAGTGGGAATGGCATATACCCAAAGCTCTTCGAGAAGCTCTTCATATGCTCTTCTTTGAGAAGTTCTTAACTTGCTCAGTGTTCTGGTTCAGAACTCTCAGTACTTGTATCGCCCTGCGTTGCTCTTGTTGTGTTTTTTTGTGTCTGTTTGTTTTAAGTGGATCAGCCTGACGAGACACTTCCCTGATGCTAGCAGCCTTGCACTTAATGCCTTATGCTCCGAGAATTATCCTCCAGCTTGAGCTTGCAGAGTGGCAGGACTTCAACATGATGTTTGATACTACAAAGTAGGCCACTGCTGCAACTAGGGGCCAACAGAGAAAATATCAACCAGTGTTTACGCTTGAAATCGTTCGGCGGTTGCGATCCGGACTTCGTTCGGCTGTGGAAAGCAGTTCCGACCCAAGTCGCTGACTCCACAAGCGGAAATCCGTTCTGCGACCTCCGGGCGCCAGGGGGCCAAAGGTGAAGTCAAAGGCGAGACGAAAGGCGAAATCAAAGGCGAAGGTGTGAAAGGAGAGTCGAAGCGAGAAAGGCGCGAGAGTCGAAGCAAGTGCTGTCTCCACGGTTTTCGCGCTTTTGGTGAGTACTTGCACTGGGTGGCGCCGTTCTTGTAAGACTTGCCATCACAAAAGTTGGTCAGAAGGAAAGCATCCTGCACAAACTGTAATAATCAGCAGGCTCTCATTGCCATGAATATCCTCATGAACTCAAAAACTCACTCGCACAAAGACCTTTTTGACTAATTGGTGAACTATGGTGAACTGCTTTTTTTGTTTGTTTTCCAGGAAGACCAATATCCTAGCCTTGAAAGACCATTCAAAGACAGTTGAATGACCATTCAAAGAAGAAGGGTTGACCTGGTGTTCAGTCTAAAGTCCTTAGTAAAACCATTGTTGTTTGGCAAAAACAATTACAACAATGGTTGTTTTCTAACCCAGGGAAATATGTTCTACCAACAATTCGTTGCCCATGGATCAAAACCCAGTTTTGGGTGTCTCTATTGCATTCCTGATGATCCAATTGTCTTGAAGAACCACTTGCTTCAAGGACTCGTGATTTTAGAAGCTGCCAATTCCATAAGTGGGCACCTGAAGGTCATAACAGAAAATCCCTTACAAGCAGTCGACTGAAGCTTTCATCCAAACCAATCCCATCGCCCGGACCTCGCCGCGCGCGGATCTGGACGAATTGGCCGCGACCCTCGTCCGTCCTGGAGGTCGAGAAGCAAAAAGAAAAAGAAGAAGGATCAGTTTATGTAAAACGCGAGGGTTCAAATGCTGCGATGTCCGAAGTGTTTGCACACCAGGGTTTGGCGAAGGCGGTTGTCGTTGTTTTTTTTTTCTGAGACACCGAGGTCTGGACCACATAACGGGAACTCAGGAAAGCAGATCAGGCCATCGATTTTCACAAAACAATATTGATCGAAGGAGTTATCTTTATTGTTTCATATTGTTTTATGTATTTATATATATAGTAAATAAATATTATTATATATGTTTGTTTGATAACCTAGAGTCGTGTATCAGTTCTAGAATGTTTAATCATTGTTGCTTGTTAATAGAAGAACTGCGACAGTTGGTAGGTGCAAATAATTGTTTCATTTAAGGTTGTTTTTTGGGTGCCGGAATGGAACAACAAACGCAGCAAAAAAAAAAAAACATGTGTGGCTGGGTGGTTGCGAACAATGGCAAACATCTTTGCTGCATCTTGAAACTTAATGAATCAACAGTTGTCAGGATAGTGATCACAACCAGACACTGAATCTGACTGGTGCTTAGTAAGGAACGAGGGAATCAATCTTCAGGTATCTATAGCGGAGGGGGGGTCATTCCCTTGTCCCGTCCTAAGCACCAGTCAGTAAATTCATGGAAGATTCCTCAATTCCTCAGTATGACACCTGCCATTCATGGCAGGTATCATCCTCAGGTTCATGGCAGGTATACTATGGCGGATGATACCTGCCATGTGAACATCAGCCAAGTACGGCACGTGACTTCTTCCAAAGCACCAAAATCCGTCCGGATGGGGAAGGTGAATTCCCAAAAAAAACCTTCCGCGTCCGCAATTTGTTTGCTTTTTACGATGTTTTTGTGTTTATGCGTGTGTTACTTTTCCTCAGAACACAGGGTGGGTCCAAGTATATTACAGTCGACATTGCTTTTTAAGGGGGGGTGTTATCCCAGGTGAGGTTCCCACATCTTCCCGCTCATGTTCTTTCACCCATTCGCGGCGCGGCCTGCACTCGGGTGCCAAGAGATCCTGGTGCCAAGAGAGTGCAGAACAGCAGACCATCACCCAGACCATCCACGGGACCCTAGTCGCATGGGACTGGAAGATATGCCGCCCCATGGACCTCAGGTCAACCACCCCAATGTGAAGTGGCCATATATGGACTGTTCAGTGTCATGTGAAATGCTATGAGGTACAACTGACGCTTCGATTTGCGATGGATCATGGTGCTCTGTTTTGGGGTGCGGACCTTTGCTACGATGGAGCTAGCAGGACAAGGTCAAGAAGGAGAAAGCCGATGGAGATGAAAAGAAGAAGGACTGCTCAGGGCTGGAGCAATCTTCTGTTCGTCTCAGGTTGGGGTTGGAGGCAGGGTCTTGAAGCACTTGGAGTTTGAAAGCAAACACCCCAACTTAGAACTGTTGTCAATCTACAGAAGCTTCTGTTGTTGGCGCCCACGCCGACAGTGAACAGAGGTGACAGTGTGGGGTCGCCCGTAAAATGGGTCTTCATCCACTGTCAGACCACCACCAGCCAGGATAAGAAGAGGAAGAAGTCTGAGTCTCCTGGAGGCTGGATCTGCAGGGACCATGGTCAAATGAAATCCAGTACCAGTCTGGAGGGGGAGGGAAGGTCTCCAGTGGGCAGATCGGCAGGCAAAAGGTTTGTATTAAAGAGAGAAATGTCACATGACAGTGACAGGTCGTTCACGGGTTCCACAATGTATAGTTTGCTTTTTCTAGCCAGAAGTCCTTGCAGGTCTCCTTAAACAAACCCATACACAGCTCCCAATTAGAACGCTCCCCCTGTTTGAAGATCCAATTGGCCTTCACTCCACTTGGAAATTCGTCGTAGGCCCGGATCAGAAGTGGCTTACGCTTACGACTGTTCGCCAGTCGTGTAGGAGCCGGGGACTAGCGCTAGGACTGGTTTTGCTTGGTGGTGATGTTTATTTTCCCTCATTAAGGGTAAATCTCCTTCTGGAGATGTTCATTCGTATTAAAACCCATTTTTAATGGCAGCAAATCCAAAGTCTGCGTGTTCCAAAGATTCATGTTTCAGGTGCCTTGAAGTGATTATATTTTCAAACAGTCCATCATGATCCATCATGTCACATTTGTTTCTTCGCCTCAAATGAGCCCCTCTGTTCCAGCGCATCCCAACAAAACACGGCTGGGCCCACAAATCGGCCGACCAACCGGACCGGACGGGGGGGGGCCCTAGGCCCCGTAGACCTTCTGTTCCGGCAGGGGCCCCGGCCGATCAGGTACACGGAAGCGAAAGTCCAAGTGGGGTCCCGATACCGTCAGGGCCTCAGGGATCGACCCGGTCCCGGTCCGGGGCGGTCCGGGCTGGTCGCGCCGGTCGCGCGGCGTTGAGCCGGGCTTACAGGTGGCGAGAATTCCGACGGCAAAGTAAGATCATGTAAGAAAGTAATTGAAGGGGTGTATCCCTTCTACCTATTTAAACAAACGCGGCCATGCCCCAAATAGTAAAACCTCTGACATGTGTCATGTTTTAATTGGCACTTGGAATTATAGCTGTGAAATCGGTCCTTTCATCTCTTTGTCTCTTGGTTCACGGCTGATTGGTTTTGCGCGGTGTATTGTTTTGCTACTTTAATCAACCAACACAAATAACTAAATTATTTGTAAAAACATTGTAAAATTTATTTGTTTCAACCATGTTTCGGAGCCAGTTTGAGTTGAGTTGGCCTCGTCGATGCCGCCAACTCACACAATTGGTGGAAAGCCACCAGCTATATTGATTGTCCATCAACGCGCATTCCGAATCTCGTCAGAGGGGCCTGAGTTTCACACCGAAGCATTTGTGTTTTGTTGGAAGCATGGGGACACCGCGAGGAGCTTGGAAGCATTTGGAAGTATGGACGGTTGGTCCCCCGATCTTGAGGGAAGCCTTTTTGAATGGCGCAGCAAAGGAGATTAAGGAAATGGTTTGGACATCTATGAAGCATTCATACGGCATACATGCATGGACAAAACCTCAGGAGCACCAGAAAGATTACTCGAGTCAGAGTCACGTGTCAGAGATAGAATCCACTGTTCAATATCAGGGTGCCCTGTCAAGATCAGCTCGTTCAGTAGGATCCAATGCCCAGAACCGGTAAACCATCAAACATCCAGGGCCCATCGGAGTTGGGTGGTCTTCATGACGGACTGCGCAGTGTTTGATTGGTAACAGAGTCCAGATGTTTTTCAACGCCAGAAATCACCGACCATGCTGGGCCAGGGTGGCTTCTCCATGTCTGCCATGCCTGGTGGACGCTCGGGACTTCTGCCAGCTGCAGAAGCAGACGAATTGATGCCTCAGCCCCAACGGTTGCACCACTTGCCAGGTGTAGTATTCTCTCGCAGAGAGTGTGTATATTGTGGGTTTCAACTTAACATTACATTAAGACAATATTCGCAATGATATGCAACTACAATCAAATACATAACCCTTTTCAATGCGGCCTAGCTGGGCTCAAGACCTTCGATAAATGTTCAAATTTGATTTCAACCCTATTTGACGGATTTGTCCATTTTCACTTACTCACACGTAACTCTGCATGTTTGCTATTGTATCTGGCGCCCATTTTCTACGCGCCCATTCGCTTGTCGCAGCCAAGGCCCAGATTCTCCGATGAGGAGATGGTCCAACGATCACTGGTGCTGGAAAACCTGCGACTCGGAAGAGCTATCAAGAGCTTATCCCAGACACTCCATGGGACTGGCATATTTACATACATTGGGGTGGTTGACCCGGGGTCAATAAAAACCAGTCCCATGGAGTGTCTGGGTATTGTTTCTGTCCCCGAGAGTCCAGTCACTCATTTTACCCCTATGGTAGTGGTGGATTATGACTTCCAGGCGGGGTAGTTCATGAGTCATTGGACCTTCTGGGATAGTTTTCTGTGCGAAACACCGGAGTCAGTTTCCAAGCGGTGGAATGCTCCCATTCACGAGCTAGTCGCAAGAACAGGAACAAGAGACGAGGCACAAAAAGGGCACAGGGAAAGACGGGGGGAAGCTTGGGAAAGCCATGGAAAGCCCAAAAGGCACATGTGCCACCCCTAATACATACAGAAAGATAGAAACCGTCACAGACAGCATCAAATTGCGGAAGGCTTCGAGAGCAGATGCTCCAACTAGGCTAGCTAGCCATCATTTCTGGCAGCCCAGGTCCTTAAGCTGCACCGGTCAGGACCTGTTTCGGGGCCGAGTGGCAGCCCGGATTTCCGGTCAATCGCTTCGGCCACCTACATATCTGCTTGGTCATGGCACCTGGACACTCACCCTGAGCCCGGTTGACCTTCCTCGTTCGGGCTCTTTCTATTCGTTTTTGGTGACCCAAACGAGGCCTCATGTGGGGTGCAAGTTGGCACCAAACATGTGGGTTGTTGGATGTCGTGGGTTCTGTCGACATGTCGGCAATCATGAAGTATTCATGTAGGTTCCGCGACCCGATCCACAAAGTTCTTTTTACATGTTTCTTTGCCATGTCTTGAAAGACTTGCTGGGTGAGACCGAGACCTAACCATGAAAAATGAACCACACTGGCGTTCTTTTGTGGTCACTATACTTGTCTCTTGGAGGTGCAAGCCACACAACATGGCAAAGATTGTCGATTTTCAAGCATCCAAAGCCTCTTGGATTTCCTCTGTGAAAGCCAAAGCCGTCAATTTTCTATGGCTAAGGCTTTGCAGAAATGTTGTCTTCATCAAATTTCAAAGGTCAACCTAGAGCGGTGCCTATTTTCTCCTGAGATGGTCCATTCTCTAGAGGGGCACCCTAAACCCTCACACGCCACATCATTATCATTAAATCACGCACTCCATGGTTCATGCATCTGGGTGCCACATAGAAGTCCCTACTGTAGTATTCTCCATCCTTCTCCATCTGCACCTGCAGGAGCTCATTGAGTTCTTCAATGGTGCCATCTTGGCCGTCACGGGTAATGCCGTGCATCAGGCCATCGCCATCCCGTGCATCGATGATCGTGGTCGCGACCTGGTTCGACGGGAGAATGGATATTTCCTGGATAGGCTGGCTACCAAAAGGCAACTAGCTGCTGAGAGTTTGTGGGTTTATTTGGTTTGCCTTGGTGTAAGCTCCATTCTTCACGTCCATGTCAATGACCAGTAGTGTCACCATTGCATACCATTGCGAACCATGCTGTTTCTGTTGTTTTTTTTTCCCAGTCTATCTTTCAGTCCCCCGCTCATGTGAACTCACTCTTGGCAACAAGAAAAGCAAGTCCTTCACCGCCAGCACCAGCACGACCGAAACAGAATCGGGTCGATCCAACCCATGATAAACACTTCGATCGAAGCGGATCGAAGGACGGTTCGTTTCCACCGGTACAGGCCGCCAACCGCAATATGTCCCCGGTCTTCGCGTGCACCATCACGGAGGAAGACAGTCGCAGTAGCAAGAGGCCAGCGCAACATGGTGGAACGAGGTCGTGTGATGTGTTTTTGGCCCAGATCTTTTTGGATGGGCATGAATTTTGGGCCCAACAAGGCTCAAACATTCAAGATAATGAAGGAGGTTCCGGGTGAGAGGATGTGAATGGAGACAAGGAGGCGGGATGTGTACATGATTGCGAGAGCAACGCGGAATGTTTGCAAGGTGCTGCCAGTTGAATAAGGTCCCATCCATTGCTTGCAATGTTCAATTAGCATTCAATAGTTAACATGGTAGTATGGACCAGCCACAATGAGAGGTGCTGAGAATGGACACCACTGTGTTTTTCTTGAATTTGGACATTAGAAACTTATCATTTCAAACCAGGAAACCCTCAGTTTTCACACTGTTCCTGCCATTGGTACCCCCAGCACCGGCCTCTTCGAAGTGGGTGTTCCCAGCGAACCTATGTTTGGGTGCCCACTTTGGGAACTCTGAGCTGCCAGCTTTTCATGGATGTCCATCCAGCAGCTCAGCAGCGGGGCTCCACACAACTCCACAGGGCTCCACAGGGGCTCCGCGCGGCCGCACGGCCGGACATGGCTGGACCCAGCCGGATGGACCCAGACGGGTTGCGTGACGGGACGGGGCGCTTTTCGGCTTGCGCTTCAGCCTTGAAAGGTTGCAGCGTTTGACACTCCCTCTTTTGGGGATTCCGAGATTGGGTGTTGGGATATGTTGGGTCAACACCTCACTCCAAATCCTCGAAGGCTGACATCTCCCGTATGTATAGAGGGATCTGTTGATATTTTCGAGGGTCAATTGAACCCACAGCTATATGAACTACACTGGTCGACCGACCCATGGAAGCCTCACGACCAAATGGCCACCCAAAACCCAGACACGTCGTATGGCCACTCATGTTGACCGCTTCAGTCACGCTCATTCACCTTCCACTGCCTCCCATCCTATCCCATCCGTCTTCCCGCTTCTGCAGGAAGACGGCGGAGTTGAAGTTCCGCACGCCGGACGGTGCCTCCGTGGGCATGAAGCTCAATGGCATCGAGTACAAAGGCCACAAGGCCCCCCCCAATACACAGCGCCAAAGAAAAGGTCCGACTTATATAATGGACCCATCGACTGTATGAGCCATCCAAGCACCAATTTTTGCAGTTGGACCACCCAAGATACCCAAGATATCAGATCATTGTTACTATGAAACTCATGGGGTAAGTGCATGTATACAACTCTTTCACCATGGATGGTCTGGGATGGTCTGGGTGGAGTCGCATGAAGTCATGAAGGAGAAACATGAGGGGTTTGAGGACATGGAGCAGGCACCAGAAGCACCAGAAGCACCCCCCCTTGTTGTGTATCATTGCCACTAGCTATCAACAAAAACGACAAACACACACACACTCATGGATATGCGTACTGACTTGATTGCGGTGCCACACGCCGGCCTAGGGTTCCATTTCCTAAGGGTACAGGTAAGGAAACCTAAAAGAAGAGGAGGTCCATCCAGCGGAGGTCTCAAAGGTTTCAGGTGGCCAGCAACTCCAAAAGAAAACACCGAGCGAGCCGACGACAAGGTGACGACGTACGTTCAATGAGGTTCTTGGCTTAGCCTCACGCCATGCAGAAAATGGAAAAGTTGCAGGTACGTCGACAGGACGTCTCCCGTCGATATCACGAGCAAGAGATAGGTGTCTTCGTTGGCACCTGCCCTATCTCTGCTCCAGGTGCCCCCTGCAATAAAACTAAACAAATCCAGAAGGATCCCTATGACTCCAAGGGTTACACACACACGCCTCCCCGAAGGGAGGCATGTTTTAAGCTCCGCGCCAAAAGGTGCGGACAAAGTAGTAGCAAGGCCAGGAACCTCTAGTAGCGTCAAGTAGCGACCTGGCACCTAGTAGGAAGGCCAGGAGCCCCTAGTAGCAACCCAAGCTAAGGTCCTGACAGGAGGGAGGGGTGGGGAGAGACGAGAAAAAGGAAAGAGAAGGAAGGAAGGTGTTCCCAGCTACGACGCAAGCGTCCAAGGACACACCAAAAGAAGAGCGGAGAAGGGTTCCCAGCTATGACAAAAGCATCCAGGGACACCCAAGGAGGAAGGAAGGTGGAGAGGGAAGAGAGAAAGAAAGAAAGAGAGAGGGAGAGAAAGGGAGAGGAGAGAAAAGGAAAGGGCAGGTGTTCCCAGCTACGAAGAATCGTCCAGGGACACACCAAAGAAGGAAAGGGGTGATCCTGAGTCTTCCATTCAGGAAAGCCCCAAAAAGCAAGGAAAGAAAGGGAAGGGAAGGGGAAGCAGGGGGACTAAGCTCGCGTCAGGTTCCAATGAACCTCAAAAGTACTTCGGTCGCTCTGACCACGTTGAGGCGTTAAGCCAGCTTGGACCGCTGCGGTCACGTATGGGCATGAGCCGGCTTAGAATTCCAAAGATGAGACAAAAATCATCGTACGTACGGCCTAGGCCACCTTCGTCCGCTGTGGACACGTACATCTCCGGGCAGGGGAGATAACGACATACACCCGTTCGACGGGTCCACGGGAGGCACTCTGCGGGCTCATCCCGGGTTGGCATGAAGCCAAACACACTCATGGATATGCGTACTGACTTGATTGCGGTGCCACACGCCGGCCTAGGGTTCCATTTCCTAAGGGTACAGGTAAGGAAACCTAAAAGAAGAGGAGGTCCATCCAGCGGAGGTCTCAAAGGTTTCAGGTGGCCAGCAACTCCAAAAGAAAACACCGAGCGAGCCGACGACAAGGTGACGACGTATGTTCAATGAGGTTCTTGGCTTAGCAGTTGCAGGTACGTCGACAGGACGTCTCCCGTCGATATCACGAGCAAGAGATAGGTGTCTTCGTTGGCACCTGCCCTATCTCTGCTCCAGGTGCCCCCTGCAATAAATCTAAACAAATCCAGAAGGATCCCTATGACTCCAAGGGTAACACACACACACCGGATCAGTCGCGGCCCATCTGACCGGGTTCGGACCGGATCAGTCGCGCCAGGTCACTGTGAAGAGACCCGATGCCTTTACGAAGCCATCGGACGGTCAGGACCACGCTCTCCTCCGGAAGCCGTATCAGCCCGACGGTGGTGGACCGTGACTGGACGGACCTGCAGACACGAAGAAGAAGTGGTGTGACGTTGGTGGATGATGTTCAGAGAAACTTGATTTTTGGAAGAACGTGCGACCCTTATCGGAATAGGAGATAGAGATAAAGTAAGGAGCAGCTGTCGGACAGTTGCAAGAACGTGCAACAACAATGTTAGGTCCTGCAAGGTCGCGGCACGAACTGCGAACTGCTGTGTTTTAGTGGTTTTCACCAACTTTGTTTTTCTCCACGAAGAGCCGAGCTGTTTGGGTTGGGTTTGGAGGAATGATTTGGTTCGTTCCAAGGAGGCCGGAGGTTGACGGCTCCACACGCCAGAAAGATCACAGAGAAGGTTACCAGCTACAAATGGATACAAATGGAATATTGATGGATATTGCCAACGCACTTCTGAGATTCTTCAGTTCAGTTGCTGTAAGTTCAGAGGAGTTTACTTTGTCAACTTTCAACAAGTACTCTCTTGTCCTCACATCCATTGTACCTAATAACGCCATCATCCTCTAGTCGCTTCAGTCGCTTTGACAGCTTTAAAGATGGCTCAAACTGGTTTCAAGACTCTTCATGAGGATCATGTGATGATGCTGAATCCATCAGATTCCCATCAGATTCATATTCATGTTCACGAAACTGGCCCAGACTGGCCGTTACAAATACACTCCGACTCACTAACATGGAAGTGGATGGCACCCCCCCTGTTTGAAAAGGAAAGTGGTCTTCCTTCTCGGACCATGCCATCCACTTCCATGTTGAATCAGAGTGGCTCTTCAGCCCAGACTCAGATCCGGCTCTTGTTCACCTTTGTCGTTTGAGAACACTCCACAGATAAACCCTGGCCCCTCAGCTGTTCAGCGTGACAAAGCGCGAGGATCCTTCTGTAAAGATCAACCTGCATGAAATGCCCGGCAGCTGAAGGGCAGGGAGCCATCCAGTCGAACAGAGGTGAAGCTGTCCATCCAGCCGAACGTGTACTTCCTCTTTCGCGCTTTTTGAATGGTCGTTTAATGTCGTTTAGGAGGTGCGTTCATGTACTTCCCACAGAATGGTGTCATGAATGGTCAGGGGTTTGGTTTCTTTTCTGTACAGGGGGCGTGTGCAGGATGAGAGGCTTTCCATCGGCTCGAGGGTTCCAACCACATGCGTCTTCCTCCCGTCTCTAAAGCCCAACACGAAGCCCCGCAGTCCGGCCGCAGAAACCCGCATGTTCGGATGTTCTGTCCTCAAGTTCGACAAGATTGATAGACAAGCACCCTGAGCCAAATCACATGCTCAACATCTACAGATGCAACAACATTTAAATACATGTATCATCTAATTATATGGTCATCTAATTGTACCTCTCTAATCATGTAATGAAAGAAATTCACCGATACAGGAGATGTGATTCACCGATACAATGAGCCAGCAAGAGGGGGTGCACTACCTGCATGTCAGAAAGCAATATCCCTGGATCATCCTGGATCGACATTGGACTTACAGTGGTTTCAGAGTAGATGGCACAGACCCAAGATGTCCTTTAGATGGTCCATGTGAACCACCTCTTGGGGTCTGTGCCATCTACTCTCAATCCACTATAGTTCTATTTCCCATCCACGGAGCGAGTCGGACTGCGATCAGGTCGATGGCCAAGATGATTGGTGGTGCCACCGACTCAAGGGGCATGCCCATGCCGCAGGCACCAAATCGGCGGAAGGAAACATATGGCGGCAGAATGCGGCATTAGCATGAGTAAGGTGTGGGGATGGACCGGGATGGACATGTCATATCCTTTCCTGGGATTCTGACGGGCGGAGCCCTGAGGCGGTTGGTTGAAACATGAGAAATTGAAAGCCCAAAAGAGGTACTGGGCTCGTATCAACTTGTATCCATCTCTTTTTGGTGTTCTCTTTAGGAAAAACAGGTTCAGGTGAACAGAAGAACATTACATCAGGTACAAGTGACTTAGAAGCGCAAGTCATCTCCACCTTCATGGACTCCGCTGCGTGCCAGGGCCCTTCTCCAAAGCTGTCCATCTTCAACCTGCCTGATGTTGCGTGGCGCAAGATGTTCTGCCTTCGAATGTTCATGTCATCGCTGTCATCATGTGACTGAGGTGAGTGAATCCCTATCATGGAGAATCCAAAATCATGTGATGCGGATGGAATTCCTTTGCCATGGCTGTTCCATTTGTGGATTTTTTGGGGTGCTATACGACTGCACGACGTACACCACGATGATGACACGGGAAACGTCTCTCAACACCGGCGTTTGAGGCCATGACAGAGCAAATTTGCAGAGATTTGCTCAGTCAGTTTGGAAAGCTCAGGAGCGGATTTGCAAGCGAAAGCGGCCATTTGGAGAATCAGCCATTTGGAGATGTTGTAGGATGGCGGATGAAGGTCAAGATGCCGCATGTCTCATCATTTACAAATGGTGAACTCATTCCAAATCGCAACACCAGAAGAAGGCCCTCTGATAGACACCCTTTTCAGAGTTCATTTGAAGAATGAAGAATACAGAGTTGCAGAGCATATCATTGCATTGTCTTCAGCTCAGTGGCACAGTGAGCTCCATGGATCAGACGGCCGTTCAGGCCGTTCTCATACGACCGAGTGGAGCGCACGACGCCTCGTTCGGACCGGTGCAGGATGTTGAGTCTCATTCGAGACTTGGGCACCGGGAAGATCAAAGGCTACGGAATCTTTGAGTGCCGAGCGCAGAAGACGCGGAAGAGAGCCAGGGAAAGCCGTTTTTTGTTTGCAGACACAAGCTCACGTGTTTTTTCTATGGGAAAGCGCAGTCCGTGCTTCTCAAGAACATGGTGTGGATGGGCAGTCCAGCTGTCATTTATACTTTCACATGTTTCTTGGCCCTTCCAAGTAAGTCTGCAAAAGTCACAAGCTGCTTTTGTAAAGGAACATCCTCTTCGCAGAAGCCGCGCCATATTTTTTTTTGGAGTGCTTTTCTGGGAATCTGTACTTTTAGGTGTTTCATCCCCTGGGTTTCGGGAGTTGAGGAGTCGACACACTGAATAAGGTGTGGATTGGTTGCTGCAAGACAATCCCCACCCACTGCTGTTTTGGTCAGGGTTTGGAGTACCCCCCCAAACAAGATAGAACAAGTACTGACTGTTACTCAGCAAGATTAGTGAAAACGCACAACAGATCAGAAATAACATCAATCATGCCTGGAGTACATGGCATTAGCTGTCTTCTGCAGGCTTAGCCGGGCAGCCGGTCGAGCTTGATCGGGCATCGGAGAAACCCGTCACGTGATGCCCGCGTGCGTTGCTGCTTGCAGCGTCCAGGTACGACAATCCCAATGACGTGGACTTAGCGATTGTGGCGCTCAACGGTTTTGTTTGCGGTCAGAACGTCATTCGAGTACAGAAACTAGGCTGGGCTGGGCATGGAGCAGATTCGGGCTGAGGAAAGGCTCCATCTCTGTGGCAAACAAATGACCGTGCGCGTGTGTTGTATTGGCTGAGTAACACACATATACATCGCATATAAACACCAAATATACCTCAGACACGACCCATGGGACTGCCATATATATGCCGATCAGTTGGGATGGTTTGAGGGGTCAATGTAGGTATATATGGCAGTCCCATGGAGCGTTTGGGTAAGGATCCTAAGAATCCTACCAGGTGTCGGGGTCGGAAATTCCATAGCAGAAGGTCCCCCTTCCCATTTGAGGGCCCGGAGTAGACTAGTGACTAGAGTGGGGACGACATGGAGTGTCTGGGTACCAGTTGACACATGGAGTTCCGTCCCTTTGGGCGCCCGAACTCCGGTCGTCGGGGTCGTCAGGGTCCTCGGGAGACATTCACCGTGCCGGTGAAGCGTTGGCGGGTCTCTCTCCACTCTTGATCTTACCATACCCTAAGAAGAATCATTGGACCATTCTATCAAGGGTTTTGACCCTCCAAGGACAAAGACCTTGCCCTATGAATCGTGGGACCCGACCACTTCTGGAGGGTTTGGACCCTGCAGAACGCAGGGGTTTGGACCCGAACCAAACCTTCACCTTTGAGGGTCCTTGATTCTTAGGGTAATTTGGATGGTCTCTTTAAGACCTGAAGACAGTCTGACGCACCTCTATAGTCTATAGACGTTTCCAAGGCCAAACGAAACGCTAGAAGTGCCATCCGCATCCTCTTCCGCGTTCCTCACGGACCTTCCGCCCGTTCACGACCTCCCCACCGACGCGACGGCTGTTCGACTCGGCGATCTCCGTCTCCGCGAGGCCAGCAGTCCACGACCACCACCACGAAGCCGCAGCCGGTGGCGGCCACGGCCAGCCGGCGGGTGAAAGCGGGCGAAGTCCGGAAGTCCGGTGAAGTGAGTAGTGGGAGGTCTCTTTTTTGGGGGGGATTTTTTGGGGGTGGGGGGGGGGCCAGACATCCTTGAAGGAAGCAGCATGTTATTGTTCCACTTTCTAGGTATATGGAGCTTTTTGAGACCAATATACTGACGTTTTTATCCCTAGCCTGATGGGTCACAAATCAAGTGGATGGGTTGATTGACGATTCACGGTCCATGTCATGTTTGCTGTTCAAGATGTTAAACGCAAATAAATTTGTGTTCATATATGTTCTAAGTTCAGTTCTAAGATGTTCTACGTATTATGTGTATATATTTTGTTGTTGGTTCTCCATGCGGTGTGGTGCCACTGAACATGGTCTAAACACCTAGTCCTTGTCAATGAGTTTGCCGATTTATATACATCCATTTTCTGGAACGAACCGTTTTACAGCAGGCTGCTAGTGACACCTACCACGGCTTTTGGCGTCAGTCGCCGATCCACCACGAGGCTGTTCAGCTACATGAAGGAGTTCGATGCACATGATGTTAAATAAGCCTTCGCGATCCAACTACCTCCTGAGAAGGTGGTTGGGGTTAACTACTTTTTGAGAGTCTTTTTGAGGAAGTGAGGGAGCCCGGAGCCCTGTACAGATCTAAGCTAGCAGAGTTTCAAGTTCCAGGTGCCCTGACACATGTCTTTTTTGCTTTCCGCCCCAGGGGATCCAGGCAAACCACGATGTCGCTGGGAGTCCCAATGGTTCCAATTCCACGAAAACCATAGACTTAGAATCCTTGGTTCCTTGTATATAGTGGTTTGCTGGGATCCACTGGGCCCAGTTAATGCGTTCAATTTTGTTTCGCCCTTCTCTTGCTCGTGGAAGCATCATTGCTCGGTGCCACCAAAACCGACCACCGCTATGGGTGATTCTGGGTTCGTATTTGAATAGGGAGGCCCACAACCAATGGGTTTTGGATGTTGTCTAGTTCCCTTCTTCCAGAGGACCTGGGGTGTCTCCCTATTTTAATTCACATATTCCAGTCCCATAAGTCATGTTTGGGCTCTCACCGGAGCTGGACGAAGCACCACGACCGGCGTAAGTGCCACTGGACATCGGAGGCGATGCCCAACTCGATGACGCAAAAGATCGTCAAGAATCCTGTTTTGGCCATGCAAGTGAAGCAGGGCAGAGAGGTGCGGGAGGAATCGGGAGGTGTCCCGGGAGGAATCGGGAGGTCCTGCGCGTGTGAGATTGACATGGTCAATCAATATTAATGGTGTTTCGGTATTCTAGAAGTCGACATGTCTTTTGGTCTTCAATCGCTTCAATGTTCAACTTTCGTTCAATTGATATATATATATATATATATATTATATATATAAGCTATACTTGGCTGGTCATGTTCGTGCCAAAGACCAACTTCAATTCCACCGCCAGAACCAAAACACCATGATTTGGATTGCCGGTTCAGAAACATGACATCGGACTCCGTAGTCCGTACTCCTCATTGACACCGCCAGTCTCAGGAGCTGGAAGCTGTAAGAACAGAACTTTTGCTTGATGAGTTCTGGAGTGTTCTTGCTCAGTGAAGCTCAGCCAGACCGAGACGTGGCTGTGCAACACAGCCATGTGGAGCCTTATGTAAAGGGGCTCCATCCCTCCAGCAGCTTGGTACTTGGTCAACAGGTGGTCCTTAGGTTCACAAAGCAACCAATGGCGTTGGCCAGGGCGTTTTCTTTGGACCATTTTATAAAGAGCATTTGCCTCGGAGCAGGCCTTCTTGGCGAGTGGCGGGAGCGATTTCGGCCATTCGTCCCGTTCCCGAGAAAAGAAACACAACATGTATATGTCCTCCAGACCTCCAAGTTGTTGCGGCGCCTATCTCCTCATCTTAAACCGAGCTCTTCCATACCGGGACCATTCATATATGCTATACCATCATTTGCCACAGTAATGATAGGTAACGATTCCCGTCCCTTGCATGACCTGGGTTTCTGGGCCTTTGTGCGCCTCATGGCCACCACCTCACTCCAGGTGGGTTCCCGGCCGAGCACAGTGGTACAGCTCATGAACGCTGTCTACCAAGAGGTGGATGCAGTGGATGGGGCAACGTCATGACATGTTCCTCTGAGTCATGACGAACTAAGCAAGCACCATCAGCAAGGAAGACCAAGACCATCAGCATGTGCCCACCCTACCCTACCCTACCCCACTCGACCCCACCCTACCCTACTCTACCCTACTCTACCCTGCCCTACCCTACCCTACCCCCCCTACCCCCCTACCCCACCCTACCCCACCCTACCCCACCCTACCCTACTCTACCCCACCCTACCCTACCCTACCCCACCCTACCCTACCCTACTCTACCCTACTCTACCCTACCCCACCCTACCCTACCCCACCCTACCCTACCCCACCCTGCCCTACCCATAACCTCAGCGTCACAGACAATGATTGCAGGACTAATTACAGAGAATCTCTGTCATCAATTCCAGCCAACTTTTTTCTTACGTTGTGGAACCCCTCAAACAATCATTATTGTGGAACCGCAATCAAAGCCGGTCTCTAGGACCAAGGAACTTCAACCTCGTCAAGAACCCACGGCAACTTTGCTTCACCTCCACCCGTCCGCCCTTTCGCCCCGTGCTACACGCCGGCTGCGACTCTCGACGCCGCCAGGACGTCATGGATGATCAGGACTATGACGACATCACCTCGGAGGTCCATGCTGAGGCAGGTTCCCAACACCGACATATGAAGGATCCGATCAAGGATTGTCTGAAGGAAACACACCCGTGGGTTTCTTGGAAGATGTGGGGGGGTCGCACGGAAGATGTATTTCTTTCTGGTTTCGGGGTGTTGAAAACTCGCCCGGAACACAATAAGTGAGTGGGCCTAAGACTTGGGGGAACTTCCATGACTAAAGACGCATCATACAACTCAGATGCAGTATGGTTTAAGTGAAGATCGGTGGACCGGTGCACCGCTCTCCATGTATAGGTGAACCAGCTGCATGAACCCAAACTCCGTTGATCAAGGCAACTTATGTGGAGCTTGGCTCCAACCCGATCCACCTGAGTGCCCATACCGTAAGGGTGTGTCCCATGACATGTAACAGTCGGTATAAGATTATCTAATTTTGAACAAGATTTCCAACCTAACCATCATCATCCACTGTTTCTGACTGGGAATGGGATCCCTAAACCATACCAAAGACCACTTTGCAAGAAGATGATTCTCCTTTTCATAGACCCAAACCGATGGATGCAACAAATCCGTGTTCCTCATTTGCACTCTCTAAGACTCTAAGCCACATCACGTCTTCGTTCTCAATGTCACGCCAGCGGTCCTTGGTGGGCACACCGAACGCCGCACCCGTCCAGGCGTCGAAGCATGGCAACGTCATGAGGGTCGTCATCCCCAAACCTGCCAAGGCCCGGAGCACCTGGAGGTTAGCCGGATTCGACCGCACGCAGCGGGCCCACCATTTGTGGGGGCCCGGGGTGCGGCTCGCCAGCCTGTATACCCGCAGGCGGCAACCATGGAGAATGGACTTTGGGTTGGACCATCTTCCCAATACCAACCCTTCCTCTACAACCCAGTGGCTTTGGGGGTCCATGTTAATCTGCAGGAGGATGTTTGGAGGTGAACACAATCGAAGAGTGGATTTGGCGCTGGAAGTAGTGATCCTGACCCCAGGAAATGTTTGTAAGCACACTATTCATCACTATTACCAGACACTCCAGGTATATCCATGTATGATGTTACTATCCCAGACACCAACTGATCCACCGTTTCCTGATCAGTTTCAGATGCCAGTCCCACCCCGTCATGCTTTCGGATCCGCCGTGCAGGACGGCACCTACGTGGATGGCGTGGGCAAAATCTTTGTCGCGTTTTCGGAGCGGGTGATGGATCCATCGGGGACGTGTTTTTTCTGGCAGTGTTAGCCGCCCTTTTCGACTGGTTTGGGCAGGATCCATTGAGGTTCTTGTGTGGCTTCCCTGTCCTGCATCATCCCCAGTACGTGCGTCGCCCAAAGAGGCTGCTGGACCCATATCTCGCGGTCTTTTCAAAACAAAAAGAACCACCGAAGACCACGGCGCTCCGGAAGACTCCGGGTCTGGGCCGTCGAGCCGCGGTCCAGCGGGTCGAGCGGGTCTCGCTGGGTTCGTGGCGACCGATCGGAAGAGGACCTGACGGCCGCGCGGAAGTTCCAGATGGACGCCAATGGCCGCAAGTTCGAGAATCGGGTGGCGCCCTGGTCGAGTTCGAGAGCGGGGTTGCGACAGCGTGGGCGGTCGGATGCGGATTCGGTTGAAGGGCTGCCATGGGTGTCCAGGGTCAAACGAGTGTTCCATGTCCAGTTTCAAAACTAAGCAGTGCTGCCGTGACCAAAATCAAGGTCAAAAGGCGACATGAAATCCATGAAGGGGTCACCCTTTGTTGTCAATCGGGAGCATCAAACGACTTTGAACTGAGGTTTGTGCTGCCTTTTATCCTGTGGAGAAGTTCAATGAAGGGAAGTTCAAGCTGTGGTCAGCATGAGGCGCACGGCTGCAGCTTTCCTTTGAAAGACTCGGAAGTCGGTTCGATTGTTATGTTTGTGGGAAATTGAAAGAACGTGAAAGAAAAGGATACGAGATTATGCGAGACAAGTCATCCTTTTTGTAAGTAGGACAGCTTTGTTATGTATGAGGTTAATCATGGGCTTGTGTTCTGATCCAGGAATGAGGGGAGCATGCGGAGCAACACTTCCACATCCAAATCAAATTCTAGCCGTAAACTGTAAACTGGTTTGCGTTGTTATTTGGTGTTTGAAGATGTATGGAGATGGAGGATGTTGCTTTGCTTTACTTGACTTTGAGGAAGACCACTCCTCAGCACACCAAAACCTGGAAACCGGTCCGGTTGAGTCCACTCCTTGTGGAGGATGATCCAATATACTGTAATAGCATCCAATAATCATCTAATAATTATCTTAGACTGGAGTAGCAAGAAGATCTGCAAGGTTACTACGCAATTTGTATATAGCAGACGTAGCAGAGTTCTTATTTTACAAGATAATGCTTGTTGTGTGACATCATGTGACATCTCAAGATTCTTGTGATTTGAAGCCCCAAGACAACTCTGGACATGTACGTTTTGTTGTGAACTCTCAATGCAGAACGGATGTTAAACGGGAACTTGCCGGATATCATGTCCACCTACCTACATCCAAGCAAGCGAGCCCGCTGCGGTTGTGATTCTTCAAGACTGTTCCTTTTACAGCCACAAATTGCACAATTGATTGACCTGAATTGTAGAGGTCATCAAAGTCATAACTCATAACCAGATTTAGGTCCAAACGACCTCTCATTTTGCCATCAGCCAGTGCTGATGGTGAATATTAAAATCTCATTGGGACCGTTTTGGAATGAATTCTCTATGTACCGAATCTACCCTGTCAACTTGTCTTTGCCGCAGGTGTCTCGGCGGCCCGTATCATAGAAGGGCTGTCTCGGCCGCCCGTCTGATTGCCACGGTGGCGGTTTCCCCTAAAAGCGTGGCCATGATTCGACCAGCCAGTGCATTCGAATCCCAAGGGGTCACCTGGCTCAAAAGCCCCCCCCACACACTACTGATGAATCGGCGGACAGGTCCGCTAGGAAGATCCAGGATCGACCATTCGACCGGTAAAGAGCCAGCCATTGTCAAGCACTGTAGCGATGCCGCGATGCCCTTGTTACTACCTTCACAGCTTGGATCGACTTTCAACTTCAAGGACTTGTAGACTTCGTGAACCGCAACATCCCAACATCCGTTTGAGAGTTCAAGAAGGCTTTGGGGTTAAAACATAGCTTTTCCCAGGTTGTCACTTAAGAGATGATCACTTGACTTGTCCGTCAGCATGGGCGAGTATCCTTTTTTCTGCGCACCTAGATTCTTGAAAAAATTACCCCCCTGCCCCTACCAGAATGTTTTTTTCTTTCATCTCCATATGGAGGGTTTTATTAATCAACAGTCTATATTATACATGTTTTCTTCATTTCCCTGAGTCCAAGATAAATTTCCTCTCAGCCTGCGCCGCGCAACACGGGAGATCGACCAAACCTGGCAGCAGCTTTGTCTCACTCATCATCCCATTGGACCAACGACCAGGAACCGGTCTGAGGCGAGATGCCAGCATGCTTCACTCGAAAAGGTGCCCAAGTTGTCTAAATCTTAACAAATAGAAAGGGTAACTGAGTGCACTTGAAGATACAATAGATCAATGATCTTAATATATCTTAATATGTTCATGCCTTAATCGTGAGTTGTCAGAGAGGATCTTGACTGCATTCAACAGGATTCAGCACTGAAATGTTCCCTTGGCACAAAACAAGAGAAACCCTACTGAATTGAACAATATCAGTTTCTTGGCAACACAGCTCAAGATGACTCCTGCGGCGCTGCAGCAAAAGCTCCTAATAGCGTCCTTGTTACCAGTAGTAAGGCCAGGAGCCCCCACTAGCGTCCTTGCTCCTAGTAGCGATGCCCTTTGCTCCTAGTAGCTTCTTGTTCCTACTACTTATGTTTAAACATGCAAAATATGACGCTAGAGGGTCAACCGTTGTGGAGTGGCTTTACTGGCAACCGTTCGCCTCAGAGAAGAAAGCGCCGTAGCCGAAGAGACGCAGTCAGAGCGAGTGCGAGAGCAGAGGAAAGAGTCAGCCCGCGCTGAAGGGCCAGAGCTGTGTAAGTTGCCCCTTACTGTGGAGTCAAGCTTGGGCATTGATTGAAAGAGGAAGGTCGATGGTGACGATGCTTCATAACTCCCTTTTCCGGATGATCAGAGGGAAGCAAAGGACATGTTCACCCTTGTTTCATGATTAATTCAGTGATTCTACTTTATAGCGTGACTGTTGTTCTCAATATGATATGTGTGTTTTCCGTATGGGCAGTAGGGGTCTTTGCTCCATTTATGCCTTGCTTTTCCTTTGAACCTGCCACAAAGTTCTGGCTCTGGAAGCAGCAAGAGAACCACACACGCATTCCAGGCAAGAAAGAATAGTTCAAAGACGGTGTGACCCATGTTACTTGAAACACCTCAGCGACTCAGCACTCTTCCACAACTTGACAACACAGGTTTTGCATGAAGAGGTACTCCTGAAACCCAAGATGCTCATGGTTGCGACAACACTCCTGCTGAGCTTCTCAAACTTAAAGTAGTTTTTGAGGGTTTGGGCAGCCCATCCAACTGCAAGAACTAGATGGTAGGAAGGAAAGCAGAAACAGAAAAGGAGCAATTTGCTTTTGGTTATCTAACTTCCATAGAGGCAAGGCCAGATGTGCTGTGGGAAGCATGATATCTGAACAAAACTAGCCATATGTTGTGAACGATACGCTTGGAGGAATGATCGCACACGGCATTCTGAGATATGGCTTTGTGTGACTTGGCAGGACTCGTAAGGGACTAACCCTCTCTGATGGGACTTGGACCGTCATCCACTGAACATGATATTACATTCCACCTTCTCAGAGGGTGGCTGTGTGCACCTCTACGGGGGTGTAGTAATGGGCATCTCAAAAAGGCGAGAACTTTGCACTCCAAGCCCTTGGTTCAGAATTCCGAAAGTGGATGCAATCCCAATCGCTGCAGCTTCCCCCGCGTTACTCCTGAGCCTCAAGTTCAGAAATCCTCTGCTCGAAGTCCTCAACAGACTCAACAGAAGTCTCTTTCCTTTCAGCATCCCCACTTGTGTTCCAAGTGCGGCACTCAACTACTTGGTGGTTCCAGAGTTTCAAGTTGCTTTCCTCTTGCAGGTTACAGGTGTTAAACTGTGCATACAATTAATTATACATATACAAATCCTGAGCTCCCCTTCCCTTAGTGTTGACATAGTGACACCCCCCTTGTATGGCTCCAACATAGGGTGCCGTCCAGACCCCCATAGCCCTAGCCTAGTTGAAACAAAAAACATGCTTTCTCACACCACTGTGCTTTCCATCAACCATCAACCATCCAACCTGCATCGAAGAGGCTGTGACTTCGAACGGGCTCTCTCCCTCTTCCGGCGGTCTCGACGCAGGTTCACCGCCGTGGGTACGGTGGTGGCGGACGCCGACGCCGCCTTCCCCTTCCTGGACGACGGCTACTGTCGCTCGGAAGAATGGAGAGGACTAGGTGGCTCGCTGCTCGGGACGGTTGTTGGAGACGTGGCTCGGTGCTCGGTCTTGGAAGCGGGAAGTGTTGGAAAAGCACTGAGTAGAAAACACATCACAATCGCAAACGATCACTAATCCCTATAAATGACGTAGTGAGTCTAGTGGGAGTCTTATCACTTAGGGTTTCGAAGTGTCCAGATCGAAACCTCAACAAAGGTAGGTCTTGGAAGTACCTGATCAAATTAGAATAAACCTGTGCTTTTTGTAATCTTGAGATACAATAAAGTTCGCAATGTTTTGGGCTGAGGAGTGCGTACTCCTTGGTCATTTGTTCATACAGTTGTTCTACAGGAAAACTTGTACTTTCCACGTGAGTCTCCGACCAAATCTGTGACGAAATCTCCACATACCTCACAGGGTGGACGTGGGATAGGACAATTGAATGTGCATCATCGGGAGTTGACCCATCTACCACTACTGCCCAAAACGATCACCGATGAGAGCCAACCCGCTCGTACCAGAGGTTCGAGATTGCACTCACGGCTGATCTTTAAACCGTATACATCCACATACCAAAGCTGCGAAGGTGACTGAATACTATTTATGGCGCCTGGCTCGGGCCGATCCAAAAGAGCCGTTGCTGCCCGGTCTCAGGTGCCTCGAGCCATGCGGAAGCCTTTGACGGTTCGATCGACATTGCTTCCATGGACTGCGCCGAGATCATGGAGTTTGTGTACATCTCCAGGCGGTGAAGACACGGCAAAAAGCAGCTTTTTGACATGTGTTGGACATGTGTTAGACGACCGGTTTCCTGGTTTTCATGGCGTTATCGGTCCGGTGTCAAAGCGGGATAGGTTTCATTGGATATTCCCAGCTTGTCGCGATGAGCAGCCATCTCTCTCTCTCTCTCTCTTTTTTGCCTTATTTGTGTTTTTTTGCTGGGCGCCAAGCAGGCATGGAAGCACAGACAAATGTTCTTAAAAGCTGTGGTAATTACGGAAGAAGCCTAGGGCCTAAGTGTTTTATTTGCTTGTGGGCTGTGAGTCAACATAATTGAGTCAAAAACACAGTCGAAGTCGAAGATATGAAGAATAGGCTCTGTGACTTTGACAAAGCAGTGAGAGTGACATGGTCGAAGTACGGTCCCTGAAGCAATGGGTCGCTTGTTTATGGTGTGTTTTTGAGGGTTCCTCATTCGACACGAATCGCTAAGAATCTTGACACCACAGGATGCTCAGGCTTCTTGCTCAAAACCAATAGTGTTATTCCCCTTCCTACCTCACGTGGAGGTGGAAGCTTTGGCAGCAGTTGGACCAAGAGTTGGCGGAGGTGAACCAAAGTTCGGTCGCTGCATCCTCTCTGAAGATCTTGCGTCGTAGTTCAAAAGCTTCCTCTTTGGCCTCTGCACATGTGTGCCTCGGCCTAGAGGTTGTGGTGGGAAAGCACTGCGCGAGCCGGGGCTTTGGGAGGGGCCCACAGCGGAAGCCTTCAATGGTGCCTGTTGATTTTATCCACATGGTCGATGGAGTCGTAGTCCTCTTAGCAAGTGCATCAGTCTCATAAGTGCATTAGTCATCATCATTCAATATACTCTCCCTGAAATCATGGAAGTGGATATGGTATTGACAGGATGCCCATATATGTTTCCGAATACCAAACAAATTGGTGCCCACTTCCACTATTTCAGGGAGTGCCGTTTTTTTTGTGAGCTGAAAGTTGACCTTTGCCGCTAGAAACATGTGACTAGAGAACTGCAGATAAACAGAGTTGTCGATGCAACGGCGTCCCTGGGAGGATTCACCAAACATACGAAGAAGAAACCACCGCCGCCGCCACCACCACCACCACCACCGACAACCACCACAACCACCACAACCACCACAACCACCACGACGACAACAACGACAGCGACTTCAAACGAGCAAGGTCCTTGGGCTCGTGCTCGACATAAAGCAAAGAAATCCTTGACCAAGATCCGACTCCGGAGCCAAGTAGAAGGTCCTTGCTACGGAAAAGCCTACGGAGTTCGTGGGTACCCTTGCGGTTCGGGTTCTCCTGGCTTCCCGAAGGTGCAGGTTTATCACTTATTTAACCGATGGATCCACCCACATCAGAAGTGATTGGAGCCAAACTCACCACAGAGGGTGGCAGTGGCTTTGTACCCAAAGACCACCATAGACCTCTTTTGAAACGTTCACCATGGGTTCACACGGCCCTTCCGTTCAGGGAAAGGATACACTGGACCCAGAGGGTCTTCTCGGACAGGCCGGCGATCTGGTATGATCTGGTCCTGCCACCCTGCCCTGACGAGGCACATTATCACGGCGGTGGCCTCGCAGCGGTCCGAGTGCTTCTCCGAGCATGTGCGACTGCTGCTGACGGTGAGCCTGCGACGGATGAAGACCCTGTGCACGCAGCAAGTGAAACAGCTGTGGTTCGCCAGCCAGGACAGTCTGCAAACGGAAGGGACCTGGTCGATCGCTATACTCTGACAAGAACGGTGAATTCTCCGGAGTTTCTGCACAGGAGGAATGAGCAACATCGTTGATCTTGGCATGTGCAATCCAGTTGAAGTTGACCAAATGGTAGAACCCGCAACCTTCCCAATCTCTTCAATCCATTCAATCCATCTTCACCATCTCTTCGACCTTCACCACCTCTTCGACCTGTTTCGGCCTCTACAAGGATGGCTTTACACATGAGTCCGACCATCAGATGCGACTGAAGAGTTGGCTCTCGGAGGTGCGCGCGCAAGAGTGAGAACGCAGAGAGGGCCGGGGGAGATACAGGTGGTTTAAGCATGTTCAAAACCACATAATTAACATAACTGCATGTTGTTGATATTTTTTGTATCAAACCATATTGATGGCCATGGCCTACACTTCCTGTTCTCTCGCAGTCTTTTTCTTCAGATATCTACCTGTTGCCATTGGGGGTTGTGCCCTCGTTCGGATCGTTTTTTTATCGATGCAGGTTTTCGAAGTGCAACAGAATCGCACGTGCCAGGGCCACTCGGCTTTGGTCTTCGGACCCAGACGCCTGGACCCATCGGCACTCCCCAAGAAGGCTACCCCTGAAGAGGCAGGAGCAACGAGCCATTCCCATTCGAGTGCCCAACGCTCCGAATTAAATGAGGCTTATGGTTCCTCCCAATTTCTGAAGATCCCATATATGCAGTTGGAGGATCTTGGAGGGTCTTCACTCCTCCCCGTCCGACACGTTGGAGGCCACGGGGCTCTTGGAGGCCGATCTCCGGACCTTGAAGACGGTGCTGCAGCCGCTCGGCCGAGCTGCGCGAACGCCGAGAGCGGGCGCGAGAGCATGCGGGGAGAGCATGCGAATCGAATTGGGAATTGAGACCAGGTCTTGGAAGATCCATGGGGAATGTTCCCAGGGTTTGGGGAGTTGTTTTGAGTATAAATTGTGGATATAAAGATGTGTAAAGCATATATACAGTAGCATGGTTGATATGTTACCACTATATGGATGTCAGGACCTAAGAACTCCAGACTTTTAATGTTATTTGACTTGATCCGACTTCCACTAGAAAACCTTGGGTCGCTTCTGTTCTTGAGATGGATCCTGACTTACTTCAACTGATCTGTCTATTGCCAAGGGCCTTTGAGGACCTTCCTGTCATCACCTGTGCGAATGGATCCATCATGATCCATCCGATTTACATTCCATGGAATATCATGGACGGCATGGCCCCGATTTCGGATGATCATTTTCAATACCGTACTGGTGATGTCCAACTCATTCCAACTCCATGATTATTTCAAACAGTGTACCCGAGTTTACCAAACAAATCAACTTTACGTAGGGTTCCAGCTACTTGTGCCTGCTGAGAAGGTAGGACCACCCCAGTTCCCTGCTTCTCAGAAACACTTGGAGCGTTGGAGCCGGTCAACTGTATGATATACAGCTCACTGACAGGATGAATCCCTCAGAAACCAACCGATTTCAGGGGAGGTGCAAGAGGCAGGAGGTGGCAATGGATGAAACGCAAGGTGCAAGAGAGGTCCTCAGGTCCTTTGGAGGGTACCAATTAAATCTCAGCCGGTCAGTCTTTACCTGTCCCTGCCTGGCAGTGCCTATCATCGGATCACAGCTTGGGAGCCAGCATAGAGTTGATCCGAATTCGAGTTCGGAGCCAGAGAAGTCATGAAACATGGACGGCAGGGGACAGAAGTCTGTCTACCTTTCTGAACTGGGCATGGCGCATGCCTGGCGACTGGGATGGTCTCCATTCGCCAGTCCTGCAGGTGAGTGCTAGATGTTGTACAGGCAATCAGTCAGGCCATCCATGGGACTAGCCCTGTTCTCATGATTCAAACATGCAGCTGTTCCGATATACTTGATGGATTTAGAAGCTGTTGGATTCATACGCCGATTTGATAGACGCCCCATGAATCCCCCGAAGAATAGAACAATCTTTTATAGCCCATGTGGACTTTGCATTGATCAGTTTTTTCCAGGTTGGTGGTCCAAAATATGGATCATGTAACATGATGTAACATGTATAATAGGCAGTTAAAAGTACATTCTCCACATAGACCTGTCACATGTATACTTATAGGCGCTTAAAGTACATTCTGCACATAGACGTGGACAAAGTACATGGCAGTCCAAAGGCTCCCCCCGATCGGAGGGACCTCTCAGGACCTGGACGGCGCCCAGCTTGGCGGAGAGCCGCTTCTACTCCCATGAGGCCGATGGAAGACGCTTGGGTCTTCGACCTCGACCGTGGGGGTCGGTCTGGAGGTCGAACTGCGGAAAGACACCAATCCGGGTGAAGAGGAACATGGAGGAACCTCAGGGTGTACCATTCTGAGAACTGGCATCATAGAGTGTTTTAGTTCGCGCCTGGTGCTTGGGTTTCATGCCGTGGACGGCCGCTGTCATGAAGTAGGCTGACGGCCGACTCAGGATATAGCACCATGGAAGCCTTGCGCCGTGACACCTTTGAGGAGCAGCGACACCGTCCAGTGATGGAGGAAGTGTTTTTTTCCGGAAGTGAAGATACTATATAATGTGCAGAGATAATTGAGCCAGGAGTTCTGACAGTCCCTTTTTTTTTGGAGTTTCCAAGTTTCTTAGAACATCCATGCACTTCTTGGGTCCAAAAAAAAGTCTCAGAACCACCCCAGAGCTCTCCGTCTCCTTCTGCTGAACAAGATTATTGGCATGGAGTGGCTCCACAAAGGCATCGAAAAAGAAAAACAACTACCACCCGGCCCTGGAAATGCCAGTTTGAGGAGTATCAGCTCGACAAAGGTTTGCTGCAGGGAATGCTACGGATGCTCCCCTTGGATGCCGTGGTGGCAGACTTTGGAGCTGGCTCCGGTCAATATTCCAAGTGGCTTAATGACACAGGCCCGTGGTGTTGCGGATTTGGTGCCGCAGCGTTGGTCGGCGTTGGTCGGCGGCATTGTCTTGGGGCCAGAGAGGTTCTTGGGTCCAGTAGTTGGGAAAGAAGACAAACCAACGTAGGATGAAATGCAACTCCTGATCGTCCTAGTAAGAGCGATGGCCTCCAACCTATGAGCGATGGCCAGCCTCCAACCCAAGAGCGATGGCCTCCAACCTAAAATTGCTCAAGACCAGTTTCCAGTGGATGTATTTACGGCAGAGGATCAGAAGAGTCTGGGTCCAATGAAGTCCCAAAAAAAGGCTAACTACTCCAGCCTTTGGCAGAGGTTGATCGGAAGAACTGTGATTCCATTTCATGGCCCTTGTGACACATGTAGTGACAGATGCAAGAGCATGTGATTGTGAAGTCATAAGCTGAAGCTTGCAACATCCTTTCTCGAACCCAGTTGCTTGGTTAAATTGAAGTTTTTCCTTTGGCTCAACTGTTGATGACTGTGCTTTGCAAGTTGCATCAAGTAACATCAAGCTACTTATTTGATGTTATTTGACTTCTGGACGACCATTACGTAAGCCGAATAAGCCGACGCATTTGCATGTACATATACAACTGTTTTGGATGTGGCTGTTGGGTGATCCTCAAGTAGATAGATATAAACTACAGAGTTTTCCACAATCGGTCCCGGATGCTCTGTCAGCTGCTTCAATCCATTTCAACCCCCAACAATTAAACATATAGTTCCTATCAGTATCAGCATGTAATAAGCCTAAGCTCTGGAAAATTCGCATGCCCGAAAACCATGAAGCTGGTAGAGGAAAATCGTCTTCCAGTCTGGTCCATGCCCTTCGGGTTCCATGTGGGTCAGCCGTTTGACCTGTCCGACTCGTCTCTCCCTCGAGGTCTCGTGACGGCGCTGGCCTTCGACGGCTCTCCGGACATCCATTTGGTGACGAAGGGCGCGGTGGCGCTGGCCGATCTGGGCCACCCGGATGGTGATCGAACGGACACGCGAGGTCGGTGGAGCGAAGAGAAGGGGTTCGTCCAAGATTTGGTCACGAAGTCGCGTGTTTGTACGTTCTATGAGGAAACCCACAAACATGGTCGGTGGGTATTTGATGGTATTTGTGTGTATAGTATATATATATATATATAGTGTGTGACTTATGTTGGGGTTGCTTTCAGAGGTGAATGTAGGCATGTGGCATACATGGAGTGAGACAAACCCATGCATTTGATGTGTTCCGTTTTCCAAGTCTTTTGCCCTGCAAGTCTAAGGACAGCCTTTGAGCTTGTGGAGAAGGCCGAATGCGGGGGGGAGTTACCTTCCAGAGAACATGGTGCACTTTTTTGAGTCTGATGTGCCCCTGATATCCCCCAGTGTTGAGAATGTCACGTCATTATACATATGATACGCATGGCTGTTGTTGTTACTTTGGAAGCTCTCCAACCCTTGTCGTTTGGGTTCCCACAACATAGCTGATGCTCCTGGAACCTTTGGAAGGCAACTGGGAATGGAAGTATAGGCTTTACACATTCAAGCCTATTGTTTGTTGATGTGTGAGAAGAGGTTGACGGCTGGCTGTTACTTTCAATTGTCGGTCACAGCTGATAGTCTAAAGCCACTTCGTTGGCTTGCCATGATTGCTACATTTGTTGAAATTTCTGCATTTCACAGGGCTGCTTATTTTGCACATTGGTCGTCCTTATTCAGCCAGAAGTCCGACCATACCAGTATGTATGTAATGTAATGTAATCTAATGTAATTATAATATTAGGTAATATAATGGTATGGTATGGTACGGTATGGTATGGTATGTCTGCATGTATGTATGAATCCATTGCATAGGGGCACAGTTCCCAAAAGTGTTAGGGTCTTGAAGCTGATACATTCAATTCAACAATATTCCAAAAGATATATCCATCCATAACATAAATATATGACATATATACACATGCATGTGTAAGTTGTTGTTATATAAGTTATGTTCCTTTTTTTGGGTGGCGGACACATATTTTTTAAGTGGAGAGTTGGCAGCTGGATCAACCCCCCCTCCGTCTCCGGCTCTTGCCAGGTTCGACTGGTCCTTGTGTATCGAGGTGGCGGAACATTTGCCTACGAAGCTCACCCCGACCTTTCTGGCCAATTTAGATAAGCTGCTCGGGCAGGAAATGCCGGGGAGGGTGGTGCTTGATGGATTGATGGTGAAGTAGAGTTGATTTGTGGATGGAGAGCCTCTTACTCATCCCCATCCCATCCTCATCTCATTTTTCATCCACTGTCTCTTGGTAATAGAGTTACCAGGAGCACCATTACCTACGAGCTTGCACTAGACAGTGCCTACGTAGGGTTCCCCAGTCACCAACTGGGCCACCTATGATATGGGGAATAAGCCAACTGCTCCCCACTGGCTTCACGTCTGGGGGCCAAACCAATGTCCAAACCAATTGCATGGGATTGATTAGCGGGGTGAATCAACAAGTGTGCATAGGAATTGTAGAAACGGCTACTTGGGGGGTCATGAATCAGGCTTTACCAAGGTCATGAATCTTTCCCACTCATACAGGCCTCTCCCACTTCATCGCAAAAGTTGTGTAGACTGGAAACCATTCTCACCAGCACGAAGCTTCAACCAATTTGATCCAATGTCTCACCATCGACGCCATTTCCGCCATCACTCGGGTGTCTTTCCGGCTCCAGCGCCGCTGTGACACCGTCTCAAAGCAACAGATAGAACCCAAACACGACCGATGGGGACTGCCATAGGACTGCCGAGAAACGGCCAGGGGTGGTTGACCTGGGGTCAATTGATCGGCATATATGGCAGTCTCATGGAGTGTTTGGGAGATATCTAACCCTATGGATCTAAGATGATCTACGTACCGTACCTCAGGTTCGGTGCGACTGGACCCTCCAAACCTACATCACCGTGTCTCCACTGGATTTTTTTGGGTGAAAATGATGACGGTCTTGTGGCAGCCCTGGAGCCGACTACCATGAACAACTACAAATCCAATAACTCGTGCCTGGACCTTCTCCAAGGGGTGTCCTACTAGAGATCCACGCAGCTCTCCGGTCAAGTACTGCCAAGGCACACGGAGCAGGGCTTGATCATCACCTGGGCACGTCCGGGTTTGCAGGGCCTGGGCACTGCCAATCCGTGCGGGCACCTGTGGTGGGTAGAACCGGTGACGGAGAGCTGGTGACCTGGGGGGGGTTCACCCTGGGGATCCAACAAGCTCCTGAGGTAGGCAGGTGCTTCAAGAGAAGGTGCTCGGTGTGGGTGCCAGGGTCGGTATATAGTTGGGGACGTGGGGACGTCGGGTAAGTCAATGAGTCAAGTTGAGCGCCAGTATGGATCGCCAGTATTGCTTCCATATTTTTGTAGTGCAATTCATTGGCAATCATGTGGAATCTGACGTGGGGAGGATATGAGGAGATGTGTAAAGTGTGGAAGATTGTGGGACATCCTTTTTGTGCTGCTAGTTTTGGCCAAACAATGTCATGGTTGCTACACTGTTGCTACCAACCTGTGAGCCAGTTCTGTTGTTTTGCGTGCAACTAGTGGGAAGGCTACGGAAATGATCCACACGCCTTTGTATGAAAATCATTAAAAGAACACATGACAAACACCTGCAGCAAGCTGTTTGTTTGTCCTGAATTGTTGGATCCGCTCCACGAAGTCCGATCCACCGAGAATGGCGCTGTTTCGAAACCGCGACCAGGTTGACTCAGGATCAAGCTTTGGAGCTCATCCGAGAGCATACAGGGCTCAGCCACCTGGACCAGGACCTCCGGTGCGGGCGCAGTCGCCAACACGACGCCGCAAGCGCCGCACCACCGCGCCGGAACGGGGAACGGTGCGAAAGGTCGAAGTGGCCAGGTCGAGTCAGAGAGACGCCGAACTCAGGATCCGAATTGTAACTGCTGCGCTGCTCAGAACGGAAAGACTTTTTTGGGAATCAATGGTGCGCTGTCTCCGAAAACACTGGTTTACAGCGACAGTCGCTGTGGAATTCTGGCGGAAGTAAATCGAAGAAGCGGCAAGGCTTGGACTTTTGGACTTTTGGAGAGCTGGGCGGTTCTCGTTGGGTTCAAGATGTGGATTTAGACAGATTTACAGATGGGTTGTTTTCTCAAGGGGTCCTTGCTTTGGCTTGATAGGGGTCAGACAAGCCCCATATGTACTATTAGCGTTAGGGCAGTTTGGTGTTTAGTTGTTGGTTCAGCAGTTTTGCTATCAAGGCATGGATGTCCTGTTTGAGAGGCCCATTTTTCACAATGTAAGAACAATTGAGTTGGTGAAACAAGCATCGTTTGAGATGTGAGGCCTGGACAATTCATGTGAACCTCTTGGTTTTTGATCAAACATTTATCCTGTAGTGCAATTGAGCAAACCCACACATCCAAATCCCCATTTATTTGCCGCTGTATGTTCACCCCCTAACTCCGGGGCCAGTTATGCCTCCCAAAAAGGAGCTGACCGCTGCTCTTCGCGCTTCAGCTTCCATACCGCACATCGCCGACACGTGGCTTGGCCAAGCACAATGGTTTGGAATATGTTTCACACATCCTTGAAACATGGAGGGAATCTATATGGGTGTGTAGTTTAAATAGGGAGTACCCAACAAATGTGTTTTGGTCTATTTTTGTTCTTTCAGGAGGTCTTTGGGAGGTCTCCCTATTTGAATACACACCCATATCAATGGTATATATATATATACATCACCCTAGCTTTGCGACAAGCTCGAGAGAAAGTGTTTGGAGTGCTTTCGAGGAGGGTGCGACTACGTACCTTTGGAGGAGGTCGTTTAGTGGGAGCCCCTTCAGGTGAGTGGTCAAAATCCCTTATTCATGACCCTTCCATGTAGGTAATAACTCTTCCAGTTGTGATCTCTTACATACGGGGCACAGTGTATCACGGCGGCGAGCTGCGTATCACTTGGGGATTGCGATGAAAGACCCTGCAGTGGGTTGACCCACCCAGGAGATCTGACCTACCCACAGGACTCGAAGTTTTGACCTATCCTCCTATTAGATGGTTACACATCACATGTTCACCCGAGTGGAGGAGCGTCATTTTAATTAGACTAGCTTTAGGCCAAGTCCTATTGTTCAAATGGGGGGGAACCATTTGGAGGGGACACTCCCGCGCACTCACATGGAAGTGGATCACCTTTTGTACGCAAATACAGGACAGTATATACCGTAGCGGTAGTCCTCCAAAGGGACCATTTTCATCCACTTCCAGTGAGTCAGGGTGTAGACTCGTAGACAAATATCTCTTATGTATATTAATTATAATCCATATATCACCAGGGGTTTTGGTGTGTCGTTACTCCGGTCGGCTGGAGGCTCCTGGTCATGGTGGCGAGCCCAGAGTTTCACCACTCATGCCAGAGAGAGACAGAGAGAAAGGGTGTCCTATATTTACCTGAGATGATGAAATCGACCAGTGGCCATTCGTGGGGCTGATTTGTGACCCTGCAAGAGCTCCATTTTACTGTGATCTTTCATGAATCATTCTGCCACATGAATCATTCGTCCAAGACTGCAAGGATGACCAAGGATGACTGCAAGGATGTTGTCCCATGTCAAGGGGTTTTGTTCTGAAAGCATTGAAAGCACTGTGAGGATGTTGTCCCATGTCAAGGGTGCTAAGAACCCTAGGTCGCGAGTGAGTCGTACAGCCAGTGCTTGCCTGGAGGTTTTGTTCTGAAAGCACCTGCACATTCTCTCGTCATCTCACTGCATCTGAGCGCTCCTGTCGATCACGACCCTTCAAGTCTGGCTGTCACTTTTTTTGATACCTTCCTGTTGCCAGGGGTATATATATAGTAAGAGGGTTACCAACATGTCGAAAGCATGTCGAAGTCCTTAATAAGGCTTTTTCGTCCAAGGCCGCCAACAAACATTGCTACAAGACCACTAAGTGGGAGCAAGTTATACCCAGACACGACTACTGGGACTGCCATAGGACTGCTGATCAATTGGGGTGGTGGGTGCCAGGGGGGTCTGTGGGGGTCCGACGACCCGGGACCGCTGATGCCGAGGTGCGACCCGGTTCCGCCGGGGCGGCGAAGGGGCACCCGGTGGATGTGGGGACGGTGGACCCGGATGGGCGGAAGGTGCCAGTTGAAACACAGAAGCTGCGAGTCTTGATACATTTCGGACATAGAAACTTCATGATATTCCTATACAGGGGTACGTTTGTTTCAGGCTGATTGGGGAATGAAAGAAAAAATTGACAAAGGCATTTGACAAAGGACGCAGCCTTAATGTTTGAGGTGTTTCAGGGAAGTCTGTCATTCTAAGCCCACCAGGCCCACCAGTCTTAGTTCAGTTCAGTTTGTCAAGCCCACCAATGGCAGTACTGTACTGGTGTTCCGATGTGCTGGACTGGACATCCGCCTTCACAGGCGACTGCCCCGGGGGGTTTTTGGATGGACGTCGGATCGGTCGTTTTTGAGGCCAACGTCCGATGCAGCTCCTGCGTGTAATGCTGAGCATGGCCAGAAACTTATGCACGTCCACGGGGGGGCCGGAACCAGGGTTGATGATGTATCAGTTCTGAGACTTGGGATATTTCAGGATGTGGTCCTTTTTCATGGGGGAAAAAGACCACATCCGTTCAGTCGTGGGTGCTTGAAACTGTTGGAAGTGGAATCAAATGAACCCAGAAGTTCTATTTGTCATGCCTAAAGTTGACCAAAGGACTGCAGAGCCCAGCGGTTGCGAATCCCACTCCAATGCCACCAAGGAACATGGACCCTAAGGCTATGTCGTGGATACTTCCTTACCCCACTGGTAGGATGTAGGTGCTTATGATCGCTAGGACTCCAACCACATCCTCGGAAGGTATAGGAACAGACCATGTTAGACCCTAACCACCTTCAAAACGGAGCTAGTTGTAGTTGGTGGGCAAGCGGCAAGGAACACATCAAACACCTGCCACAGCATGACACCATGGAATGAAAGCGCATCTGGGTGAAGAAAGTGCCTTTGGATGCCTTTGGTGTGCAGAGCATCCAACCTAGGAATCCATCCTCGTAACACATCCTTTACACAATCATCAGAGAGACCGGGGGAATATGGATCAGCACAGGAACTTCCTGGAAACCCAAGACTCAACAACCAGAAGCAGTTCTGGATGCTTCCCCAGTCCCAGCCAGTTCCTACTCAGGACCATCCTGTCTGGGTGTCCAATACCCTGCACTGCTGAGGGATCTCCATTGGACACACATTTGGATGGTCCAGGTATGTAAAGGATCGCAATTAGCTCAATTGCATTCAATTGCCATATTTGGAACAACATGGGAACATTTGTTTCTGGTTGCGTGGGTTTCCAGGCTCAAGCAGCTCCAGGTTGGGTGGTGTTTCAGACTCTTCCAGTCAATATGACAGAGGGCCGTGAAAGGATGACCATGAGTCTTCCGAAGACCAAACAGGTGGTGAAATCATCGCTTCCGCGATGATTTCAGGGAGTGTTGATTGATGTTTTCTTGTGTTTTCTTTCTTTCTTTCCATCAGTCCCTGTGCGACTGAAGGCTGGATCTATGCGGGGAACGATGTACAGATGTTTACGGCTGTGAAGTCCGCATCTGCCTGCTGCGAGCTTTGCAACAGTTGCTGGGCAGAATTTGAGCGATCAGTCTAGTGTATCAATGAAGAGGACCCAGCTCTGTGTGCGGAATAGGGAAGTACTTTGCAAGATGTGGGGGAGACACACTGGCTATAGGGAGTTCACGTGTCTTTTGCTTTTATAGGCCATAGGATGCATAGCATGCATTCAGAGCAATTTGCTCAGCACTTTCGCACTTTCGGAAAGTTCCTCTCACATTCAACCAGTTCTCCGTCGTTCTTCTCTCCAACTCGAGCCGCCTCAGCCCTGCGATACCGTTTCTTGTGCATCAAGACCTCCCATTCGGAGCTCCAACCCACCAGCGCACGGAAGACCAAACCATGTTGGTAGGCTTAGCCTCTATCCAAGCAAGTTTGCATCAAATGGTTGGTTCTCTTAGCAAGTTCAGCGAACTGGGCAGGTGTTTTGTTCTGGTTTTGCCACCTTGTTCTTCAGAGGGTAAAGAACACTTCGAGACTTAAGACAGCTCGATCAGCTGCGAACGGTGTTCGCTTGGTCCCCTCCCTGGCGTCGCGTGTCACGAGGCAATGAGAACTGCCGCTTTTGGACTTGGTCCCGGGAAGAGAGCCACAAGGCCCACCTGCGCGTAGAGTGGTCGATGCTGAAAGTCTGTGCGAGAGACAACTTGGTGAAGGCGATGAAGAGGCATGTTTTACGTGAAATAATTGGTCGTTGGCCTCCCAAGCCAGTCTATGCCATGGCCTTTAGCATGTGGAGTCATACTATATCCTAACGATCTTTCTCCATCATAAGACCCAAAAGAGTAGTTTCAAGATCGGGGATCAGCATCAGTCATTAGTTTGTCTCAATCTGAAAGCACCAATCGTCAGTTCATGATTCATCCTAACAGAGGTTTAATCATGGAGAGTGCCTTTGACTTGTGGTCACCTCATCTTTGTGCCATTCTTAAGCAGGAAAATGAGGTTTTCATTTGATTACTTCGATATTTGGAGTAATTATAAGGGATCTCATTCGGGACCTCATTTGGACCTCTCCTCCTGAGATCAAAGTTAGCCGGCTGCTTGATGTTTGAGCAGCCAATTGAATCAGATCAGGGAAGGTAGATAACCTGACCTCTCGGAATGTCCTGCAGGATCAGGTTACAGTCTACATCATGTCCTACATGGTTTCCCTCTAGAAATCCCAGTTTATACTGCATAGAACCAGCCCTGTCCCCTGTTCAAGTCAAGAAATCGTGCATTTATGTGAGTCTTCCACGTCTTTGTTCCACGGAGTTCAGCGGGTTCGTCTTCGCTGTCCAAGGAGTTCTGTTGGATCAAGGTGCCCACACCGCGTTACTACCGCGCGACGCAAGCGCGATGGGCGAGCTCGCTCGTGCTCGGTCGCCCAAGCGGTCTAGCATCCGAGAGGTCTAGCAGTGGTCCAGCAGTGGTCAAGAGATTGCAACGGGTCAAAAGGGTCTCGATGGGTCAAAAGAATCCCCACCCACCAAACACATGCTGAAACTGGGGGTCCCAAGACGGAAGGGGGGTCTGAAGACGGACCTGCCGGCCTCCGGATGCCTGTCGGCGGGTGTTTAAATGCGCAGACCGCAGACCGAACTGGGAAAACTGGGGACCGGCAGGCGGGTGACTGACCGGTCACCCCAAAACTCACCACTTGTTTGACAGGTTTGACGTCGGGGGTCAAGGTGGTTGGAACACCACAGGCACCACAAGATGTAGCGTCAAGCAGCGTCAAGGGCTTCATTATGAGGACCGGGAATACAAGATAACATAAGGGTCCAATGATGCCCAGCTGCTTTTCAACATAAGGAAGGTAAGCTCAAGGGCTAGATGGGAATGAATTTCAACCACCACCAGTGGGGTCTATTGTGCCATCTATCATCATATATCCATCGTCTCCATGTACTGTAATTAATTGATGTTGTTTTGCTACGTGCACAAACAGTATTCAGACCCGAGAACTAGCCCCGGAACCTTGCCATGATGCCTTCCACCCCATGTGGTGCTTCTAGAAGTCCGCCAGAGAAACCCCAGGATATAGAGTTGCTGTGAGCCATAAGGTCCAACATTCAAACTACCCGCTCAGGACTCAGAAAATTGTTAGACCCTCCCACCCCAAACACGGTCGAAACGGAGCTACAGTTACTTGGAGTCCAAAAAAGGAGGTGCTGAAAAGGCCTCGCCACTGACTCCAACTCGCCAAAGCACTGCATGTAGGTGGTACTTCTTTCGTCAGAATCTGCTATGATCGCACCAACTCACGTCACCCCCTGCTCCCTGACCCCTGACAAGCCATGGTTCTATGCATGCTTCATTTCCGCAACAGGCTCGTCCAGCCGGTTTTCAAGCTGTCTTTGTCATCCTAATGTAATTACCCTATATATCACAATATATCACATATCGATATGGGACAACTAAGGGTCCTTTGTAACCACACCCACTCTTCACCCACGGTGTTTTTACAAATATTTTGTCTATGTTGTCTTATTCTTCCAATGTTTGCAAAAAAAACAACACGGTCTGGGCTTCGAATCTCAGAATCCTTCGTCCGCAAAACGTCCCGTCTTGCCAGGCTACGCGTGAGTACCGTATCAGCCATGCTGGATTTATCTCTGGCACTCGTGACAGTAGCTGAGTAGCTGATCTACGACGAGGTTGACTGGTCAGCAAAAAGAGCAACTCCCGGTCGCCCATCGGGCGACCGATCATGCTGCGACCGATGGTCTTGGACTGGTCAGCAAACCAGCACGCCAGTGGATGTGTTTGGTGAGCCCATTGATTTGAATAGGGGGGGCCGTATTCCGAAAGATCATTGAGCATTGCAAACGATCCAAACAGAACTTGTTTGGTTGCATAGCTGCATAGCTACCATGTTCAAAGGGGTATGAGCAAAACCCATGGCTGGACTAGCTGCAGTATACACTGCAACTGAACAAGAAGTTTGGCTTTCTCATTTATTGCATTGCAGGTGTTGACAGTATGAAAAGCCCGCCCACGGAAAGTCCAGGTATCGAGGAGAATTGGCGTATACCAGGGCTGGGCTATGCTTGGTGCAAACCCATTGGACCTTTGTAATGTCTTTTATGTTTGCTCATGGGTGCGTTGCGCTGACGCTGATTAATAATTACATATATAATTAAAACATGTCTTGTGGAAGCAACCCAGCAACCAAAATATCTGCCGCATGGTTCAGCTGGCGAAGAGCGCCACTAGTAACAGACATGGTTTTATCTTTGCATGCTTGGGGACAGATCACAGAAGAGTAACATGGACAGATTAAGCTGTCACTTACATGAAATCCTATTTAAGACCGTTCGTGCTATGACATTGACCTGATTCATCACAAGCAACAAGCCTCCGGTCCTTTCTTCTTCCTTGCAAGCCTCGTTTGAAGAACCTCTCCACTCCATGATGGCCTCAATGGCCACCATCAGCCCATCACACCAAGCTTGCCAACCTGTCAGATGAAACATGAGCAAAACCAAAAAACAGAAAGCAAAAACAACAACAACCATGTTAAAACCTTAAAACAAAAAGCATTTCACCAGAAAACCATCAGTGTGAAGGATCCCCTCATTTCAATCCTTCCTTTTGGATCCCCTTCGGATCACCGGCTGTTCCGCCCGATGCCGCCATGGGCTGCTCTTCCTGCAAAGCTCATGTGGCCAGCGCCACGGACCGCGCACGTGCCGCCGCGGAGCACGCGAGCGGGCGCGCGGGCGCTTGGCGCCGGCGCCGCAAGGAGAGGAGCTGCTCGGCTGACTCTGCGGGTCCGATCCAGTGGATGATGTCTTCAAAGATGTATTCTTTGGATCCAGGAAGTTAGGTTTCAAAGTTTCAGATGTTTGCCCAGCTTCGGGTCCAAGCCCAGCTCAGTTGACTCTCCACCTTTTTTTTTTCATATAGGAGGGTCAGGACTCCGACAGAAGTGATCAGAATAGTGATGAATAATGAATGGACTCGACCATCAAGGATTTGTGTTGTTTCATAGTGTCATAGTTTGTTTTCTGTTTCTTTATATGTTGTTTCTTATAAGTTTGATATTTAGAATGATGACAATAATTGATCATACTATATATATATATATGCATTATACATTTGTATAGTTCTGGAGGAACCAAAACAAAGAACACCCTCTTCCGGTTTTTCCTCGCACATCCACTGGCTTTCTTCGGCCAATCCAGGTGATGCGGCCCTGGCGAACCTGGTCAGCCTGGTCTCCCCACGGCCGTGGCAGAACGCGCCACTGGGATGGCAGCCGGTTCGGTGCCAAAGAGGGGACCAAATGGATGGAATTTAAATGTGGTTATGAACTGAAGAAGCTCAAAACCTGGTCGTGGTTGCACAGAAGGGTGTCTTGGATTGCCGAAGGGTGTTTGAAAGGGCAATGAGGAGCAGAGGGATGCTGTTTTCCTCACAGACACAGAGGCAGTTTGAGGTTCCAAATCACTCTCGAGACTGGAAGGAAGTCAATGTGCTCATAAGTCCATACTGTTCCTCACTGGAACTGGATCTAGAACTGGAAGTGGATCTGGAACTGGACCTCCCCCCCCCACCAAAAAACAACATCCTCACCGTAATTGACATGAACACTGGATCTGGAACTGGAAGTAGATCTGGAACTGGAACTGCCCTCACCCACTCCGTAGACAGTGAGCACCACTTTGGAACTGGATCTGGAACTGGAACTGTTCCAACCAGCTGGGGCACACTTTGCTCGACCTGTTCCGACAGTGACAAGGGAACCCGAATTAGGGGACCGTCCGTCTTGCTGGATTTGAAGCCGAAATAGCTGTTTTTGTTGACCAGTCGTGACGAGTCCTTGATAAACCAAGGTTAGCGTCCCTGAAGAGCTGCTTGGAAGAGGAGAACCAGCGAGGAGACACGCCGGTCGAGTGAGTGGGACCTGCTCCGTGGAGTGTACCCTCCCTCCAACAATCTACGTGGATGGCATAGCCCCAGGAAAGACAGCTTTCCTTTACAAACAGGGGGGGTTGTCCACTTCCATGTCCCGTCTGAGAAGAGCACCAAGCACCCAACAATTTGCCCGCACCTGCGATCGAGATCACCAGAGCTCCCGTCCTCTCCCACCTAACTCGGTTTTTGCAATCAACATCAATCAACTCGGGGCGATGGAGGATGATCCGAGATTCTGATTGGACTCTCAAATTGGGTTGTAGAAGAAAATGGATCGTCTTTAACAACAGTGCCCATGTATACTGTAGCTGTAGTCGTAATCCAGTGGTCTATTGCTTTTCAAGGTCATTTTCTCGGTCCAGTCTGCAGGGGGGGTCATCCTCTGTCCGGTCTACAGAGTGGCTCAGAGTGCGGCTCAGCTCCAGCACGACCATGGGGCCTGTGGCTCAGTTCAATGTTCACAAGAAGAAGATGTGCGGCTCGGCCAAAAGGTCCGGCCATGGGGTCTGGAATCATGGCGGCCATGGGTGGTGATGTTCTGTTCTGCCATGTTCTGCTGACTGGCTCCTGACTCGCTGATCAAACAGAAAGGGGGGGAATGTCCAGGAGGGTCATTTGGTTTGCTTCAATGGGTGGCTGTGGCACCTTGCTCTTTTTTTGCTCTTGGGCTTCATGTTTGTCTTTGCATTTGGAAACTCTCACCGGCAGGGGAGCAAACCACACAACGAAGTCAGATCAAACTCGTGGCACAACTCAACTGCATAGAATTACTCTTCAATTCCTTGGCGTTTTCCTGCGTGCTGCTTCGAAGCGAGCTCGCACGCTTTTTGTTGGCCTTCACCTTCAGGTAAGCGCGCGATTGCGGGCTCAAGCGACTGGAAAGACAAAGAGGATAAGACCGTGGAAGCCTTTCAGTCCTGGGACACCGATGGGCATCTCGCCACGAAGCTGAGCGAACGGCCAGCATCCGAAAGACCGGGTCAACTGTAGCTGGGAACGGCCAGACTGTATCCTGTTGTTTTTTTCCAAAGTAAATCTTCCAGTTTGTCAGACCTAAAGGCTTTCCTTTGGTACTTGCTGAGCTGAACCTTTGCTTGCACTTGCACCTTTTACATGCCACGCAAGCAAAGAGCCGGCCTCCCACTCTGGAGAAGATGGTGCATCTACTTTTCTCGATATTGAAGCCCCTTCTCATCCAACACAGCGGACAAAAAAGAAACACACAAGTCCAGCTTAGCCTTTAATCACCTTGGGGCGCTCAGGAATGGATTTATTGGTGAGGAGGAGTTGGCAGATGTTTTAGCCAAAATGGGCTGCGAAGTCTCTAGCAAGGATCTTCAGATCATGCTGAAGAACGCCGATGGGAACAAGGATGGCCTCTTCGCAGCACTGCCAGCATCTCCAACCTCAGCCAGCCTGTTGCTGCCACCCTCTGTAGGGTTTGATGTTTGGATGGTTTACATGTTTGGGTAAGACATGCTGAAATCAGCCAAAGACGATGCGCATGTACCCAGTGTCACATTGGACATAGTGTCACTCTAATCAGCCAATTCTAGGAGCGAAACGGCTGCTGCAGATGCGATCTGATTTTGGCTGCCTTCTCGGTCTCTGAAGAATTGCGAATATCCAAAACATCCATTTTGCAGATAGGGTACAGCATTCCAAGATGTGTTTTGAGGCAGAACGGCACCTTGAAGACTTAGCCTGGTTGAAGACTTAGCCTGGCAAACTGAAGCAGCAACCCTTGAGCAACCCGAACCCAATCAAGCTCCTTAACATGTGTTGGCAAACTACTTGACGATACTCCCTTGCAGAGGACCACATGGAACCCCAAAACCACTGGGTTGGTATCCGGAAAAGGGTCGAAACCACCGGTCTTTCTTCTCAGGCTCCGTGGGATCACAATCCTAAAACCTACCAGAACCCCCTGTCGTCACACATTCCCAGTCGATGTCGTTCCAATTCTGCTGAAATCCATGGCTTGGCGGCACAGCACTGAGCTGAGGAAAGATCGCCTATGAAGAGATGGTCCACTGGATTTGCCGCGCACCCGATCTGGAGGTTGGCAAATTGACTTTGAAACACATGTATTGTTTGTATCGGTTGCATTCATGTTTCTTTGGACTGGAATCTTGGGGTTCTAGAGCCCAAAGATCTGACCAAAAAGGGATCAATATAGGTTGGCAATCCGAATTGAAGGTCTATTTCATGCTCTCATCGGACCTCTTCAAAGAGAGTGTGAAGCAGTTGGAACAGGCTGAGAACCTGCACCCCAGGGGGTTGGGAGAAGGTTCAGTGGCAACACCTGAGTTACATTCATTTAAGCCGTCCTGCATGGAATTTGGTCGATTACAGTCAGGGTATAAGATGGTATAAGGATTTTATACGGGAGGGAGGGTATCCATGTTGAGCTTCTTTGGACATGAGCTCTGTCAAGCTCATCCAAGTAGTGACCCACAGCGTATCTGATTGCTGCCCTGTGCCACGACGGAAAAACCACCCCTAGTCTCACTAGACTGGACAAAAGTCTGTGAAGCTGGCAGTGCCCTGTTTTAACCCGCAGGATCTCTCAGCTGTCACCGGGTCTACCGCTGTTTGACGAGAGAAGACGACACCCAAACACGACTAAACATTGACACCCCAAACCACACAAATGTATGCATATAAATATAATATATATAATATATAACTATATAATATATTGATGACATATATATATATATTACTGTATATATGGCATACACGGAGTGTTTGGGACCTGGGACATGTTTCGATTTTGAGGATTTCATCATCTTCGGTCCTCAGGAGCTGCAGATCCTCAAGCGAAGCTTGGAGTCGCAGGAGGACGCTCAGGAGCTCATGAACCAGAAGCTGACCATGTTGCAGACCACAGCCAAAGCCAAGATGCAGGAGAAACTCACTCCAGTGATCAAGAGGCGGGTTAGAGCGCGAACATGAGCGATGAAAGAATTCCTGGTGGCTTTGGTGAGGGGTCTCTCCCCTCATTTAGACCCCCAGGCCTATCATTCATAGCATGTTCTGAACCCACTTTAGAGGCTATAGCATTGATACGTGTAATCCAAGCGAATCCAAGACCAACACACAATCAAAACAGAGGACGGATGCCAGCATAAGCACGCAATAATAACCGGCGTCCACTGGAGTATGACGTAAAGGTGTGTTGCAACTCATTACATGGACATGTTGTAACATGCGAGATTGACCTTTGGAATTCAATACATACACCACATCAGAACTTGTGATTCCACCAACCAGGGTGCTTTCCGTTGTGTAGTCCACCTAAACAATCATCAGACACACGGCGCACACACACACAGTATGGGAAGTTCTTTGCCTTCAGGAGTTTTTCCTATCACGACAAGGACAACAGCGGAGCCTTAACGTATGACGAAAGCATGATTTTCTTCTCTAACTTTGTCGCGCTCTACGAGCCCTTCATGGAAACCATCTCGAAATTGAGCACGTTTCAACGCATGACAGTCCCAAGCACTTCCACTGCTGCCCCTCACGAGTTGCATAATGAGATCCTTGGCTCGGACAGAGCAGAGATGATTTGCCCTCTGAATCTGAAAAAGGTGTCCTCAACTTCAGATCTCAGATGTATTTTCGTTCAATCAATATACATGCAGTTCTTTCATGGTTCATTTTGCAATATAATTACATGCAGATCGATGGACTTGTTGTTTTGCAGGACTTGCAGTCCCAGAGATCCAAGGTTTTTGAAGCAATACACCATTTTAAAGGACCATCACCTTGAGAATATCGATTCACATCACAAGGCTGCTTTCGAGTGTCTCTGTCGAGAGGGGCAAATTCGCGAAGATGATTTGGTGGAGGCGCTACTTCATGGTCACTCAGAAAGCAAACATACATGTTGCTAAGCCTCGACCCTCTTGACCCGTTCAGTGTCTAGCAAACCATCTTGAAAGAAAAAAAAAATACGGTCCAACATAAAAGTAACCAAAAAATGCAAAAACAAAACGCGGGCTAGGTTGATGCAATCAAAAACAAAACATGCACCCCAAAGTGCAAAAAATTGCTAGATCGATCCACTGCCGCAAAAAAGGAAGCGCGAACTCCTTCGCGCTCTCTTTCTCTCTTTGTTTCTCTCTTTTCGATCTGTCCGTTGGTAAAGGTCAACTGAGACAGAGAGAAAGCGGGGGTTTGTGTCGGTGGCGGGTTTGAGGTGGGCAGGTTGCGCTGCGGGGGCCGGGACGGGGGGGGGGGGGGGGGGGGAGGGGGTGGGCTGGCCGCACAGCTGGGGGGGGGGGGGGGGGGGGGACAGGTGGGCGCGTGGGCGGGTGGAGCGTGGGCGGGGTTGCGGACAGGGTAGTGGCGCTAAAACACATCATAATGCTAAACCATGTTTTTGAACGGGCTTGGTCGCTTCCAGGGCCCACGTTCTTGAGTACGATCACCGTCATAGAAACGGGGCTCATTTCAACGGATTTTTGTTGACACAGCTTTTGAAGCAAGGAGATCCCTCTCCTTGGTTCGGACTAAACCGCCCGACGAGCTCCAGAAGTGGACGCACTCGCAGACCTCACAGGGTGTTTTTCTACACTCGACACAGACCCCACTCGTCAGACAAGTGTTGCTTTGGGGTCACACGCTCTCTCTGGACTTGTCGCACTGTCTCAATCCCTTCCCAGTCTGGCCATGTGAGGTCATCCCAAAAACCGAGAGTTTCTCGAAGCCCTTGGACTCCTGGCCACCTTGGGAGATATGGAGTCCAAGCTCCAAGACAAGGGTGAAACCTTGGCAAAAATCGAGCAATCTGCAACGATCATCGACGAGGGCTTCGTGGATTGCAGCATTCTTTAGATTGCTCCGCGCAATGTTCGCGGTGCGAATTCCTGCCATCGAAGCACGCAATGAAGTGCCGAAAAGGACGACGAGCCTGGTCGGAGCTCAACCACCTGGTCGTTCCCCGAGTTCTTTCTCAGTGACACCCGGATGTTCGCCGTTAGCAGGTAGTTTTGCTCGAAGTCTGGTCTAATGCAGTGCTTCCAGATGCACGGGACAGGAACCCAGGAGATCCAAGTCTGTTTGTTGAAGGAATGTGTTTGAATCACATGGATACTTCAGGAGGAAGAAGGCGTTTTGCTTCTTACTGGGTCTTACCACATGTAAGTGGATCAGCCGCGGTGGAATCAAGAAGTCCATGTCGGGTTCGCCAGCGTGGGACGGTCAATGATCACCCTTTTTAGACGGCTTTGGACGGAGGAACATCGCCCCGTATCAAGTCTGAGCCACGCTGAAAACCTCCCCCCCGCGTAAGCTAAAACTGCGGTCGCGTAAGCTCTGCGTAAGCTTTGGCGTAAGCCAGACATTTCCAGGTTATGTCATATCGATGCTGCGTAAGCAAAGCCTGCAATGGCGTAAGGTGGCGTAAGCAGCGGCGTAAGCAACACCCCCGCGTAAGCTGAAACTGCGGTCGCGTAAGCGCTGCGTAAGTTTTCGCGTAAGGCAGTTCTTACGACATAGGAATCTATCAAGGTTTTCAGCATGGCTCAATGACTAGCAGTATGACTATCAAGGGAAAGGGTTTCACTTAAGAACCGTCAAGAAGAAACACTAGCTTGTGTCTTATTTGCGTATTGTCTCAAGTTCCACCAAGACCTTTGAAAGCAGGTCATGGCTTTGACAGGCCTCCTCAAGCACCTGGCCAACTAGTTCAATATATTTCAATATTTTGTGTTTTGGAATGGTTTGTTCCCATCGATGGCCTTCTACAGGTGAAAAACCAATGGGTAAATCGATGTAAATGGTACCAAATAGAAGCATTTTTTCCAAAAGGACTGTTGTTTAATCCCAGAGCCTGCTTGCACCAATTCTACTCCTCCTGAAGTTGATTGAAGGCCTCAGATGTTGGGATCTTTTTTTTGGCATGATTGAGACGGGTGGATCAAAACATGTGAAAACCCATTGAACACCCAAAAACTTGTTTGCCAAGCTGGCCAATCAAACAATGACCCTGGATTGACTGGCTTCTGAGGAATTCTCCCACTAACCAACCCACTCAAAAAGAGAGCTAGAAGGCAGGGTAGCAGTACGGAGCTTCCACATAGGGGTCTCCACAGATGACCAGGACCGAACCATTCGACAGGACCAGCGACCTTCCACCGCCCCCCCCCGGCCCCCACATCGCGAGTGGTGTGCTCCACACCATTCCACACAGAAACGGCCAGTCGAGTCCCAACGACTCACGGGAGAAACTGCAGGAGTCCTTTGGTCGATGGGAGTCCACGGTGAGTCCTTCGCCGGCGTCCAGGTGGACCCGGATTTGGAGGAGTCTCACCCCCAAGGTGGAGGGTGAGCGGTGTGTTTGGGCCCTGGGCAGGCAGATGACAGTCACACGTTGTATGCCAGCCGTGTTTTTGTGCTTGGGCCTCTACACGATAATATTGGGTGTAAGAGTGCATGACTATTTTGAGAACTATATACATATATAGGTCCTACTGGTACGTACTGTAATTAATGGATCATATATTTTGGTGCTTGATACTCAAGCTGGGGAAGTCTCTGGATTGGGAGGGCTCAACGTTAACATGTTCACCCCAAACAACACTCGATGTTTGTGATGTTTACACTGCGAGATGTCATACACAGAGTCGAAATCCATGCTAGGTGGGAACTTAATTTATGGTTGTCACAGGTTTCTTTTGGACGTGGCTTTTGCTCGCGAATCGAGGATTTGGATTTGGTGATCTTGAAGCAACAGCCATGGCAGCAGATGTGGAAGAAGCATGTGCAGGATGCGGGGTTTCGGCTCGCGTCGTGAAAGCGATATGTTTGGCGGGTTTGCGGTGACACCTGCCGAAGCACCTCAACCATTCCCGCAAAAATCTTCCCACTCGGGGTGTCCGATCTTGGAATGTGCTTGTTGTTCATTCCGAATTTCCTCCAACTATCATAATCATATATATATATATATACAAGCGAATTTCCTACAATGCCTATAGGTGGCTGTGTTTCCTTGGTTAATGTGTTTGCCAGGAAAAGGATTGACAAACTGGGGGGGAGGACCCACCCCAAAAGAGGACTATTTATGCCAATTTCTGGTTTTCTGCTGGACCAGGAGCTGAACGACGACTTGGTGACCTTCGAAGACATCCCGAGTCTCCCGAGCTCCGGGGAGACCGCGGAGTCGTTGTTGGAGCAGATGATCGAAGGAGACGAAGCTGTGAAGGTGAGACGCGACGCCGATCGACGTGAGAACAACGGTGGGAAGGACGGTGCATCGAAGGGCGGTGCATCGAAGCGAAGCGAAAAAAGATGAAAAAAGGCAATCGAATGAAGTGATCGAAGTGATCCAGTTTGGATGATGGATAGGAAAGATGGGTTTGATGGCCAGGAAGGTATTTCTTTGGGTTGCAGGCGCAGGGTGTTTCTGGATCAAATTTTTGCTGGCACAGGTTGGTTGAAAGTGGCAGACACCCGAACCAATGGAATCATGATTCGCCTAGTAGCAGTTGGGCTCCACTGTTGGTGAGTTGGCTGCGGGTCACATCACTTGTGCTGCGGTTGTTGCACAGGTTGTTGCACACCGAAGTACCTCCTTCCAGTGCCACGAGCGTTGGCGTTGGTAAGACCAGTCTTCCTTCGGAAAAGCCTTTTCTGGTCCATCCAATTTTGATCTCTCCGGCACCACTGGGCCGGCACCAAGGGTGTCTGGCAACCATGGGATGGGCCTTAAGTGAGGTCTCCTCTCCGCACCAGGCCTCCTCTCCGCAGCTCATCGAGCGCTTCCAAGCCCTTCAGAAGCTCTTGAGCCTCCACGACTCCTTGGCGACCCTCGCCAGGCAGGGAGCGAAGAACCACGTGAGGACGGACACAGGGTGGAATGCCTAAGACCAAGGAGATGGAGCAGCAATCCTCTCAATCTATTAGATCTATAACAATCTATAATATGTATGCATATGCATACTATACAATACAATAATTGTATTACTATATATATACATATTAATATATATATATATACAATTATATACATATATATATAACTATATATTCAATCCATTCCGTAGTATTCAAGCATGCACATTTATTAGTTTGTCATCTATGGAATACCACACACGGATCCACGAGAAAGGGGGTGTATATATATATATACAATTACATACACAGTATTACACGCACGAAAAGCCTCCCATGGTGGGGATGGGACGTTAGTGTCCCAATACCGCCGTGTTTGGCCAGGAAAGTGGTTTCATGCCTGGCCTCTGAAGCACAGTGGCCATCCTTAGTGGCACTGCTGCGCAAGTGTGGCCACCAGGTGGGCTCGGGTGGACCAATGGGACCGGCTGATTCAGTGGTCATTGGGCGGTGAAGGTCGGTGCTGAACACTGTGTTTGGCACTCAAAAGAACATGAACCCCGAGAAGAATGGCACCCTAAAAGAAGAAAGGAGCTCTACAACACCAATGATTTCAGTCCATGGCAGGTTCAGCTGGTGGCACTGTTATTTTTTGAGTGGACCTGCCCACTGAGGCGGCAGACGGCGTTGTTTCACAAACGCACTTTCCTTTCGGTAACCCTTACAGTGTTTGGGCATTTGAAAGCACGTCTACAAAGTACCGCGTTTTACATCAGAAAGTTGCGTTTTTGTCTCGTTTACAATGGGGTTGTAAGATGAAAAGGGCTCACAGTGCAAGAAACAAACATGGAATATTTCAACAACAGGTGCTAGCCGCCCGCCGTCCGAGTTCAACATTTCCTCAGTTAGACTTAAACGTCAACATTTTCCTCAAGCACCGTAGCCGTAAAGAGGAACGTCCACACTTTCTTCATTTACAATAGAAAGGAACGTCAACCACACTGTCCGGCCCATGTACCGGCTACATGAGCGTCAACACTCTCTTCATGTTATGAAGACATGACACCCAGACCATCAGTCTTCTAACAACATAATACATTAGAAACCGAGCAGTATTGCCTTTGAGTTCATCTCCATCTCCACCCCCCTGTTGTTTTTGTTTTGGGTCCCCTTTTGGTGTTGTTTGACCTTCTTTACATGTATAACATTTGGCTCAAGGCACATGCGTGTTAAAAAGAATCTACTCCTTGCATTTCGTTCTACTCGCTCTTGTGTAGACCAGTAGAACTGTAAGCCTTCGATCAGGATACCTGACCTGCTCCACTGCGGCGGATATTTACCCACATCCCCCCACCCCATCCCCACCCCAACAAAACGTGAGGCGTGGAACAAGTTGCACTTGAATTCGTTTGGCAACTCAGGATAATGTTATTGTTGTAAGCAAGAAACATTTAAACAACACTATAACACCTAATCCCTCCGGGGTCGTTAGAGGTGGCGCGAGAAAAAGCAACATTTGTAGATATTTGTAGACACTGCTGGAGATGCAAGGTCGGGACACGGCGACAAAGGACAAAGAAGCCAACACCTTCGAAAGGTGCTGAAGGACAGGAGGCACAAATAGGCATTCCAACAATAAGGCCGTCCCAAGAAAGGCTCAAACTCAATGATCAGCTGCTTTTGGTCAAGCAAACTCGTTCATCCACATCTTCCCAGATGGTCTGGCTGAACACACAGGTCGAGGTCTCCAATATCCTATCCTTGGCGCTGAGCGGCTTCCACTTGCAGGCAGACAGAGGTTTGCCCGGTCGCCTTCCATTCGACCATTAGAAAGATTACCAGGTTAATTAACCTGGTGTTGTAGTGTAAAACCCTTAGTAACACGAGATCCAAGCTCTTAAATCAATGGTGGGCCGCGACGACGCCTGGGGCGTTATGTTCCCTACCACGATCCTCCTGTTGGAACTGGATCCGTAAGATGCCGTTGTGGATCCCCAGATCAATTTTATGTAGATGGGTGTGTATTGAAGGAGGCCTTGAGCAAACGCTGTTCATCTATGTCCCTGTTCCAGGTAGAAACTGCAAAGTTCCACCATTTTCAGACACACATAGACACAGCTATAGATCATCATATGACCTGAAATTCTATCTACGCTCCGACTCATGAAAGTGGACCCCCCCTCGGTTTTGAAAGGAAATCACAGGACATGCCGGGACATGCCGGTCCAGTTCCATGTCACTCCTGAGTCGTTTCCGCGGCTGCCAGGGCGTATTTTTCCGGATGATCGTTGAGGAGGATGACTGGAAAACGGTTTGCAATGAGGCCGCCCTACGACGGCCAAACGCATCAACGCTAGACCCGTGCCCTTATGGTTGGGGGGCAAGAACTGCATGGACGTCGTGGGACATGCATGGTTCCATGGACTTCGCGTTTCGTGGCGAGCATGTTGAATCCAGGATTGAACCTTTGGTTTCCGTTGCACCAGACAACTCCTTGAAATTCATCCATTCGTCTGCGGGCGGAAACCGTGTGGAGATGGATCCCATGGCCTGCATCCATCCGCCTCCCTTGGGCGGGGGGGCAAAGTGCCGGTGCGGTGCATGACTGTGTCCACAAGGATGGTTCATCACACCGGCATCATATATTTGCTTTTGGGGCTTCATCCACTGAAGAGGGATGATCGTCCAGCAGTTTTCAGGTTCAGTAGCACCTTGTTACTAGTAGCTGTTTGTTACGTTCGTAGCGATTGCACCTTGTTACGTTCGTTTCTTCTTGTTCCTGGTAATGCCAGGAGCTATTCATAGTTTCTTGCTACAGGGTATCTACAGTGACGGCCCTTGAGCTCATCATCCGTTCGCCAAGCACCAGAGGTGCGATGGGCAAGAGAGAGTCGTGGCCCGTTGCTGCTGGCACTGGAGGTGCGGGGCCACACCCGCGGGTCGAGCTGCGAGCTGTTTCGTGATGAAGGCCACCAGTTTCATCCAGCTCCTCACGGTCGCGAGAGTCCACTGCCAATCATCACATTGATTCGTCGACTGTTGGAGACAGGTTTTCGTCGACTGTATGGAGACGTAAAACCATTCTGGTATAGAGTGAATTTAATGCAGTCTATATTCGCCCATGGCGACAAGAGTCCGGCAGTCCGGCGAATCGACGAATCGACGGGTTATGGGTTTGAAGTTTAGCACGTTGGCACCTGGTTGGCAGGTGCCATGTTTGTTTGGGTCAGGTACTCTCAGACATCGTCAACCAACCACTTTTGATGGTTTTGTTCTATGAAGTCTTCTGCAGGATCACCAACCTTTGGTGGTGTGTGTATGAAGCAAGAAGGTACCGTCAGTCAATTGAGGCTGATGTGAGTCAGTCAGTGCGGAGCAAGATGGCTTGTAGCGACTCGTGAGCCCATAAAAGCCAGGATTCGCTGTCGGCTTGAAAAAAAGGACCATCTTGGAGTGGACTCAATTGTCCAACTCACCTGGGAAGAAATTGTTTGATTCCCAGGGGCTCTAAGTACCTTTGTTTCGAAGGTATTCGGGATATGTTTAGAGGGTCTAGACACTTGAGGATGTACTTGGAGCCCTAGGGATTCACTACAAAGATTTCTTGGATTCTCAAATTCACGGAACGAATGCGTTTTGTTGTGTTTTCCGAAGAAGCCAAATGCGACTCTTCGCCATGGTTCGCGCCAATACATTCAGTAGAAGAGACAAGCACTCCTGGTCAATTGCCATTTTTGTGTTGCGACTCCCGCCGCATTGCTCTGATTTCAAAAGAACAAAAACTTTATCATCATCCCTATAAAATGGGAATATTATTTTCTATAGCCTCACTAATAACCCTCGTTACCCTTGTTCACCGGGTATTTATCATAGATTCATTAATCCCAGGCACTTTGTTGCAAGTTCCGCCCTTCAGGGGTTTCAATTCATATCGCACAATATATGAAACATTTATCCACATACGTAGACCTACCGCTGGGGTATGGTGTTAAACTCTCAATATGATTATATGAGTTGTTTGTATGCAGTTGGTCATAAGCTCCAAGTTGATTGTGTCAAGTATTAATTGTTCTTTCATACATCACATCAAAAAGAGACACCGCCGACAGATACACATCAATATTTATAAACATGACCGGCGGACGATGTCTCACCTGAATTATTTGCTTGGTTTCACTAAGTTACTACACTATTCCCCGGTCACAGATAGCGAGAATGTCAAGAGAATCATGAACCACAAACATTCTAAAATCTCTAGAAAAGAGAGAGGGGCCTCATGTAGTCATAAACATTCATCAGATTTGTATGTCCCAAAAAGAAAGTCCTCTTGCCGCTTGCCCTCTTTTTGGACCTCCAAAACCGGCCCCACCCTCCTCTCGTAGGGCATGGGCCTGCGCCTCTTGGCCTCTCCGGTGCTGGAGGAACCTTGGTGCCTTGGTGGCAGCTGCATCGGGGAGAAGCCGATCTGGTACCCTCAGAATAGTATAATATTGATTGATATGTGACACACATATATATACTAGGCTGAAATGACAAAGGACTTGTGAAAACTACCTCCAAATTGCGGCGGCTAAGTCATGAAGGTTTAGCCTACCCCCCACAAGTATTTATGTCATGAAGCAAAAGCTTGGAAAAACCTCAAAATCAGAGATGCCAGAGGTTGTCACCAAAGATCCTAAAAACAGTTGATTTTATATTGACAAGCATCATGACATACGACTTTGGTATCTAAACAATGAATAAACCATCGAGAGATAGGAATTTGAGAGCAAAAACGCACAAAGGCAGACTTAAATGAGATACTCGTAGTAATGTGTTCTTAATGAGACAGGACAGGATTCCTAAGTCCCAATTGGCCTAAGTCATCTCACCCTAATCTTCCAGGAGCATGCCCCCCACCAACCCCCCCCCCCCAAAAAAAAAACCTCAGGACCAGGTCAACAAGGCCTATGTCATGAGTGTGTGCCAATGAAATTGCAAATTTAACATTTGTACATGACTTAGGACTTGCCCTGGGAAAGTTGTATGTCATTTCGACCCAATTGGCCTAAGTCATCTCACCCTAGTATATATATATACTTATACATATATATATATATCCATATACAATATATATACATACCATATCACTAAATATATATATATATACATACGCCATATCTCTACATATACGCACCATATGTTCCAATATACAGAGTTCAGCTCACCCCCTTGCCCCGCCACATGTGTCATTGCCAATTTCCCAAACATGTTGCCTAGATTGTTCATGTTTTTTGTTTTCTGCTTACATGTTCTATCATTTTCTAACATTACACACGGACACTTCACAGTAATATTCCAATTTGATATATTCCTTATTGTTGTACTTGTTTTCTTCCTTCCGTTCCTCTCCATACTTCACATGTGTTTGTAATTTCTCAGGGTTATTATTTGTCCATTTCTTCCTATACCCCAAGCAGACATCACAGGCTCCGTTTTCATGTCTAAACATTGATTACGTCCGATGAGAGCTTATACATTTGCAACATTGTGTTCAATCAAGGTTAATGACAACATGTTCATCTAATTCTCCATGTTTTGTCTTATGTTTCTTGTTGTGTCCAAATGTCTTTCCCATGTCCATTTCCTAACTTTGCTCCCACACACGTTACATTCGATTATACTACTAGCCCTTATGTATGGGTAAGCTGAACTCATTCATAATTCCTGTCATTTTCAAACGCATCAATTCCCCTATCTTTTTTTCATTTTCAGTTCTCAGCATCATAGTTTCATAGTAGCGAACCTACCCCCTAAGGTCTGTCATAGCAAAAAGAGGTAGAAACAAATTAAATCATTCTTATTTTGGCTTTCGTAAATACATATCAAACTCCATATGGGCAATACTTAAGACATTCACATCATGTTCAGTGTTTTCAACAAATCTAATCGACAGCAACGTTTCACGCTTTGCTTTGTTTATATTTAGCTGTTTCCAAATTATCCCGACCACAAGGAGTAAATGTATCACTCATAATGGTTTGCTTTCCAAGACCATTTGCATATTATTGTTTATTCAGACATAGACAAATTATATTGTGTTTGATATTATCAGCTGTCATGTTTCTAATGTAGTCCTTTTGATTTTTGGCTTTACTATTCGATGGAATTGGTATTTGCCTTGTACTTTTGTATCTAGAGCTATAACGGTTTTGTAGTATTGTTGAACATTGTATATTGATTTGTATTTTGTATGTTTTAATTGCATTTTCCCAAGTCTTGCTAGGTCTCAGTTTCAAGTATTTAGGATCACCTATCAACTAGGATGATACATTCTTACTAACTTCTATAGGCAAATCTTTTAACAATCCTACCATTTTACCTGTCAAACTCAAAGGCATGCGATTTGAATAAAAAAACATGCACCTTAAAGGATGGTGACCCCCATTCGGTGTGGATTGGCTTTGTAGTGAGTCGGTGTTGGGTTTGTGTCCATCAGCTTCCAATAAGCAAAGGTTGACCGTGTTTCCTGTCAGTTTCAATCATGAATCAATCATCCTGCGGCAGAGCCCTTTGACTCATGATAAATATTTCAAGGACTTTAGCATGGGGACATATTTTTGGATGATTTTTGGACATGTTTGATTGGTGTGTTTGGTATGCTCGCCACCGGCACTTCACATCAGGTCAGTGGCCAACGATGCGCCTGGAGCGATGCGCACGCGCAGGCGGTGCCGGCGACCGGATCGCCGGTTGCCGGATCGCCGGTCGGAGCGCGATCCGGTTGGCCCCCGCTCCGTTTGGGCTTCTGGCCGCCCCCCTCCGTTTCGGTTCGGTGGTTAGGGTAGGTGCCTGGGAGGTTTGTTTCCACCTTTTGAAGATATGGTTGGCACCCCAAGCCATCAGATATTGTCCAATCAACATCCAGATCTTTCTGGTGATGATGACAAGAGCATAAAGGAACACAAGCTTGACAAAGTGCGGAGCAGGTTGCTGCTGATGTTTCGCAGGTGTTCGCGATGTGTGCCCCGTTTGAGGTTTCAGTGTTTAAGAGCTGAAAAGAAGGACTGCCTGGACCCTCCAGGTCTTACCCTGGAAACTAGGAAATTACCACATGAGATACTTGTACCTCATTGTACGGTCCGTCGCGACGTCCGAACCCTGGGCCGTGGGATCGATGGGTTTTCACCATCCCGAACCTCATGAGCTACCTGAGGTACAAAGGTGTCATAAGTCCATGGAGACCCTCCAAAAAAACACAGGCAAACCTTTGACCATCCCCATGCTTTTTGGAGGGTCAAAGGTGTCTTGGGATCTTTGTCCTCTCGTTTTGGAACGGTAGCATCCTGTAGCCTTTTGCTTTTTGCCTCCGTCATGCCATCCAGCATTTCCCCAAGCCACCGTCGATGCCAGGATGCTCCTAGAGTATTCACAACAGCTGCGGCTTGGAACACCCACAGGCCAGGCTTGAGATGTTGCAGCAAACTTGGGCCTGCTTGTGATGCATCAATGATGCCCTTCACGCTGTGAGAAGAGAGGTACCCAGAGGATAAGGAGGAACCCTCTGAACTCAGCTGAAACAATCTCAGGAGCTTTCAGTGGTATGAGGTTCGGTGCCCTTTTTGGGTGCTGGATGATTCTGAGGATGGGATGTGCGCGTGCGTCGCAAAGACCATGACACTCCCGAAAACTAACATGGACCCTGAAAACCACTGGTTGGTAGAGGAAAACAATCTTCCAGGATACCAGGACGTCAGGGTCTATGTTAGTTGACTCGGGAGTGTAATTCTTTGGAAGTACTTACTAGCTTCCAAGACCATACTCAAGTGGTACCTGGACCAATCTGGACCCTATGGATTGCTATTTGTTAAATCGTTCTTTCTGTTGGTTTGCAATGATTTGCCTCACCAACACTCGTGCAGTGACATGCGTCACTTTTGCCAGGTCGATGTCGCGAACAGTTTTTGATAGGTTGTTGTTTTGTTGTGTTCGGATACACTAACAAGCATAACGTGTGCAAAAGGTTGTATATTATCATAATATTATCATAGTACACAAAATAGTATTAACATACTTTTCATCAGGAACCGCAGGTCCGTTTTAGAGCAAGACCTACTTGTTTCACTTGCAGTATGCCTTTTATACACGCGGCTTGCTTCACGGCAAGAATCAGCCTGCTGCTGCTTTTGACTTGAGGTCCAGCTTGGGCGGATCATATTCCCCTTTGACAGGAATTCCTGGAATAGAACTTTCGGCAATTCTTTGCCCAGAACCAGGAAACAGTCCTGGATGGCAGGACGTTGGCGATTTCGCAAAACTAATTGATATTCCACTTTTAGTTAGCCTTTTCCCACAAAAGGGATCGCCCACCAACCTAACCCCGTTGATGACTCGTCTAACTGTTCGTTTGTTGAACCGTTGAACCGTTGACCCCACCGGTCGGACACGGCTCCTCCGGACTCGGCTCGCGTCAGATCTGGAGCTGCAGCGTGCGGTGGCCTCCTTACCGAACCCCCGGAGGCTGCTCTCCCTTGAGGCACCGTTTTGGAAAAAAAGGGGCAAGTTAGGGGGTGGATGTGTCAGGTTTGGGAAAAAGTGATTGGAAGTCTATAAGTATGGTTTTGTGGGTTCCTTGTTTTGGGATCTTTACTGTTTGAGATGACATACCATGCCATAGCCTTGGCCATGTTGATTTTTGTTGTGCTGCACATGTTGGGGTTGGTACTGGGTGGGTTGGGTGCCAGGAGTGTCTATAAAACTACATTCTAAGGATGTGGTTGGAGTTCAGAATGCACGCATGAGGAATGCACATACAGTGGATCGGGAGTAGATGGCACAATCCCCAAAAGGTGGTTTAAATGGACCCCCATGCAAGAGCTTTTTTGGGATTGGGCCATCTACTGTGAAACCAATGTATGTTTTTGTGCTTTGAAATACGTACTGTTTCGACGTGGGAATTAGTGTGGGAATATGTGTGTTTGATGTGAGTCTGACTAAGACATAGTCTGTCTTATTGATACGGATGGTGGCTGATAAGTTGCTTTAAATGCAGGATGAGCTTAAGGCTCCTAGAGCCTGTCCTGAAGTTGCTGGCTGCACAAATCATGATTTCTCACAAGCTGTCTCCACTCATGGTTCTCTTTGCAGATTGGCAAACTTATACAATTAATAACTAGACTATGACTTTAATAACTGCATAATTTTTGCAGCTGGCCGTTGGTGAGAGCGTCATCTTTGGCCTGGATGCTGCACTCGATCAAAGCGCATACGCGCGCGCGTCTTGCAGCTGTTGGACATGTTGGTCAACTGTTTCTCTACTCGCAGTGGAGCCAGGGTTGCTGATGTTGATTGGACTTCTTCGGATGGTTCTAGGAATATGCTCTACTCGTACAATGTATAATCAACAAATAGCTCTACAATGTATAATCGGGGGGGGCCTACGTTTTTGGCCTGGGTGGGCAGGGATCTAGGAATGCTGATGTTCATTGATGTTCCTCAACTGCACATGGTAACGACTCGACTTGACAGGTCCCTCTTTCCTTTGCGCTCGCCCGAACCAGTGGGCTGAAGGCAGGGGCCGCCTTGTGTGGAGACGAGTCGGGTAGACAAGCCAGTTGCCTGGTATACGAAACTTTTTAGGGTGCTTGCTTGAAGTAAAAGGTAACTCATGGTAAATCAATGGTCTGCCAGACTGTCCTGTTCACGCCAGATGCACATAGGCACATAAAGGATCATCAAGGTCGCTGCACAGTGCAGAAGAGATCGGAAGAAGGATATGCACAAAGAGCAAGTGTTTGGGTGTTTTGTAATCTCCAAGTACTGCAAAACCACACATTCCTTGCACCCTCCGACTCTGCGCGGCTGGAGGGGTTGAACCCTCCCAACCATCTCCGACTCTGAGGGCATGGCTGGTGTTCCTCCTTTGGTTTCGCTGGTGGGGTCTCGTCGCTGGTCGCGCATTTGGTGACCACGTCAGTTGGAGAAGTCCCCCAAAAAGACCGACACCCACGCGATTCCGAGGAGATTTCATTAACTCCTGGTTTCGCTCGGCTCCCTGGTTTGAAGGGAAATCATATGAAATAATATCTATATATTTTATATATATATATCACTCCACCAACCCAAGCCCTCGCTCCCCACACCATCAGTTCCTTTTTCCCCACCTGTCAGATGAGGGTTGCTAGATTAAATCGGAGATGCCATGCTCGTTCTCCTTCTCCTCCTCCTCCTCCTCGGAGTGGGCAACGCCGGACCTCGACTGCAAGTGCTTGATCGCAGTGGGTACCGCCAGGCCTCAACCGCAAGTGCTGGATCCCAGTGGGCACCGCCAGACCTCAACTGCAAGGGCTGGATCGCAGTGGGCACTGCCGGACCTCAACTGCAAGTGCTCGATGGCATTGGGCACAGCCCAGATAGAATGCCAGGATCTTATATATATATATATATATATACATGCAAGATGGACACTTTCTTTGATGGCAGTTCAAATGTCGGAATACATGTCAGAGCAAATGCCAGGACCGAAGTCGGACCATATGTCACACATGTCAGACTTCACGGAAAAAAATGTCCTCACACTTTCCAACGAGGACGTCAGAGCACAGTCCATAACATTTCCCAGCTGTTATGATATGACATAGATGATGTGTCGGAGCACAAACCCGATTTGATGCCAGAACCAGCATTTGAATATTGTGTCAATCCGCATGTTTGCCTTTGTCAGGCTATTCTGCGCCTTCTTCCAAATTGTTTTTCTCGAAGTGCACCCCAAAAGCATCGAGAGCTCCGCAACTGCCAGGTGCCCTTGCCCTGCCTTGGCTTGGTCTTTGGCGCTGGCGGTTGGGGGACACGGGACTGACCCGAGTCGAGTGGTTTGTGGAAGAAAGACACACCCAGCTCCGCACGAGAGAGAGAGAGAGGGAGGGAGAGAGAGGGAAAGAAAGGGGTGTTGGGGTTCCAGGACAAATGCATCACCGTTCTGGTGAACTGAGAGGAACATCTAATGGAGCAGAGAGAGAGAGAGAGTCAGAAACTGCATGCAACATATACTTGTAATGTTTTATATCGAAAATAGATGAAAATAGTTCAATGTTTAAATCAACATTGGCAGCGACATGGTCAAAGTTCAAGATGGTGGTAACGGTGGTAACTACTTGCTACCAACTACGAACCAAAGCTCACAACCATTTGCTAATTTGGGAGTCAAACAACTGGTGGGGGGTTCAAAAAGAAGTTCACGAGGGGTGCAACTTGATTGTGCAATCGGCCTTTACTAACACGAATGAAAACATATTTAAATATATAAATATGGAACCATGTCTTATTCCAGTGTTCCAAGACCCCATGTCTAGGGTACAAACTGGATACACGACCCAGCTTCCAGCTGGGTTGTTGTCAATGATTCAATTGTTAACACGGTTCCTGATGTGAGGAGGTTTGTTTTTCTATGCAGACACTCTCTTTGCTTCCCTCTTGTCATCACTACCGTCAATCCACGGCAATTCCGATCTTCATATAGGATGAGTGAGAGAGATGACATCCCAGACACTCCATGAGACGTCATATTTACTTACATGGGGTCTGTCTGGGGTCTGTCTGGGGCCGCAAAATCAGACACACAGTCCCATGGATGGTCCGGGCAGCTTGGGAAGACCAGTGGTCCATGCAGCTTTCACCGGGCGGTCCATGCAGCTGGTGAGCCCAGCTGGCGAGCGACCCCACGGATCCCCTGTGACTTCAGGGGAGCTTACAAGCCTTCGATGTGGAAGGCCTCAGGCGGAGAAAGCGGAGAAAGAACGACCCTAAGGAGTGAACGTTACACTTCCGTTCTTCCAAACATGGATTTTGGATGCCGGATCGACCAACAACGTGCTCTTTCAAACATGATGTTTGGTTTGGAATAAGGTGTTTTTCCATGAGAGGAATAGTCAGAACGTTGGAATTTGGCTTTCAGGTTGCTGATGTTCGGACTTCTTCTGTTGGTTGTGACTGTTGGGAAGTCACTGGGACAGTGTTTGGAAACTCGTGCTTGGTCCAACCACAAGTTGGCGTGATCCTGGTTAGAATGGTTAGAAGCAATTCAACAGACTCAGAGCTTCAGCTAAAATCCCTTGCAAGCTGATGAGGCTAGGAGGGATCGTTTATCTCCATGGTGCTGCAGACTGCGGAACAGTGACAGGTTTTGCAGACCAATTCGCTGGCGGATTTGCTTGACGAGGTCGGAGCGGCTGTGTGGTGGGGTGAACAAGTTCTGCCTTTGCCAAGAGCTCCTGGTGCCCCAAATACTTTCGCCCTCGCAGCTCAGCTCAGGGGGACTCGCAGCTCAGCTCGGTGTGCTGTTATTCTTTTTACAGATATCGACACGACACTCCTACCCATGGGACTTAGGAGGGTCCCAAGAGACACAGAACCGCTCTTGCCGCCACGGTCAGCTCTCTGGGATCCGGGTGAAGGTCCGCCCGAATGATTGGTCGAGCATAGGGATGCAGGTGTTCATCTATTAAAACCAATAACAATCCCAGACAGACACTCCATGGGACTGCCATATATGCCTACATTGGGGTGGTTGACCTGGAAATACTGTACATTTAAAACAACACACACGACCCAAACCTACAGAGACCTACAGCAGGTGGATAAAAACGGACAAAAAGGGTGCAAAAGTGCAAAAGTGTGACAGAAGATTCTGTGACCAATTGGTTGGGACATTCCCCTTGAATCCGCTGAAGTGAGGAAACCTCAGAGACGATGTGGATTAAAGATCTCCTGTTCGATGTGATGTGGGCGATCTATGTAGAGGATCTAAAGGACATTAATAAAGGACATCTCCTGGATGTTCATGGTCTGGATCAAAGTTCTGAGTTCTTGAAACACTCGATAGATCCCTCCCAAGATTTCAAGGCTCCGTAATTCTTTATTGACACAGGCACCGCTGTTGAGAACATGGAACCTGAGAATTGTCTGAGAAATCGCCGAGCAAACCATGATGCCTCATGCTCCGAAATCGGATGCAACACCACCACAAACCATCAGGAAACCCATTCGATTGGGACCCAACGTCGAGACCCATTCGACTCGGTCGCGCAAGGTCTCCCGGAACAAACGCGTCGCGCCGCACGTCGCAACCGCGCAGCGAAGAGAGCGCTTCACTCACGCGTCGATGGCCCCGGGGAATGGCCTTAACAGCTGCTACTGTTGGAAGGTGGATTCTTGGTGATGCTACTAGGAGCAAGGACGCTACTAGGGGCTCCTGGCATCGCTACTAGATCTACTAGGAGCAAGGACGCTACTAGGAACAAAGGGCATCCCATCGCCTGTTGGAAGGTGGATTCTTGGTGATGCAATCATCCACAGCATCCCATGACCTTTTTGTCAGAGGAGCTTCTTGGTCAGACGTTTGGGTTCCACAAGAATCTCCAAGGCAGGAGAACCATAAAGCAAAACTTCCTGACACCTGATGAATTCCAAGTGACATTGGGGCAATACTTCCCTTCCCCAGGTGGCCAAATGCTTCAGCTGCTCTACTCAGCAGTTGAAGTGCCACAGCTCGCGGCAACTCTTCGGCTGTCCATGCGAGGCACGAAACAATTCGTGCGTTTCGTGGGTGGGTGGGACGTAGAGTGACGTAGAGGCAGGGACGAGACATCATGTTTTCTTTTTTGGTCATGAGAGCCATTTGAGCCATTTCTGAACAAGGCCTTTGGTAACCATCAGCATCCACATGCATCCACTGTTACTGCTAGGACAGACCCAATATATATTATATATATATGGTGCCCCCCCCCGGGACCTACCCTTTTGTACTTTTCAGCGGTATTTACGGTGAATTATGCACATTTTGACATTGATTTTTGTGTACAAGCTTTAGATCATTTTTTGGTTGAAGGGATTGTGGGGGTGCCATATTTGACACAATAAGAAAGGACACAGTGGTCAATGAAGACCTCTTGGGTGGAAACCAGATGATAATAAAAACAAAAGTTGCGCAACGTGTTGCGCAACAAACTAAAATCCTAAAATCCTAAGATTTCAGCACTAGTCCAAACCTTGACTTCATTGTTGTAGTCTGGAAATCTTAGGATTTTAGGATTTTAGGGTTTTAGGATTTTAGGGTAGTGCTGAAATCTTAGGATTTTAGGATTTTAAGGTAGTTTGTTGCGCAAAATGTTGCGCAACTTCTGGACACACATCTTCTCACACAGGTTGCAGCAACATGGCTCCGAAAATGCGGGTAGATATCCTCGGATCCGTGGAGATCGCTGGCCGTAGCGTCTCCCTCAACTTCGAGGTCCCCGCGGCAGCTGCATCTGCTTCTACCTCAACACCGGCCACTATGTCCCCGCCATCAACCAAGGACATCATCTTGCAAATGATGCAGGGAAAGTTGCTGTACCACCCGACCAAGCAAACAGTGACGGCACAAGAGCTTGGGCAGCGCATTCATTCCATTCAAAGCCAACTCTCTTTGACAAGAGGGCTTTCACCGTCTGCTTCACATCAACCACAAATCCATTGAAGACTTCGCGAAGCGTCTTGGTCAACTTCGTGAAGCGTGGGTGGTGGACACAGAGAAGAGCATTTGCTTTGGCAAAGATCGGCAATGGGCAGACATTGAGGCCGACGAAGCTACCTTTGATCGCCAGGTGGTCGGTCAGCAAGTCCAATGGGAACAATGGTGCGGCATTGTGCAGCGAGGAAAGCCATCCACGTTGGTCTTGCACCGACTGAAGCGTCCACCTGCAAAGCTGAGGGCACCAGGCCCTGGCGCCGTGCGGAAAGTCGAGTGGGAGCCCCTGGCCAAGAAGTGGCTACAAAATCGACAGGTGATTTTGCACACAGACTCGGCTAAGAGCTACAAAACTGCCGTGCCAGGTGTGCTTCACGACCGTGTCGTCCGTGTCGTCCACAAAAACAGCGTGTCAAGGCTGGAAATACATTCCGCTGGCTGGCACCAAAATATGTAGAGCTCAAATCTCACAAACTGCCAGGATTGAAAAAGATTCTCAAGGTCAAATCTGGCACACAGATCATTGACCGATGTTGGCGGCTTCTTAAGGAACGGCTGCATGTAAACCAGAACAGCCGTGTGGGTAGCCGTTCGCTGAAAATGCAGCTGCTGAGTGCACAGTATGAGTACTGGATAGTACTGGCATAGAAACCAGGACCTTTGGATCAGCACCGGGAAGCTGATCCAATGGTTCCTAAAGTAAACCACTTGGCATCTGCAAGGCGAAAAAAAAAAGTCCGCAACTTTCCTTGCACATCTCCACATTTCATATCAAACATATCTGATCAAACACATCTGCTCAAACAAATCATCTGACCAAACACATTTCACATGGTCCACATCTGGTCAAACACATAAAAGGTAGGTCCCGGCAGAGCTAGCATATATATATATATATGCATTTTGGGGGGGGGCACACACATGTAACAATCCTGGAACACTTGAGGACTCAAGTTTAACAAACCCGATGATGCACACAAATGTCGGGTCATACAAACTACGCACCTTCTCCTCACTTCCTGTCGGGTCCACGAGGTTGATGCTGGTGAATCGCGCGAATGTCCGAATGACCCTGAAAACCTCTAAAACCTTCCAGATCATTCAAGATCCAAATCCCAAAAGTCCCAGCATCAGCAACCCTCAAAAGCTGGCAACAAGTGCGACGACCTGCGTCGATGTCCATGGGGGCCGGTGTGGAGGAGAGTACTTCTAGGTCCGCAAAAGTCGCATGTTGCTCCAGCGGCGCCTGGTGCAACTGACTGGTAAGGAATGAGGTTGGCTGGATCCTACGTAAGATATCTATACTGGAGGACCTGCCACATATGCCAATTGGTGTCCTGTATGGAGACTTATGAGTGTAGGGTTGTCGAGCCAAGTGACCCCAAAGACTTGTGGCGATTGTTTTGCTTCACAGGGAAAGCCATTAGGTTGGACACACAACTACATGGCGTTCAAATTTGGATGGTGGCCTATCAGGTCCTTTTCCCTGTAAGGGAACAGTTACCATGGCTATCCATGGCTGATACCGAAACTTAGGGCACACGACCCCGCGAGTGTGCCGCTAGAATACAGAGAAGTCCTCGATTGGTGGTTTATTTGCTTGAAATACCCGTCTTGTTTGATCTTCTTTGAGGGTGGGCCCAGTTTGCTTCAGCGGACTTCAGACTGCGGATGAGAGGTCTTATTTAGATTTCCCCTTGAAAGGGCCAACGTCGGTCGCTCCTCGGAGCAGTTTGATGTAGTGTGTGTGTGTGTGTGTCTCAGACTGATTTTTTCTTGGCTGAAAGATGTCGAATGAGGAAGGAGAGGAAAAGCCGTCGCCATGCAAATGCTGACCCATTCGCAGTCCGTTTTGATTGTTCCCTAGGGCTCCAACTACCTGCATTTCAAAGGGATGTATTTTCACCACCACCACCACCTGTGGTTTTATGAATAGAGGGTTTGTGGGGGGAACCACCTTGGGAGCTTGAAAATGTAATTTACTGGGTAGAAATAGGGTTTTATAAAGAATCGCATCAAGGATTTTCTAGGGGTGGTGATGGGATTTCGGATGACTTTGGGGGACCTGTGGCGAGGTCCAGATTGCAGCCATGCAATTAATTGATACAGATTCCAGTGAAGACAGAGCATATTGCAGAGTGCCTTGACCATGCCATGGAGAAGATGAGCTGAGGTGGGTGTGTGCAACAAATGCTGCACATATCCACCAATTTGGCCTATGAGTTTCATTGAATAGGCAATGCCAATTCCAAAGGCATCAGCAACGAGCCAGCGTCAAGAAGGGGGTTGGAATTGAATTGTAGGAAGGGTCTTTTAATTGGCAATAGGACCAAAGGATGAAGGATTGGTGAAATTAAACGGGTTGAAGAAAAGGAAGAAGGTTAACTAACTGCAGAGAGTGTCAAAAAGGTTGTCCGAAAGGTTTTCAGAAACTAACAAAACTGGGCAAGAATGTTATTTGAAAGGCGCTTATGTGCGTTTATTTTTGCAGGCTTTGAGGCGGACCAAGCTAATGGGTTATAATGGGGTATGTTAATCCTGTGTTTCCATGAGGGGCTTGATCATCTCCACACCACCAGTGCAGGTGTGGCACCTCCCTGAAGCAGGAGGCCATTTCTGCGAAGCTGGCCGCCCCGGCGGGCCACTGGAACAAACAAGTTTCTAGACTTCGTAGGTTTGTATTGTTTATTTTGAAATACTGGATAGTTGGTTGTTTGTTGTGAACACGAATCCAGACTCTACTTATTTTACTTCTTAGAGGCTAGGGCCCCTACGTGGTGGAACGGGACCCCCAGGTCCCAATGTTTGGATGAAGAACTTCCCGTGAGCCAAGGGAGTTGTGAATTTTCAACGCTGTGACCATGCACCTTTTGAGCCTTTTAACATCTAGTTACTTATAAAGGTACGATTCGGTAAGACTGCATGGCCTTTTTTTGGTTTTAGTTCCAGGTCCTTGCCCGGTGTTTAACATGATTTAACATGTTTCAACATGTCAGTATTTTTGTTGAAACTAGCAGAAACTGTCCATCGGATAAAATCATGTTGTTTTGAGAAAGGCTTGCAGCCTAGCCATCATCTACTCGGCCCTGCTATCAGCTGTCATGGGATATCTATCAGCTGGAGAACAGACCTTGATTGGATCGAAACAACTCGGGAATAGGTCGGGTACCAACAGAGGTTAAGTGACCCTATGGGACCCAACAGGGGTACCTACCTTGACCTTCCAAAGTACCTTAGAAAATGGGACATGACCCCATGAAAACAAGTACCCGTACCCATTTTCCGAGGTACGTACTGAGACTCCAGGTATAGGATAATTAGATCGGGTTCTTCAACCTCTGCTGGATCTGATGTCCATCTGCTCGGCCCCGGACTGGCCGCAGCGATGGCCGGAGCCAGGCAACGACCAAACCCCCGTTTGGGAATGGCCGGGCATGCCAAGCAGGGTGATGGAGGGATCATAATGCTTCTGGGGGTCCAACTGGATTCGCATGCCAACTGGATTTTCTTTTGAAAGAGGTTGCCGCAAAGCAACTGTCTAAGTACCTTGGAATGTTCATACCTTGACCCTCCAAAGTACCTTAGAAAATGGGACATGACCCCATGAAAACAAGTACCCGTACCCATTTTCCGAGGTACTTTGAGACTCCAGGTAGATACATGTTGGGTACGAACTGGAAGGTTCGATGAAACAGACTTGTTTGCTGGGAGTTGAACATGCCCTGATATCTCTCCAGTAGATATGTCCGAAATGGCTTTGAGCTGAATCCTCAGAGTGTGGAATCCTCGAGTGCGAACAGTGTGAACAGTCTGAACAGGGAATGGCGGTGTATTTATGAGTTGGAGGCTATGTGGTTCTTTGGATTCTTGGGTCGCTTGTGGGTGGCTGACTCATAGCTCAACACACGAACCAAAGGTTGAAGGCGTGGCAGCCATGAAATGACCGTGGAATTGCTCGAATGATTGTATACTGTAATCTGATTGTGTTCACCTGATCTCTTCACTTCAGTGCCTGCGAGTGGCTGCTGGCTGCTGCTTGCGGGTGAGACTGGTGAGAACCAGAATCCAGGATTAGTCCTAGGTTGCTATCATGTAATCATGTACCAAAGTTAAAGACTGCTGTGGGTCCAAATGTTGATGAATGGGAATAGATGCATCACCAGAAGCATTAAACAAAAACACATCGGGTGCGGGCATGAGGTAGAAAAGATGATTGGACATCCAGCATTCCAATATTGATGTATATACAACTCTTAAACAACACACTCAAGTTGCAATTGTCGTTGAATTATAGATGAAACATATTATTTTAACTGCATAATTACCCATGCAAGTGCCTTTGCGTTGTGTGGTACAGAGGTATAGACCAAATTAAGTATCCTAGGCTGAATCCTAGGTAACTGCCAGCCCTGAAGGGTTGGTGATTGGGGAACTGCGTGTGTTGGAAGGTTCAACCATCTCAGAAGGTGGCTTGATCCAGGGAGAACAATCCTTTGATCCACTACCGAAAAAGGAGACGCGGAGAGAAGATCGTACAGTGCTCTTTTGAGGCAAAGCAACAACTTTGCAGTCCTCTTCGCAGCCCCTATGGCGCATCTTGGTTCGGGGAATCAAGCGAGTGTGGTGACGCGGCTCGGACCAACGCGACTCGAGTTGCAAGTCCACGGATTGCTGATGAGATTCTTACTTTCAGTCAAGGACCTTGACTCATCCATACCCAATCACAGGAGGATGTAGTCATTTGAGGAGGCCGCCACCTCCAAGTCCATGCAGCAAGTGACCCTTTGGCCGTGGTAGAAATTGAGGATCGAAATCATTGAAGCATATTATATCAGATTATCATATCCAACTTACACCCTCCAGTTTCTTTTGAAGAAAGAATCACAAGCACACTCATTTGGGCAAAAAGATCGCATTTCACTCTTTCAGGCGTGACCTCCAAAACTCTTGTCACATCTTCGCCTCTGAACCCCTCCACAAGGGCCCTCAGCAGCTAAGCTCCCACGTGAAGGACCAAGCAACAAAACCCCACGAAGGACCGACCGGAACCACCTCGCCGGACGGCAGTGAGGCGCTTCCTCCGAGAGAGCGAGGCGGACGATCGGAGCGATCCGTCGGACGCAGATGATGTTGCGAGATGGATCGATACATGATTTATACTCAATACTACATTTAAAAAAAACATATTTAAACCATATTATATATGTGTTTATGTGTTTTTTTTACATTTTATACTCAAGCAAGTTCTTCGCATGGGTTGAAGCAGCCCTCTTTCTTTGATATGTTGTTGGTCGATAGAGGCGGCTTTCATCAATAGAATCATCATCCGTAGCCCAAAAGGTTTAGAGTCTGAGCACTGGGTGAATGACACGTATCGAACGATCTCCGCCTTGCAGGACCCCAGGAACAGCAGCCTGACTGGAGTGCCGGGAGCCGGCATGGCTGCCAGGGCAGATGGTTGCCAGGGTTTTTGAAAAGTTGATGGAAATCGGCTACCAGGGCAGTTGATCAAAATCGGCTACCATGGCAGTTGATGAAGATTGACAAGTGTTGATAAAAAGGATGTACACCTCACAACAGGAACTTCTTGGAACTTAGGCGGACAAAGAACATGACACCGCAGCCTCAGAGGGTCACAATATCTCTTTAGTAACTTTAGTCTAAAGCTTTGCATACCCTCGCAAAGTTGATTTTCTCTGAGCAATTGGTGCTCAAGGTTGGTTTCCTTTTCGGCAGGATAATGCATTCCAATAGGCTTCGGCAGGAGTAGCTGGACGTCTCAAATCAGGTCGCATGCACGGTTTTGAGGCATCCATCCATGCGAGACACTTGTTTGATTTCCAGGACACGACTGCTGGGACTGGCATATTTACCAAATTGGGGCGGTCAATTGTCAATGTAGGAATATATACCATACATTACATGGAGTGCTTGGGCTTTGCATCCTGGTGGAATTCTTAGATGTGATCTCCAAGTTCCCGCGTTTGTGAGCTTCTGATGTCCTTCTTGCCAAGATGTTTCTTTTCCTTAACAGCCATACTCACGCAGCCGACACGGAAGGGTCACCAGCCAACCTGCCGTCCGTCGAGGCTTTACTTTTCGTCTTCAAAGCGTCGCACAGCAGCTGGAGCCCGGGCTCTTGCCACACCCATCGGCGCTGCGCTCCTCGGCTTTCCACTCGGGCAGACAGGTTGTCTCCGAAAATTCTGGGAGCTGTTTTGTCTCCTTTCTTGGGGGGGTCTAATCCATTTGGGCAGGGGCTGAGTCAAGCATGATGGCATAGATGCGTCATAAGCCTCGGAGTCTTTTTTTCTGCGCCGAATTGGTGGTTCATTGAAAGGGGTACACATCAGCCGCGAATTGGGGATTCATCACGAGAAAATTTTGGTGTGAATTGTAGCAGAGAGACCTCCAATCAATGGTTTTTTTTGCTTTTGCACTGGTTCAAGCCCGTCTTAGGCTTGCTGGTTCTCCCCCAGTAGGAACGTGAGGCCAATCAATGGGTTTGGGTCCGTCTCCGGAGTGGCCTCCCGAAACTACCACGGAGCCGAAGAGAGGCGAACGACACCGACACCGTCGGGCAACGTTCGTTTGTGGTCTCTTGGTCGGACGCAGGTCTCCACGAGCCCAAGTCCCCTTGGGCCGAGCCAGTGGATTGCGACAGGAAAATCTGGAACCTGAATGACCTCTATTTTGGACCACCCAAAATATGTTTTTTTTCTTATCAAAACAGAGGTCAGTCAGGCTCCAGGTATGTAAAGAGTAATGTATCCATCAGATCCATCAGCAAGACAACATTGTGGATCAGCTAGTATCCGGCAGCAGCCGTCCCTTTTGGAAGCAGGGTTGGTACTCCTAACACGGGCTTGAACAAGCCCGCGCATCTCTGAGTGTGTGTACAAGCATTGACAGAGCGTGTCCCGCTTTTGCATACCCAACCTCATATCCATCAAATGGCGAGCAAGACTCCCTCACCCGGTGATGGGTCTCGTTTTGTCACCGGCACCGGCAGGCAGCTTGTTGCGTGTGCACCGCTTGCCTGCGCGCTTCGCCGTCGCGCTGGCCGAGTGTCCCGGTGCCACGCCCCGTTCCGACCCGACGGGACCCGAAGCGCGAAGCCCAGCGGAGCGACGTCCAGACATGAAGCGCGCAGGCAAGCGGTCTTGGTTGAACTGGTCTTCGTTGAACTGTCTTGGGTGGAAAAGAACAGCGCATGCGAGCGCCTGCGAGCGCCTCCCAGAGGCGCCAGATGCCCCAAAACCGGCTGAAACAAAGGCCGCACTGCTGCTCTTTCCAGCCCTCGAATGTGTGTAGTATACAAGGTCGAATTAGCGGGCTCCTGGCCGCACCGCTCCGTTTCAGTGGTTTGGTGGTTGGGGTTGGTGCTTGCCACGGGGGTACGGACCCCAAAAGGATGTGCTTGGAGCCCCAAGGGCCATTGGCTGTGTCGTTTCCCCTGGATGAAGGGAGGGGAGTCACAATTGAGGGTGGTGTTTGGGACACCCTAGTTGAGATTTAAGATAGAAGTTGAAGATGGCCCTTGGAAGACTACTTTTCTTTACAAACGGGTGAATTTTGACTTCCATGCGATGTGTTCGTCGGAGTGTAGTCAGTGTATTACCTGAACCAATCAAGCAACATCATGCTTTTACGCGGTCGATGAAACGCCCAGGATGCGCTTGGTTGGGGTGCGGCAGTTGCTCATGAAGAATCAGGCACAGAGAGAGTATAGGGTCTTTCCAGGACTCAAAAGGTGAACCATCTCCAAACTCGGTTGGTCCCCAATCAGTGAACACCAACAATGATCATCAAGACAAAGCCTCACACTAAAGGAACCACAGGTTATATATATAATATGTATATTGTAATAGTTTATATATCATAGCAAGCGGGACACGAAGCCAAGCAAACAAAACTTAGACCAACTATTGCACCTAGGTGCTTTTGACGGATGCTAGTTATTGTTCAATGAACATTGGATTCTGAGTGAGATCCCTGCCTATAGATTGGGGTCTTCCTGCATGTCAGTCAGGAAACCATAAAGAACTGACCACAGTAAAGGTTGACAATCCCCCCTTCCCATGATTGCATGAGATTGAGGGTGATGTCCATGTCCTGGGCTGTAACTACCTGGTGGTGAGAAGGTGCTTTTGGCAGGTTTGCTCTATCAAGCCAGCATCATCACTGCATTCATGGGCCATCCTGCAAGGCTTATTAGTCAAGTTGGGATTGTTGCCAGGCGCATGTGGAGGAGCTGGTGGCCGTGGACATGGTTGGGCGCGCTGCAAAACATGCCGTGCCTGGGCATCTCCATGGCAAATCCACGACCTGTTTGTTAAGTCAACCGTGACAAGGAAAAGCTACAGTACAAATATTCCCTATGTTCCTATAGGAATATCGGGAATCATAAGCAGATATAGAAAGACTGAAAGACTTGTTTCTGTGTGCCAAAAGTTGGTGATTGACTGTAGAAAGACCTTTTTCTTGCAAGGACTGGCACCTCTTCAATATTCTTCAATCCCGCGCTTTGAACTTCAGCCCGCGCATTCTCCATTTTGAGCGGCAGTCTTTTGGGATCTGTGAACCCCAAAACGGTTTTTGACTGTTGCTGACCGAGACCATGGGCTGTAGATGCCCCGGCGCAACTTGCTGGGTGCCTTCGACTTAGACTCCGCGCTCCAAAAAGTCGTCAAAGTCGTTGAAGTGCTCATGACCACAGGTCGTGGTTTTCCCGGCCTTTCTACTTCGATAATATGGGCCCTCAACGGTTCTTCATGGTCTAAGTTTTTGTTCTTTTCGATCCCCAAGTCGGCCAAGTAGGCCTTCGAACCGATGTTGAATTGTGACCATCGACCCGGTCTGGGACCGGGACGACCGTCGGGTGCACCGAGGTCCGCCACATCCTCACCCGTCGCCAGACGCACCGCGCCTTCGGCGCGGGGTCGAGCTGGGGTGACATTGGACCGTCGACGAAGGAGGCCTGGTTTGAAGAGGAATTGCTTGGGGTCGTCTAGTTATGGAATGGATGAGAGGAGGAATTGATGAGATGATGGACATGTTGGGGAATCTCTATACAGTGTGAATTGGGTGAATCAGGAAGGGGAGTTAGGAAGGGGTCCTTGCGGATGAGTGTGTTGTTTCACCAGCTTGGAGCATTGGTTCTTGATTGACTCCTTCTTTTATATTATTTTCCTCAACCCGAATTTGTTGATCCTTCGTTCCATTTGGCTGCAATACTTCACCCTATTAATGAAGACTGTTGCATAAACATATAGAGATGTCTTGCCATGCAGTACAGGGGTTGTTAATCACCTTTTCCCCGCTTAGCGGACCATTGTGGATTCCTACGCCCGCTTAGCGGGGGATTAAGAAAAATATTTATGTGTAATATATAGTACAACATTTGTTATATAACCGTTTGCATTAAGCAATCATCGATATGAACCGATTGACCCAATCATTGAAGGACGGTTTTAGTTTGCTTAATTCTTTGAAGAACGGATATGAAGTACCTGTTTGTCATCAAACCTATTTTTTTGTCGGGAACTTACTCGGTGGCCTGAGCAGAAATCGTCTCAGATCGGATTGAAGTGGGTCTAAGACCATGAGGATCTTTCTCCAAGAGGTGTAGAACAAAGATAGCTGAAGCCCAGGATGGGTCTGTACATTGAGACCCTTCAGGCCTTCAGGTTTCAGGGGCGGCCCTTATCCTTAAGTTAAGACGTTCTACGCGGGACAGAGACTGCAGTACCTGCACGCAAACCCTTGCAGACTCATGCGACCCTTGCAAGCAAGGCAAAGTGTGCTCGGTTCCAACCTTACCAAACCTTTCCAATCATAATCATATCTCATGAGACGGTCCATGTATAGAATATTAGCCCACATTGACCGTCATTGACCCCTAAAAGCAACCCAATGTAACGTAGGTCGGTATAAGCATAGTCCATGACAAGCCACATTTTCCTGCTCTATATGTTTTGCTGTATGTGTTCATGTTTTTGTTGCTTGATCGAATTGCCCGAGTTGGTTTCTGGTCACGGCTCCAATGTCTATGTCTTCGCGCAGGCCCTTCACCGTGCCCCTCTTCAGCGCTTCTGGGCAGTCGACGCCTCGCCCGACGCCAACGCCCCCACCAGCGGCGCGGGGTACGACTGGACGCAGCTCATCGCCACTGAGGCCGGGCAACGTGGCAGAGGTGAGGTGGAATCGGTACGTTCACCTCTTAACTCTGATGGTTGCTACTTCTCAGTGGATCACCCATAAAAGGAAACACACTATCACAAACACACACTTTTAAAGGGAAGCTGTTTGCTTTTGAACACTTCTTCACACACGAATTTAAATCCTGAACATGAACACCAAAAAAGCCAGTGAAATGGACTCTGAATTTCACAAAACCTCTGAGGAAGTGTTAAATCATGTGAGTCGTTGTGAGTCGTTGAGTCACAAGGCTTGGCCTTGTTGACCTGGGGTGGGGGGTGGTTCGTCCGGTTCGTCCGCCGGTTAGTCGACATGATGCCAGAGTGAGCCAATTTATAAGGTGGTAATAATATGTATATATAAGGCCTTACTTCCAATTGAGACCCTACAAATTTGTAGGGTTTGGGTGCGTAGGGTAGTGAATGATGCTGAATCCTGCTGTGGTTGTTTGGGTGTGGCAGGTCACCGTCCTTGGAGCCAATGGCCATGGCAGGTTTGAAGGTGTTCAGTTCATTTATAGGGACTCTTATAAGAGAGGATTGGCAATGAGTTTCACAGATTCAACGCCAAAATCCAGAAGAATCTGAGTGAACTCGGATGAGCTGGTATTTGAGGTATGATCCTAGAGCCAACTCATCTGCCTGGTTCCACAGCCTTCCACCGGCCGCCTTCTCCTTCTCCCCCAGGCGCAGCTCCTTCCCTCGGCGGAGGTGAGCAGTGAGGCACCCATCCCGGCGCTCCCCGGCGCCACCGGACGAGAGCAGCTGGGCGACAGCCGCGCCGCGCGCGCGACGCCGAGGGCGGCGCCGAGGTCCGAGGTGTTCGGACCGAGCGGATGGGGAGGAGCGGCGCCAACGCCTAAGGGTGCCGGGTACCGCCTGGGGGGAAGGGCAGGAGCTCGAAAGGGAGGACAGCGTGGTCTTGGGGTTTGGTGCCCGGATCTATTTTTTTGGGGGAGGAGATGCGATTGGAGAATGGAACAGTGCCAGGTGTGGATCGACCAGAAACTGTGTGTTCACTGTTTATTCCACACCGAACTGGATCAAATTGGGGTCTTGCTTAGTATTATCATGTATTATCTTTTAAAATATATTGGAGGAGACAACAAACACTGGCATCAGCCAGTGCCTGGCCAGTCCAATGACCAACAAGACCACGGAGAACGAACTACGACACTGGCACAGCACACACTCAGACCACCAAACAGACAACGCAGACCACAGGACAAGAGACGAGAAGCAATGATACCAATGTCAATATCAAACATTTTCAAACCCAGACACTGCACGTACGGATCATGAACCGCATACATTGGGGGTAGTTGAACAGGGGTGAATGTTGGCATAGAGTATCAATGAATATCATATAGATTCAGCCCTTTTCACCACGGATTATCATATATTCACCATGTCATATCCATCTATTGTCACATATTTCAGCCCCATGGATTGTTTGGGAAGTAACATCTCCCTCACCGCCCTGGCGATGCAGTGGACATCCCGCCCTGGCGATGGTCCACTGAGGAAATGCGAAGAAGCGGAGGTGGCAGAGCTGGAAGCGCAGCTGATGATTTCGGCATTGCAAGTGCATCCGGACCTGGCTGCTGGAGCTGAGTCCAAAATATCCCAGCGTGTCTTCTTTCTTTTTGGACCAGGGATCACCATTTGTTCTTGGGATTTGATTTAAAACACATATTAATGCAGTGGGTTCAGAGTAGATGGCACAATCTCCAAGTTGGGTGGTTTATATGGAGCCCTATCTAAAGGACATCTTGGGGTGCCAGTGCCATCTACTCTGAAACCACTATGATGGATTTGTTGGGTCTAAGGGCGAACAAATCGCCTTGACTCCCAGGCGATGCCGCTGGTCTAAACCAGGTGTGCTGGGGATTCCAAGAAGCGAATCTGTCACCTCCCAGAGTCCTGGAGAAATCGAAACCTGACCCCTGTCAGATTATTTTTGTAATTAATATATTGGTTATTAGTAGATAAAGTGTTTCCACACAAATGGCTACTCACCATGAGAATGAAGCATGATAATTACAACTTAAAACTAGCAACTATATAAACATAAATAGACAATTTAATATTCAGGGAAGTACTATATATTATGTGTATATGTGTGAAAAACATACTATATATAACAAAAACGGTTCCGTTCTGCTGAGGCTCCCGAGCATTTGGTGGCTCTTCGACAAGGATTACTTCAGGTGGCTTTTTGGGTCCGATTGGCCTCCGTGGTGCACGAGCTTGCCTTACTGCAGACGAGAGACAAAGATCCTCGAGCTGCGATTCAACGGAAGGATTTCCCACATACATTGAGAGCCCAGGTCAACCACCCCATATACATGGAGTGTTTGGGTTTGCAATGACAAGATCTCGATGAGATCTCGACCACTCGATCGTCCAACATTATTGGGTCATCCTTTTTGCTTCGGCGCAAAGAAAACCGCGCAGAAAGAGTGGCATGTGGGAAGCTCCACAACTTTGCCCCAAAAGTTATTTTGGTGTTTCTTTGTTCTTCCTTTTTGACCCTGCACTCCTCTCGAACACTAATTGCCAAACAAAGAGACAGCATGAGGCAAGTTCGTGTTTCAAATCTTGTTTGGCAGGCTATCCCCTTTAGCTTCCAAAATCTTCCAGCCAACCAAGGCTGGAATCTTAAGAGCCAATCCACCCCGCCAAAGCGAAGAATCCTCCAAAAACCTCGTAGGTATGCCAATTTCATGTGTCAAGAATCCAGTGGAAGGGGTATTACAGATCTCACATCAGTGACCTCATGTTTTCTGAGATCTTCAGTGACAGCTGTGACAGCTGTTCCTGATCATGTTTGATTCATGTCACCTCCCCTCTCCAGAGCCTCAGGATCCCTCCAGAGCTTCCTCCCTCTCCACCAGCTGCTCTGACCCCGGCCACATTGCTGCACCACGCAGCCTGCTGGCGCCGCTGGGGCCGCGCTTCTGGGCCGCCTCGCGGCGGAGCCCCTGGGCCTTGGTGCACTCCACGGCGCGCATGCTGCGGACGGGCACACCCAAAGACGTCATGACGGCCCGGGGCCCGGGACGGTGAAGCGGAGTGGGCGACGGAGTCGCGGTGTTCTTTGTTGGTTTGAATGTAGATTTCGTTGCATTCAGAAGTTACCCAAAGATATTCAAGGTTTTACCGCCGTGGACATTTTCGGCTTCGAGGTGGAGAAAAAGGAAGAGAACAACGAGGCTGTTGGATTCCTTTGGTCCGGTTTTTGGGACGTTGGAACAGGGGGTGCCGGGTGTGACGGAGGAGTGATAGGTGACAATGCCGATTGTAACTTGCTGCTTGGGAGGGTGTTTTTCACCGCTGATGGAAACCATTTCGGTGGAACTTTGGGCCCCCGCCCCCCATCGACCATCCATTCATCCATTTCGCCAGTCGAACGATGCGACCGTCGAGCAGTCCGCCCCTCCAGGCGCGGCTGCGCGTGCACAGCACCAGCCTCAACGTTCCCATGCGCACGGAGGCCACGGAGGCGACGTGGTCGGGTCCAATGCGACGCCGTGTGAGCCTCCAGTTCCACGAGAAGGGCGTGATGAGTTATGCAGATGCTCTTTCGGATGCTTGGATCAGCGTTGGTATTTCCGCATGTTCAAGACGGTTTTCAGGTTTAAGATGGCCAAGACATGCCAAGACACCCGCAGAGGGGTGTACAGTCACTGGAAATAGTCAAAATAATATGCTTGCAATTGAATCAAGCCCGCTTTGAAGGCTTCTTTCTACGGACCTGCATGGAGATCAGATCAGCTTGGGTGCTTCAGCCCTAAAAGCAAGGTTCATCAAGTTTCCATATGTTAAAGCGAAACCAAGGTGAAATCCAAATCCAACGATAACAGCTGTAAGGACCAATTCCAGCGCATGGGAAGATCAGGTAAGATCAGAGTATGAGATATCCAAGGCTAAATCATATCAATCATCCCCCAGTGGCTCTACCCCTAGCATTCCCAGCGCCAGCAACTTGCAGCACCTCCCACACTCAACCCATCCTTCCATCCCCAATCCATCCCCGCAAGCGCGCCTCTCAACTTTGGTCCAAGGAGATCACTTTCAGGTATAATTATAAGTTTTCTGTTAAGTAAAACGCTTAACTCTCATGATCTTAGACTACCTTAGATGAACACTCCATAATTCTTTTGGGCAGTTGGACATGAAAGGAGGATTTCCCAGCAACATTATATATATATATATTTCTTATGTTCGCCGGTTTCTTCAAAAAGGAGCTCCTGCTCTCCAGCGGTGAGATCAATGATGAACACCAGAGTCCACGCGGACCCAGTGCCTCTGCACAGCTGGCCGCCGAGCTCCTCACGCACCGTTGCGTGGCAGCAGACTGAACGCTAAACATCAGAAGAAAGACTTGTTTTCGTGGTTTATATCCAACTACCAATCCAAGACATCATGTGCAATTTTGCATACAAAGATAGGATATATCAACATCATATCAACATCATGTGTCCTCTTCTTTTTCGTGTTTGGTTTGAGGCGAAAGAAGACGGATCCCTTTTGGGATGTGTGAAAGAACAACGGGATCGAAGAATCCAGCCCAGAAAGGAGATTAGCTTTTCAGGACTTGTGGATATGGGGTTCTGTAAAAGGCCTTGTACCCCAGCTGATCTTGCAGGTCATGCACATCTAATGTTTTTTTGGAGATGGTCCGGTTTCCTCCGAAACGGGTTTGGTTGCCACAAGAACCGGTTTGACCACGAGACTTCGCTGGTGCTGTTTTTTTTTGTTTTCCGTGGGCAATCCTATGACTTGGCACTTGAAGCCTCAAGGTTTCAGGTACAAAGATTGGCAAGCAGTCCCAAACACACCGAGATGACTGGTTTCAGGTGATTTCTCTTTGGGCCGCTCGCGCCTGGGCCTCCTGCAACGTACGCCTCCAGCGCCCAGTGTGGTGGCGGTGGCCACTGCCTTGGCCAAGGGTGCGGCGCTCGCTCCGCGCGGGGGCAAGGCCTATGTGATGATGCACAAAGGGTGGCCACTTGGAATGGGTGGACAACGTTGGTGTGTGGAAGTGTTTAAATGTTTTGATGGTTAAGAGTACGTGATTTATGCATGTATTAGTCAGGTGTTTTTCGATATAGATGTCGAGTAAACCATCCAACCTGGGTGCCAGGGAAGAGGTTCCTGCACCACGCCACATTCCACCTTCTTTAGTTGTGGAAGAGAAAACCTACAACAATTAGATCGAAGAGACGCAATTGGACAAATAGAAGAGAGGTGTCTTCCATTGAAGTACCAAGTGGTTGGAACCAGGGCTCTTGAAACCGAAGCGAATCATCCATAATTATGTGGAGTCAAGATGAGTCAAGTCTATAATTATCACCTCCATATCGAAGGTGCGCCAGGGGTGGGTGCCAGGGGTGTCGTTTTTCTTCCTTCTAAGGATGTGGGCCAGGAACCCTGTTTCTTCGATCAGCTCGTGCCAACGCATCGGCCTCCAGACCTGCCGACGCATCGGTCCAAAGGACGTTTGGGACCCTTGGAACCAAGGCGAGCGAAAGCCTTGCTCCAACTCGCGCAGTATCACTTGCTTCCCTGGGATGAGGACAGCGTCCAACTCGCGAGCGGCTCCGAGTTCGGACATGAGATGACATGATTAGATATCGATGTTTCAAGGCGTGCGGTGCATCAGCGAGACACGGACGCATGTTTTGCAAGATCAGTATTGCAAAAGGACCTGCCGGCGTGTGGAACCTAGGAACCCTCTATTTTTCGGTTCAGGGCTCGCGCAAGCCTTGCCCGGACATGTGGGCAGAGCGGGGGGGGGTTGTTATTCCCACAGTCAAGCAGTAAGTCTCTATTTGGGGTAACAATCAGATCAGAAAGGTGCCGGAAGGCCGACGACCCCCAGGATGTCGCTCCATCCCCACGTCAGCGAACAAAATTCCTTGCTGAGAATGTGTTGGGTTCCACCCTCATGATCCCCCATGTGAGAAAGTGTAAACAACCAGAAACAACGATTAAACACATCGCCGGATATCACCGGTCATGTACAATATGATACAGGGAAGTATAGACGAGGATCTTTTGAGACAACCGAACACCGAGAGAAGCTTGGGGGGGCTTCGCCGGGGCAAAGTAGACATGCAAAGTAGACATGTTCATTCAGAGTTTCTGGGTAAACACCCCACAAGTAGATGTTGGATGATTTGGGGATGGAGCAGCAAGTCTTTGGATCACCAGCGCATCTCAAGACACCTCCAAACTAAATATGAGTGAAGATGAGCAAAAAGGTAAACACACATATCTTAAGCTGCTTGACAAGTTCCCTGACATTCATCCGAGGTGAGATAAAGATCAGGAGTCTAAGCCTGCAGCATTATCGAAACACATACCATCTAAGCACGTCGAATTCCCTTATTGTTGTTGTTTGCATCATCACTCATTGGTGTACCGCATTTTGGAGCACTGCTTTTTTTACCGAACCTCTTGGAGTTCCCCGTTTTCCCCGTTCCTTGTTCAGACCGCCGACGCGCTGGCCGCCGCCTCGAAGAGCCTCAAGGCGGCAGCGCAACTCATGGGAAGCTTGGCACAACGGATCGTATCCCCGTCCATAGAAACAAGTGCCACGCTAGCCGCTAGTAGTAACAGGTGCCTTACTAGTAGTAACAAGAAGCTATTAGAAACAAGTGCCACGCTAGTAGTCATCACCTCACGGACGTCACGCCGGAAGCGATTGATGGGAAGAAAGCAAGCGAAATGGGCGCTCGGACCGGGGGGTTCAAGATGGTTAAAGCATCCCATTAAGAATAGGTTGTATAAATATAACTGTATATAAAGTGTAAAGTTCCGAAGATTCAGTGACATGTCTTTTTTATAAGATCTTGTAGGACCAGATCATTTTGATTCTTTCATGTGTGAAGTGGGCTTAAGTCCAAAGCAAATCACTTTGATGTGCCTATCCCCCGTAGAGGCCAAAGTCCGTTTCTTCAAAGGGACCTTCGGTTTTGGAGGTAGCCAATGGGTGAGTGCCATCAACTGGGACGGTTTTTGCACAGAGAAGGAGGGTCAAACGTGGAACAGTTTTCTTTTTTTCACGGAGCATGATGGAGCGTCTATTTTAAACATGTTTGGAGCTGGAGAACAAAAGCAACTCAAAAGCAACCAACATGAAGGTTGGACGTTCTATTCATCTAAATATACATCTGGTGGGCATGGAATCATGCCTGGCTCAGTGTCAAGAAAGTCTTGGGATGTTTGACTAGTCAACATGGTGTGAACATTTTGACAGGTGCATTTGAGTTGGATTATGTTTGAAGAACAACGCAGATGCTCTTTAATCTCTTGGGTCTTTGGCATAACTAGACGCTACCAGTGCCCGAGACCAACAGACACCCAAACAGCTGGGTCAACTCAGGTCGTTTGCTCAGAGTCTCACTGGTCATGATTGTGACGAAGATCCAAGGTGTCCCACAAAAACACATTTAAAAAACACATTACCTCTCCTGAAGGAAAAGATTGATAGAAACAGATTCCTCCAGTTCCAGGAATGTCCAAGTCATTCAACTACTCTTGGCTGCCCGGCCGGACGAGTGCACACCCGACACACGAACAGTTTCACACCGGATCCAGCCCCGCCATCAGCTGGATGGTTTCTGAGTACCGTCGCAGTTGCCTTGCGTCCGGTCGGAGGTCGGCGGTTTCTTAGATCCGATCTCTCAAGATTCGGATGGAGAACCATGCAGAATTCTCAGTGAGTGGAAAACTGGGTGATGGTGCTGCACCGGAGCATCACTTCGTGTTCTCACCATTTGATCAATCAGAACGACACTGAGGGGAGCTCGGAACCTCATGCCCCCCAGAGCTCTTCGCGCTGCTCGGCCTAATCTCAAGTCGGGCGCGGACGCTGAAGGCTGCTAGAAGGAGTGAGCACCCCTTGGTAGCACAAGGGAATTGATTTCAAGTGTCGGCAAATGGAAAGCCCACTGAATCGGCTCGCAATCACATATTTTCCTGAACGGATTGAATGATGTTTCGTCTTTGAGCATGAAAGGCATAGATCAAGAATCTCCGCCCGAAGAAAAAGGTTTCCAGAAGAGCGTTGTTCTCCTTGGTTCACAACCTCCCAACCTCGCGGCACCTCAGGTCATTCTTCACACTGAGGGGCGTGATTTGCGAAAGAGAAGGCGTGGCGAACTGTGCGCACTGCGGAACAACGACCCAACGACCCATACAACAACCGCACCAGGCTGATCCGGAAGACCAGGCTGATCCAGATACCAACTATATTCGATTAGCAAAAGAACGAAGAGTAGATGACACGTGATGAAACATGATGAAACGAGAGTCCACTTCTTCAAAGGCAGTCTATATCTATCATGATTATAATTTGTATATAGAACCTCAACATTCTGGAGAATTTTTCTCCGGTTCATCTACGTTTGACGAGCTCCTGAACCACCCCGGAAATACAGACTGTTATCGAGCTCAACGAGGCTTAGGGCTGTTCTTTTTCTAATTAAGTCTTTGGTCCAATCTTCACAGGAGATGTGGATGCCTGCTATCTCCACTACTTGCAAGCCTTGGCAACCCTGGACGATGCCTACGGCGATCCGCGCAAACCCGGTGGCCGGGGCCATCCCTTTGCCGCCTTCCTGGTGTGGAAGTTGGGCCTCATCTCCTACTGCAGGCCAGTGATCGACTGGACCCAGGTGCTGGACTGAAGAAAGAGCGAAGGATGAGAAGATTCATGACCCGACTGTCGACCTTCATTCTACGACCTGTCGACTGCACTGTGAAAAGGAATACCGATCAATTGGGGTGGTTGACCTGAACATGGAGTGTGTGGAATTTGCATGGGGTGGATATTTCTTGCTTTTTGGCGATGCTTGGACTTGGTAGTGATCAGAGGTGTACCCGCAAAACCCCTACGAAGCCAATATTTACTGGTTTTAGCGCCAAATAGACATGTTTTGTCCAAGTCCCAGTCGGAAGAGCTTCATCGCTAGTTTAGGCCCAAGAAGAATTTGTCATCTTTAAGACTGCGCAAGCTGGGCTTACTGAACCTGCAGATACTGGGATCATCCTGATTCACTCGCAGCGTTTGCTTTGCGTCTTTGAGACTCTCTTCCAATCCCATAACATGTGCTTCAATGTCGCGAAGCTTAAGCCTTTTTGGTCACCGAAAAATGCGACTCAACCCTCAACAGTTGCGCCAACCGGGGTGCCCGAGCCCCGCGGCCTGGCCGTTGGCCGCCCCTTCTCCTCGCAGGACCGCCCCTTCGACCGTCGAGACGACCCGCCCAAAACCGATCCGGCGACCTCGGGAGGTCTGACACCAAGTGCATCGTGAAGTTCGGAGACTACTTCCGATCCCTGGCCCTCTCTTACGAGGAGCGAGATCGGGGCGGGAAAACCGGGCGAGATCGAGATCGGGGCGAGTTTTAGGGACACCAAGTGGCGGAGCAATGGAGCAATGGAGCGAGTTTCAGCCGTCCACGAACACGAGGAGACGTATTTGTGTGTCCGTCCTGAGTGTGGCCCTATTCTATTTTTTTGGGGAGGAGAAACATGCATGCACGCGTTTATGTGTGTATATGTATTCTGATCCATACATTAGGATGCGAGGGTGCAAGGAATAGTTGTTGATTGAGAGTTGGACATTGGGAAGAGACATGCATGTGCTGCTTTTTGTTTCAAGAAAAGCTTTATAGTCGTCAGACGTTGCGTTCTCGGACCTTTTGGGATGTTGATGTTTCGTGAGCTTCGTGAGGCTATTGTTCGGAGAAGAGACTTCCGAATCGGACGGATTGGTCTGAGGAAAGGGATGTTCAGATTCATCTGCAATAGGGTCTTGACCTTGGACCTACACCCATCTGAGAGATGCCAGTTCAGTGAAGTTCCGACACAGAACTGGTTCTGCTCCAATGCTATGGCAGCTATGGAATGCCATGGATTTACAGTATGTCATTTGACAAGGACTTCGATCAAGAAGGTATTGAACAGATCCAAAGTACTTTTAACTTTCCCAGACCATCCATGTATAATGTATGGCATATTTACATACATTGACCCCAGGTCAACCACCCCAACTGATCGGTCAAAATGCCAGTCCCATGGCTGGTCTGGGTTTGGACAGTCAGAACCGCTAGAACCCGCTCGGTCGGAGGAGACGCCTTTCTCATGGGGTCCCAGGGCCCTGTCCGCAGAGCAGCGGCAGTTGCTGAGTGAAGCGTCCGTGGCCTGGCTTTGCTTTACCACGGGAGTAAACATGAATGGAAACACACCCCAAACGCTCCATGTATGCAAATATTAGTCTACATTCACCACCAACAAATTACCACATGTAGGCCATATTTGCAGAGGCGATCCGGGCGATCAAGAAATCATTGGTACACCGCCCTGGGGAGCGGAACTCTTCCAGGTATAGATGTCCGGATTCCCGCGGTCGCCTCGGCAGCCTCCACCCTCTTCTCCCCTGCCCTTTTCGGATGTGACGTTGAGCTTGGACGTTGGGCGGTTCTGGCTGCAGTGTGGTGTGCCCTGGACTTTTGGCGGTTGTGGCTCTGGTGTGCACACTGAACTTTTGCAGAAACATGAGCCAGCAAACACGTCAGAAGACATGCCAAATACTTGATGCCAGCAGACATGTCAGACGGGATGTCAGAGTACGCCAGAACACCCTTTTTGATGCACCTTTTTTTTGTGTCCCAACAAAATGGCTGAACAAGTTGCAGAACAATATGTGGAGACCGGGCTACAGGCAACTCCCCCAGAGGGGATGGGACTAGATTGCCCTACTTTGATGCACAATGATCACGTGGCGTACAACTATACATTGAAAAAATCGCCAAAAACTGCCTAAAGATCATTTGCGTTCTTGTCTATTTGGGAGTATTTGCCTAAAAGATCCCAAAAAGTGTAAACAGACATCATATACTGACATACCGCACCTGCACATCTGACAGGCAGGAAAATCTGGGGCCTTCCCACATGCAGATTGCTTTTGCAACCCGGAAAGAACCCAAACAATAAGAGTGGTTCCCAAAAAAGCCAAAACAACAACGGTGGGGCCTGGGATTTCATCTTTGATGTCTATCCGTTCGGTGGTCTTTTCAGTTCAGCCGAGACGTTCCCAAAACAACTGGTGCTCCTGCTAGCAGGGGAAGATCCCTGAGACCTATAATAGCATGTCTGAAAGAAGCACATCTCATCTCCCATATAAATCAAGAATTGGTGGCTCTCCAATAGGTTCATGTTCTCTGTATTTTGCAAGAATACATGACAGAACAAAGGTCAGAAATCAGAACTGAAGTCGGACCATATGTCGCAACACGTGTCAAAACCACCCAGAGTCTGCGAATTCAATCCATCGGTGCTGCCATACCCATGTTAAACATCTAGCCATCCCTGCTCATCTTCTTGTCGGCCCGAACATGACTTCGCAATGTTTGGCAGCAACGGACCACCGGCTTCCCGTCCACACAAGAATCTACTCAAAAAGGCTCGCCTTTCCCTCCACGTTTGCTGAAGGGAATAAGATTCGTCTTCAAAAGGTTTCGTGCGCTTTTTCAGTCAAGGCCGCCCAACTACTGCGAGTCCTCCAGCCTTCCTCAGAGCTCTTGTGGCCTTGGTGGTGGCGACACGACCCGCTCCACTTCAGCCAGGACCGCGAGTCGAACCCGGTCGTGGCAGCGCATTGTCTCGGAGGAGGGACCGGTGTTCGGTTCACGAGTCACCCGCTGGCGGTTTGGGCTGTTTCTGTTTGATGCGTTATGTCATATGCGTTTTGCCCGTTATGTCCATATAGTGTGTGCTTTTGAAGGACATGGTCGTTGGAATGACATGGAGGTGTTTTAACATTGAACAGTTTCTGCGTGGGACATTTGTTCGGTGCTTTGCCGAGGCATTCTATGCTGTTTGACCCCTTGTTCACAGAAAGCTGTGACGATCTTGACTGATGATAAGCTGGCCCTCTGCTCAAAACAGCACTGCCACATGCTGTCAGCGTGGCTGTCACCAGGAAAGACTCGTTCTCCAACCTGTCCAAGAGAGGGGGCATTTCCTGGAAGAAGACAGGGTACTGGTATGATCTGGATCTGGTATGTACTGGTTCTAAAACCATGTTTTTCAAGACCTGACGAAGGGCATATTTGGTGTATAATGTCGGGTCTTGATTTGTGAAATACATTTACGTACTTTCCTCACAAACATGTCAGGGATAGTCCACAGAGTGAGAAGTCCACTCCCAGAACAAAAAAACATGGAATTTCATCAAGGATTTGCTTTGAGAGGGAGACGAAACAAACTGAACAGGAATTCATTTTTGTTGAACTGCTACTGTACTAGACCGGGAACAAAAGGAACTGTAAAGGCAAGGGCTTCTCTTGTTGAATTGTTCATACAACGAAACAATCAGTATGAAATCAGAATGTGGTGCAAGTGCAAGGGTTCTTTTGATCAGCCAGCGTGAGCAAAGGTGTTTGGTAGTTAATTGGAGTGTAAGAGGAAGAGAGAAACTTAAATTGTCAATAGGACGACCATAGGGTGATTAACAGGTGGAGAAAGGTATTTGCATTGCAGGCCAGTAGGTCTTTTGAAAGGCGGCTAGCTGTTTTCCTTCAGAAGTACATAGGTCCACCCGTGTGTTCTTGGTAACTAAACATCCTTTCGGTACATGACACATGGGCTGGCATACTGTTCCCATCGGCGTGATGCTATGCATAGTAGTTGGGCCGACTTGCGCTACGCGCCAGGGTCCATGCATGTCCCAGGTTGCATTGTGTACCTGAGGCAAACTGATGTGGCATCCACACATGGTCCACAGTAACCTCGGGTGTCTCAAGTGCTCTCTAGCAGGTGTGGACGAAGGGACCTCCATCGGGGATGTTGTTTGATGCCATTGAACCTAAGAATCCTAAGCATAGGAATCTATCCATCACTCAAAAAAAACAGGTAGACAGGTTTTTTGTTGGGGCGTGTTTTCCACTATACAACAATGAAAATACGACTCAACTGGACAGTTTGAGCTTCGTCTCTCCAGCAAAGAACGCCTCTGAACTCGCAAAACCATTTCAGCTCAACATCGCTGCCAGGAGGCTTTCTTGCCGGTGAGGTCCGGCCCGGTGCGTGAAGAGGAGGTGGCACCTGCCAACCACAGTGTCACAGGCCCGCCAGGGGTTTGGGCGGCGGTTTGCGCAAGCCCCAAGGGTTGGTTTCCCATGGGAGTGGACCAGATGTTTCGATCATCAAGGTGTTTGTTTTCATGGTGTTCCAACATTTGTGGGATATAGGTTCTATATCCATTGTTGGTTGGAAAAAGGGTGCACGGAGTGACCTGGACTCGTTCTTTCGAAGGGTTGATGGAATTCGGCCAAGAGGCAAAGACGAGGTGGAGACCACCTCCCCCGTTCCCAGCGAAGACGGGCATGGAGGCCTGGCAGTAGGCGTTGGGTGCACACTTGATTCATCACTGAATCTCACTGGCTCCAATCACCATTCAATTTGTGTTTTTTCCTCCGTATGCCATTCCATGCTGGGAGGTATTTGTTTGGTCCACTCAAATCGTGGGGCGCAGGATAGCATTACCCATGCGGTTGTGTGGAAAGAATGACGTCATATAAAATATGGTTCGCAAGGGTTTCTGTGGATTCATGCTGATTCAACCTCAACCTAAACCGTCGTGATCTACTTATATCTATAGTTGGTTTTCGTTGGATGATTCATGATTAATCCCAGAAGGATTGGCAGATCCGTTTCGTTTTCTCCTCAGGTTGGTCCCAGACGGATTGGACCCAATTCGATCGGCGACCACATGCGATCAAAGCGAAAAACGCCGCCAGGCGAACGGCAGGACGTCTTCCGTGGCACCGTTTTCGCCTGTGGAGTCAACGAGCTGGGGCAGTTGGGGACTGGAGAAGATCTGCCCTGGAGCGGGCAACCAGTCCGTGTGGTGGCACTCAAAGAGGTGAGGTGGAGGGGTGGAGAACTTGGGTGTTGTTCAGTGCCAATCCCGATCCAAAACAGGTTTAAGTTTTAAGTTCAATCCCAATGGATCTAGAATCCAATTTCTGTGACCACTCATTTGGAGGGTTGCTTTTGTTCCAACCTCGAACTGCTGGAAGTGTTCATCATTTCTGAGGCCTCCAGGACTCACTTCGCAGACCTGAGGTCTCATGTCTGTGTGTCAGGTGCGCATTCGGGAGGTGGCCTGTGGCGAGTCCCACTGCTTGGCCCTTGACTTGGAGGCAGACAGACTGCCTTTTGGGACGGTCGTTGGTTGGTGTGGAACGTCTGGACCAGGACGGATAGTGTGGGGTAGTGTGGGGTAGTCCTGGTATAGTTACATCATGTTACGTAGGGTCCTAAACTTACTTTGGGTCCTGATTTCTTAGGGTGCTTATGTCTATCTGGTGGTGCTTTATACTAACTTAGGGTCCTTATCTCTCTCTTGGTGTTTATCTATACTTACTTAAGGGTCCTTGTCTTTCTCTTGGTGTTTCTCTATGCTTACTTAGGGTCCTTATTCCTATTTCTT